TAAAAGACAGAAAATCTATGTTTTGTTAAAATAATTTCCTATATTCAGAAAGAAAGAGGTCTCTTCTAAAATTTTTTTTTGATGGTGTTGTTTGCTCTTGACTGTCTCTGTTGTCACTTTGAATGGATGCCTGAGCATTGTTTAACAGTGAGCGTTGTTTCCTATTTGAACAAGCATTTCAAAAACTTTTGATATTTTTGACAAGCTTCTCCCTCAAAAATATTCAAGTCCTGAATGAAGGCTTTCTTTTGACCTGGTAGATGGAAGAAGAATTTCTCTGAGGATTTTCAGAGGGCCCCTGAGACTTCTCAAAGAAATTTGCTCTCTTCCTATAAGGAGGAAAATACTAAATTAATTAGATTTATTTGGTTTATTAAATTACATGGGTAGCATTGTCAAATAAGCAATGATAAACTTTCTTATGTGGTATTACGTGGGTGAATGTTATTAATATACGTGTCTTAACATTATATAGCATTCCTAAAATTCTAATCGGTTCTGGTTATCAGTCATAATTCCAGTTATTATCTTAAAGTGTTATATGTCACAGAAATAGCCAAGTTTCTTTGTCAATTGCCCTTTTGAGTCTTTTGTCCATTTACAGATAGTTGCTGTTTTACTCTGATACTTTTTGCTTTTGCAAATATGTTTCATCTTCAGAGAAAATTCCTGGAAAGGATTCTGACACAAAGGTTCTAAACTACAGGGTTCTGATAAACTTTCAGATTATAGAACTGAACTGCGTAAGAAATTACAGAATTCTAACAGAAACTGATAAACTTTCAGATTATAGAACTGAACTGCGTAAGAAATTACAGAATTCTAACAGAAACTGAGCTCGTAGATCTGCTAACAGAAGATTAAGCTCAAGAACTGATTATACAGGACTGTGTGAACTAATGAGGATGATTATAATTTTTTATGACTTCTGTTTGAAATATTGTTGAGTTTTAATGTTTTGTTTTGTTTTCTCAGATTTAAGGAAATCTTTTCTCTTATGCTGACTATGACTTACAGCGATTTAGTGAAGTTATACCGTTATGAGCGAAACTGAAGCATTTATTTTCTCCCTACCTGATCCCTCCAGAATTTGGAAACTCTTTGTGAGTGAGTGGTTATTTCATGGCAATATAGTTATTTGCATAAGTTCAATAAGAACCTATTCTCCTTATAACAGGACACATTGGTTATATTACCAAGGCTTTGACTGGAATGTCATATTTGAAACATACAGGCTCAGATATGACAAGACAGCTTTTCAGGAACAAAGATTGGACTTTCTGGAATACAGCCACTTGGAATCATGGGCCTGGTACCTTGTTTACAGAGATTCTGGCAATCTTACCCGGTAAGTAAGGAAGCTTGCTTATCTGGCAGGTGCAAGGAACCTCAGAATATTTTGAAGGACCTCGAGGAGAGAGGAGTCCACCCAAACCTGTAGGTACTGCAGGCAAAATCTGATGGCAAGTCCTTGGCTTGGCTTTTCTGGCCTCGAGAGGCCTTTACAGTTCAATCTGAGATTCCTCATAAAAATTCCAGCAAAGCAGATTTTAAAAGCCTGTATAATCAATTGGTATTCTTGCTGCACTTATGTAAATAATTGGCAGACCAGTTAATCTTAATTTGGCTATCTTTTATAAAAATGAGGGTGATTTTAGAGAGAAAAAATTATGTTTCAGTGGAAGGTATAGTACACATTCATGGATATTAGATTCTAGCTCTTCTCTTCTGCAAGATTCATCTGTTACTAATCATAATGTTTCCTTGTGGCCATCCATCTCTGATACCTGGGCGTTCCCTGGCCACAAGCAAACCTTTTCCTTCAACACTACCGCCCAAATACTAACTAGATTTGCCTTGTCACAAGTGGATCATAAACAACAAGTTCCAAAGGTAAAGTCCCCAACTTATGGATACACACAGGATGGACTATATCAAATTTGGGACGAATATATTTGGCTCACTCCTACTAGTGGTCAACTCAGTCAAAAGGCCACTCTATGTTGGGAACAAACCAATCACACCTGTGATACATGGCCTAATAGCACCCGACCTATGGGAAAAATTCCCCATTATATGTGTTCTCATATCATAGCCTTAAGAAATACTGAGTGGTTTGGGACTGACTGGGATAGACGGCCAAGCACACGTTGGCTAGCCCCTAATGGCACTCAGTGGTTATGTGGCTCCAACTTATGGCCTTGGCTACCACCTGGATGGATTGAACGATGCACCCTAGGTTTCGTCTGGATGCAAGGTAGAACTACATTTACTATATCTCCTCCTACCCAACCTGCAACAGCGCTGGACCCGCTCTGTCTTCCACTGGTATGACCATGTTGCCTCAATTTTCCTTCCCCAATTAGGAATTGAAAGTGTCATCTGGCACATGGAAGCTCTAAACAAATTTACTATGAAAGCTTTAAATGATACACAACGTAGCCTTTCGCTGCTCGATTTAGAAGTGTCCCAAATGAGTAAGGCAGTCCTCCAAAACCAAATGGCACTGGATGTCTTGACAGCAGCGCAAGGGGGTACTTGTGCCATTATAAAAACTGAATGTTGTGTTTATATTCCTGACTACCATCGGAATATCTCTGGCTTCCTATCTGATATGAGCCACCAAGTTAAGTCCATGTCTGACCCCACCCTATCTCTAAATGACTGGTTGAACTCTTGGTCAGGTCCAGGTTTCTGGCCTACTATCAAAACCTTATTCATTGGGTTAATCATCTTGCTTGTATTTCTTATTATAATTTGTTGTCTATTTCGTTGTTTGTCTTCCACATGTCAACAAAGTTTCACCTCCTGGACCACCTCTCATCAAATGATTCTCTTGTCGCCAGAGGCTCTGTACACCTTGTCAGCCTTGGACGCCACGGGCGCAGCCTTCCGGTCCGCTAAGCCTCCTACTTGTACCCATGGCCCCATTTAGGGACAGCTCTACGACCTTGTACAGCCGGAAGTAGTTACAGAAGACTGACCATCGTCCATATCCCCAAAAGATTTCGGGGCCAAAATGGGTTCAGGGGGGGTTTATGATGGGGATTTTTAGGCTGCTTAATTTTAAAATGGCTTATGATGAGGATTTTTAGGCTGGTTAGTTTTAAAACTACAGATGAGATTCAGGCTCCAAGGAGTGGAATTTGTTTGCCCCTTTGTTGGGAAACATTTACATTTCTAAGGGAAACCTCTATCTGTGAAGATGCCTCCCTCTCTGTGCCAGGAAGAGGGGGGGGATGGTCTTATCTCTAGAGGCTCTTGGTCAATGCCAGAGGCAAGAACTTAAGTTGGTTGCTGTCTGGCAATCTCATGTAACTGGTTTAGGGTGGTGGCGTCTAACCTTTCTAACCTTTACTTAATCCGATTTGATTCTTGTCTAAAAGTCATGGGATCACCCAATGACCAGACCCCACCCGCACTGATACCATTTTAACTTTTTTTCATGTTCTTTCCTTTGTCTTGTAAAGAGATGAATCATATACCTATGCCTTATAAAATTAGCCCTAACCCTCAACTCGGGGCAGCAGCAGGAGCTCTGACTGCCCGTAGGTTCTGTCCCCACGCACCAGCTCTGCCTGCCCATGGGTCCTGTCCCCATGCCAGCGGGGGCAGCAGCAGCAGCTCTGCCTGCCCATGGGCTCTGTCCCCATGCCAGCGGGGGCAGCAGAAGCGGCGGCAGCAGAAGCTCTGACTGCCCATGGGTCCTGTCCCCATGCTATTCCACACTATTTTCTAAATAAAAGAGCACTACTGCCAGATCTTGAGAGTCTAAGAAATCTTTCTTTCGACTCCTCGGCTCACCGACCCCGCATCATGTGCCACAGTTTACCCATTTGAAAAATGGGATTTATGGTCATAGTAACCTACATCATAGAGACTTTTGTATTATTTTGTGTGTGTTTGTGCTCTTTTCTTAGGACACTCCCCCATCCCTCCCCGACTCCCCCAACCCCATAGATTCTAAGCTCTGCCTGAGTAGGAGGGAGTTTTGTGACTTAATCATCTTTATGGCTCTCATAGTGACTACTCTAGAAAATACTCTGCAGTGGGCATTCAATACGCACCTGGCACATAGCAGATGCTCTATAAATATTTGTCTAATAAATAAACAAATGTTGAAGTGAATGTGGTAATTACAAGAGTTAGCAAAATTTCTAAATATCCATTTTTCTTCTCAGCCTAAAATGATTGCCACTCTAGGCGAACGCAGTTTTAGTTATAGTGTTTCAAGGCCAAATAAACCTGTAATAAAAATGTATGTAATAATCAGTGCACGATCTGAGCACAGCACTTGTAATTGGGGAAGAATTTCAGCCTTAAATATAGGCATATATATTCTTTTCAACCAGAGTTGTTCCTTTTGTTGACGCAAAATAACCAATAACCATTCTATAGATAAGAGAAATAGGGTGAGTTTTACTTAGGCCAGAGTGAGAATTATAACCCTGGAAGGCCTTTTCCAGAAGGGAAGAAAGCATTCGTAGAACCACGGTTTTCACTCGTCTTACATAAATCTTTTTAGAACAGAGAACATACATTAAGCACATCCAAGATACATATTCATCAAAGTTTCAAACGGGTATTTAGTTGCAAATTAGCAAGTCAACATAACCCTGCTGTCGAGAAAGAGACTAATATGGGCGTTACCAACAGGGCGTAGGAGAGGAAGTCTGCATTCTTAAGAGAGTGCATTCTTTAGTTTAATGGTTAAGGCAGACGTACAATATTTGTTTGAGAATCAGTTTGAACCTGAATAGTTACTCCGTATACCTCAATATGTGAAAATCTCTCGTCACTTTGAAGGGATGACTATAAAAATCCGTTTGTCTTTTCCTGCGCTTCTCGCCTCTCATTGTCTTCAAAGCGTCCCTACTTGGTTCTACAACGGGATCAGTAAGGTAACTGGAACAGCTGAAAAGAACCCGAACGGCGAATACGGCTTCTTATGTCCTTCGCGCCACCCCGTAGTTCGCGCCGACGCGGGGGCGCGGCGCGCGCGTTTGAAAGCTCGGAGGCTTCGGGTCGCAACGACGGTTGCCGCGGTGTGCGCGCTGGCGGGGAGGGAGGCTGCCCGCGGCGCGCGTGCTGGGGCCGCTCGGACGAGTTTCCAGACGACCTCGGCCCAGAGCCCTCGTCAGCCTGGGCTCTGTCCCCGGCGTGTGGCTCCGGTAAGGGGAGGTTTTGGCGGCCCTGACGGCGCGGGCCTGGTGGGACAGAGCGCTCAGCCGAGTGCTTCTGTGACAGCTCCGCCGAGCGGGAAGGTTGATGACGCTGGGAATGTGGCGTTGGCTGGGGATTATCTTAGGAATCGTTTTTGCGACCCAAACCCGGGTGCGCATCTGGATCACGGGGTGGCGTGGGGATTTCGGGACAGAAGTTGCCCTTTTCTCGAAGCGAAGCCTGGCAGTCCGTGCTTTCCATGGAGGCCCCGCTGGCGAATGCGGCGGGCAGGCGGATCTGGGAAACGGATCTGGGAAACGGATCTAGCAAGCTGCCGTCGTTTACACATGGGCTGCCTGCTGGGGGCTGTGAGGCCCGGGCCTGTGGCGACGTCGGAGTTACGCCCCAGACCCCAGCGCTGCGGCTGGCGCCCCTGGGGACAGTTGGCTACCTCGGCCCGGGAGTCTCAGTTCAGCGCTCCGCGGAGGCTGGAACCGGACCAGGGTTTCTGGTGGGCGAGGGGTTGAGAAAGAGCCGTGTGAAGCCCAGTTCCTTCCCCTGAACCCCTCAACTCACCTGCCTCCAGTTTTCAGGTGAGGTGATGGGGCAGGTGGGAGGAGGATTTGCACCTCCAGCCCTCGGTGAGTTCCTGGATCTGGGGATACAGTCTGCCTCGACCCTGGAAATGCCTGCAGGGGTTGTAAATAATCCCATCAGAACTTTCCCTTCCTTTTTCATTCTGCTTTTTCCTCTGTTTGGCTTCTCTTTTCTCAGTTATCTTTATTTTTTCTCTTCTTTTGTGTTTCCTTTTCTCCACTGTCTGTCTACACTTTAGCTTTGGCAGTAGTATCCACGTTTTTGTTTGGTTCTAGGGTGGCTTAGGGTCCAAAAGTTATTATCTGATCCAGTAGATCTGTTGATGAACTTGCTGAGCCCTTAACTTTTTAATACTGCTTTTTTTCTTTTTTTTTGAGGAAGATTAGCCCTGAGCTAACTACTGCCAGTCCTCCTCTTTTTGCTGCGGATCCTGGCCCTGAGTTAACATCGTGCCCATCTTCCTCTACTTTTTTATATGTGGGACGCCTACCACAGCATGGTGTGCCAAGCGGTGCCATGGCCGCAGCCGGGATCCGGGCGGGCAACACCGGGCTGCTGAGAAGCGGGACGTGCGAACTTAACCGCTGGGCCACCGGGCCGGCCTCTGGGCTGGCTCTTAATACTGCTTCTTAAACCGTGCTTGAATTTTAAAAAGTATCTGAAGTACTCCACAGACTATGAAATTCTGCCCACAGTCATATTACTCTCATTTCTAATATAGCTTCATCTAAGATATTCACAATTTTATGCTGTTCTCTTCATAAGAACCTTGTGATTGGAGGAGGGTGAAAGGGGTGATTAGGCACATGTCTGTGGTGTTGGATCCTAATTAGTCTTTTGAGTGGTGAACATGATGTAATCTACACAGAAATCGAAATATAGTGATGTACACCTGGAATTTATATAGTTATAAACCACTGTTACTGCAATAAAACAACAACAATAAAACCCTGTGATTTAGATTAGTATGGTTATTTAGCAATTAATGCATACAGGATATGTCTACAGTATATACAGAATCTGTGACAGAGTGTGGGCCAGTGGCCAGAAGTCATCTTATCAGTAGACTACGGCCAAACCTGTTTAGTCATGAAAAAAGTTGCCTCAGAAAATTGTGAAATGGTTAAGATATGGTATATTTAGGTGCAAATGGCTTGGGGTGGAGGACTGAGTCCTAGAGTGTTCTAGAATGAAATCAAATGTTAAAAGACTTCTGTTTAAACTTAGGTGTTTTTAACTGGAGGAAAGTTTTTTTTTTTAAACACTTACACTACTTCTGAATGTCAAGTCTTCCTTATGCTGAGGGGAAAAAGGCAGCGAGACTTAGGCAGTAAGATTTCCAGGACACCATACTTAATGGGTTTTTTTGCATCCTACTTTTCTGGACCCCCGGGGCTACTTTGTGTCCTTCAGTTCTCCTTTTGGGCTGCCTCAGAGTTCTCTGTTTGCCATCTACATTTATCCCCTAGATGATCTTATCTAGTCTCTTGGCTTTAATACCATATATATGCTGATACCCTATAAATTTATATCTTCAGTTTGGATTCCAGATCTATATCCAGCTGTCTGTTTCACATTTCTGCTTGACTGTCTAATAAGGCATTCAGAATTGAGTTCCTCATCTCAGTAATGGCACCTCTGTTCTTCCAGTTGCTCAATCTGAAAATTTAGAGCTATCCTTGACTTTTCTCTCATTCCTAGCAAAAATCCAAACATTGGGAAATCCTGTTCTTTCCAGATTCAAAACATGCAGAACACAAACATTTCTCACCATCTCTACTTCGGCTGTCCTGATCCAAGCCACCTGGATTATCTCCCCTGGATTATTGCATTAGCCACTTTAATGGTCTGATTGCCTCCGCCCTTGCTCCCCTTCACTTAATAAACACAAGCCAGAGTGATCCTGTTGAAACATAAGCTGGAGTGTATTCCTCCTCTGCGTAAAACCTTCCAATAACTTCCTGTTTCTAAGTAAAAGCTGAAATCCTTGCAGTGACTAAAGCTCTCTGAGTAAAAGCCCTGGATGATCTATCCATTGATGTGAGTGGGGTGTTAAGGTCTCCTGCTATTATTGTGTTGCTGTTAATGTCTCCTTTTAGGTCAATTAATAGTTGCTTTATGTACTTTGGTGCTCCTGTGTTAGGCGCATATATAAATGTTATGTCCCTTTGATGGAGTGTCCCTTTTATCATTATATACTGCCCTTCTGTGTCTCTCATTGCCTGGTTTATCTGGAAGTCTACTTTGTTTGATATAAGTATGGCAACACCTGCTTTCTTTTGTTTGCCATTGGCTTGGAGTATCATCTTCCATCTCTTCACTCTGAGCCTGTGTTTGTCTTTAGAGCTGAGATATGTTTTCTGGAGGCAGCATATTGTTGGGTGTTGTTTTTTAATCCATCCAGCCACTCTGTGTCTTTTGATTAGAAAATTCAATCCATTTACATTTAGAGTGATTATTGATATATGGGGGCTTAATGCTGCCATTTTATCACTTGTTTTCCAGTTGTTCTGTGTTTTCCTTGTTTCGTGTGCCATGTATTTCAGACCTGCCAGTTCAGTTTGGTGGCTCTCTATGATGGCTTTCTCATTATTTATCCTTTGTGTCTCTGTTCTGATTTTTTGTTTAGTGGTTACCTTGAGATTTGTATAAAAGGTCTTATAGATGAGGTAATCCATTTCCTGATAGTCTCTTATTTCCTTAGTCTAAGCAGGTTCCATCCCTTTATTCCTCCCCATCTAAGTTATTGTCACAACTTACTCCGTTTTGTGTTGTCAGTTTGTGATTAAAATGAAGTGATTATATATATTCTTGATATTTTCCTTCCCTTTTTCTTTACTGTTATAATTGTTTGCTAGCATGTTTTGATAGGGAGTTGCAATTTTCTGTTTCTGTTTGCCTATTTATCTCCTTGCTCAAGGCTTTGTAAACCCTTTTTTCTTTTCGGGTCTGAGGGCCTTCTTGATCATTTCTTGTAGGGGATGTCTTGTGGCAATGAACTCCCTCAGCTTTTGTTTATCTGGGAAAGTTTTTATTTTTCCATAATATCTGAAGGATATTTTTGCTAGATAGAGTGTTCTTGGCTGAAGCTTTTTGTCTTTCAAAATTTTAAATATATCATTCCACTCTCTCCTAGACTGTAAAGTTTCTCCTCAGAAATCTGCTGAAAGCCTGATAGGAATTCCTTTATAGGTTATTTTCTTCTGCCTTGCTGCCCTTAATAATTTTTTTTTGTCGTTGACTTTTGCCAGTTTTACTAATGTATGCTTTGGAGAAGGTCTTTTTCCATTGGTGTAATTAGGTGTTCTTTTAGCTTCTTTTACTTGTAATTCCAGCTTCTTCTTTAGGTTTGGGAAGTTCTCAGTTATTATTTCTTTGAACAAGCTCCCAGCTCTTTCTCCCTCCCTTCTTGCTCTGGAATACATATAATCCTAATGTTGCATTTCCTAATTGAGTCAGCTATTTCTTGGAGAATTTCTTCATTTCTTTTTAGTCTTAGTTCTCCTTCATCTGAAGCATTTGCTAATTCTCTCCTCCATAATATCAGCTGTATTTAAGGACTTCAGATTTTTCTTTATCTCATTCTTGTGTTTTTCATCTCCAGCATTTCTGATTGGTTTTTCTTTATGGTTTCAATCTCTTTTGTGAAGAATTCCCGCTGTCCATTAATTTTATCCTGATTTCATTGAACTGTCTTTCTGAGGTCTCTTGTAACTCATTGAGTTTTTTTATGATAGCTATTTTGAATTCTCTGTCATTTAGATTGTAAATTTCTGTGCCTTCAGGATTGATTTCTGGGTATTTGTCATCTTCTTTCTGGTCTGGAGTATTAATATACTGCTTCATAGTATTTGATGGGGTGGATTTGTGCCTTTGCATAGTCATAGTATTTGGTCGCACATTCCACCTGTTGCCACTGGGTGGGGAGCAAGAGCTGTGTTCTGAGTCCACCATGATCTCTGTCAGCTGTGCCTGATCCACTCCTTGGGACTGCTGTATTGGCCCTGTGGGCTTTCCCACTGAATGGGAAAGTGATCACAGGGGTGCTCAGGGCTACAGCTGCCTGATCCCACAGTCCTGCTGAGACAGGTTACCCCTTTGGGGCCACAGTGGTACCATGGGTGTTCTCAGCATCTGGGAGCTCATTCGCCTGGGCGTGCAGTCTGCTTGCCATCTCCTTCTAGGTCGCACCAGCTGTTGTGCTTGGTGGGCAGGGCCTCTCCACCAAGTATGAGCCTGGGCCATTCCCTAGGACTGCAGTAGCACTGTGGGCTCAGCAAATGGATGAGAAAGCAATCAGGCAGGAGCTCAGGGCTGCTGTCACCTGTTCCCACAGTTGCGACGAGGTGCACTCCCATCCTTGGGGCAACAGTGGTGCTATGGGCTGTCCAGCCGAGAGAGCAGTTGTGTGCGTCCACAGGGCTGTCAGGGGGGACCAGAGAGTGCTCACCTATCTCTACCACCTCCCCTTCAGATGTATAGCTGTGTGGGTCTCTCAGGTATCCTGTTGTGCTGTTTGGGTATCCTCCATTGATCAATGAATGTTCCTTTAGTTGTAGTTCAAAGGGGGAGAGATAAAGGGAATAGCTCACTCCACCATGTTGCTGACATCCGTCTCCTTTGTTCCTTTTTATGATTAAATAATGTTCTGTTCTAGAGAATAGGAGTTCTGTTGAATGATGTTCTGTTGTCTATATTGTAGAGTATATTTTGTTCATCTGTTCATCATCTGATGGATATTTCTGTTTCTTCTTTTTGGCTATTATGAATAATGCTGCCTGCATAAACAGTTTCTTTAAAGGATATAAAAGACCTGTTAACAAATACTTCCAGGAGGTGTGAGAGGGAGACTTACTCTTCACCTTTTTGTACCTCTCTGGTTTCAGTTTTTTCATTGTAAGTAAAATTGGGCTAAATATTTGTCATGGTCTTTTCCAGTTCTCAGATTTCATATTTATGTGGTAAAAGGAGTGATAGTGTTATAGGAACTTTTTCTTCATAAAGAAGAGTTGTATTTTTTATAATTGCAGTTGCAGTGTAAGTTTCAATTTATTTTCATCATAGGACCTAGAGTGATTACTACAATGGAAGAAGTCAGTAATTTCAAGACACCAAGCAAACTATCTGAAAAGAAGAAATCTGGTAAGATATATATGGAACCTTCTTCATTGGTATTAGAAATGTCTTAGTATTATTGTAGTTCGATCCTTTATTATCTGTCACACATAATTTTAGCATAAGTCCTCTTTATAATGTTGATCTTAACAAATAAGACTGATTTTATAGGCCAGGGTTTGGTCATCTATGAGCTAATTTTACTGACATTCTAACAGATTTGGAGGTTCTCCCTGGTGAACAATCAACTTGAACCATTAAGGAACATTACCTTTCCTCCTCTCATACATGCGTGGCTGTGGTAATGGAAAGATATTTTGCAAGGCAATTCAGTGGGCAAAGGAGAATCTTTTCAACAAATAAAAACAATTGGACATTCATATGCAAATTGACCCTTAGCTCACATCATATACAAAAATAGCTAAAATCATAAAATTTCTAGATGACAACATAGGAGAAAATCTTACATTGTTCATTTCTGGTATATAGATTTTTGTGTATTGACCTTGTATCCTGTAACTGTGCTAAACTCACTTATACTATTAACTTTTTTATAGATTGCTTAGGATGTTGTACATAGTTGGTAGTGTTGTAGATGAGTAAAGACAGTTTTACCTTTTTTGCCCCAGTCTGTATTACTTTATTTCTTTTTCTTATAGCACTAACTTCAGTATATTTTTGAATGGAAGAGATGTGAGTGGACATACTTGCCTTGTTCCCAATGAAATAGTGTGTTAGATGTAGGTTTTTCACAGATGCCCTTTATCAGTTTGAGGAATTTTCCTTTTATTCCTGGTTATTATGAATGGGTGTTGAACTTTCTCACATGCATTTTCAGAATCTATTGAGATAAAGTTTTCTTTTTTAGTCTGTTGATGTTGTAAATTACATTAGTTTTCAAATATAAAATCAACTTTTCATTCCTGGGGTAAAGCCAATTTGGTCATGATGTATTTTATATATTGCTTGATTCAGTTTCTAATATTTTCTGTGTTCATGAGGGATATTGGTCTGTAGTTGTCCTTTTTTGGAATGTCTGTCTAGTTTTGGTATCAGGGTATTCTCTATTCATAAAGTAAACTGGGAAGTGTTTCCTTCTCTTTTCTTGAAGAGTATATGTAGAATTGATAGTATGTCTTCCTTCACTGGTAGAATTCACCAGGAAAGCTGTGTGGGCCTGGAATTTTCTTAGTAGGAAGATTTTAACTGTGACTTCACAGTTAATGAGTTATAGGGCTATTTAAGTTATCTATTTCTTCTTGTGTAATATTTATTGGTGTTTTTCAAGGAATTTGTCCATTACTTCTAAGTTGTGGATTTTACTGCCATAAAGTTATACATGATGTACTCTTATTGCCCTTCTAATGTCAGTTGGGTCTGTGGTAGTAGCTCCTTTTTCATTTCTGGTACTGGTATTTTATATTTTCTTTCTTTCTTGATTGGGTATGTCTGTCTTGGTGAATATTTCATGCACTTGGAAAGATCATATTTTCTGCTGTTGTTGGGTGCAGTGTTCCATAAATGTCAGTTAGTTCAAGCTGGTTGACTTGTTTATGTTGTTTTGTTCAGGTCTTCTATATCCCTACTGATTTTCTGTTTACTTTTTCTATTACTTGAGAGAGAAGTATCTCCAACTACAATTGTGGATTTGTCTATTTTTTTCTTTCAGTTCTGTCTGTCGCTTTATGTATTTTGAAGCTTGTTATTAGGTACACATACATTTAGAATGGTTATTTCTTTTCAGGAATTTACCCCTTTACTGTTATGAAATGTCCTTCTTTATCCAGTGTTGTACTCTCTGTTTGAAGTTCACTTTATGTGATCCTAATTGAGCCACTCCAGCTTTATTTTGATTAGCGTTTGAATGGTATATGTTTTCCAAACTTTTTACTTTTAACCTATTTGTGTCTTTATATTTAAAGTGAGTTTATTATACACAGCATGTAGCTATGTTTTGTTTTGTTTTTATCCATTCTGACAACTTCTGTCTTTAACTGGACTATTTAGGCACTAGCCACAGTTGGCAATCTAAATTCAAGTTCAAACAAATTAAAAGTAAATAAAATTGCAAATTTAGTTTCTCACTTGTACTAGCCCATATTTCAAGTGCTTAATGATAGCATGTGGCTAGTGGTGCCTGTACTGGACAACACAGATACAGAACATTTCCATCATGATAGAAAGTTCTGTTGGACAACACTGTGTAGACCATTTACATTTGGTGTAATTGCCTGTGGTTGGATTTAAATCTGCTGTTTTGCTAATGTCCCATAGCTTGCTGATGATTTGTTAATTTTTTTCTAATCTTTTCCTAAGTGCTTCATTTTTGGTAGGTTTTTTGTTTTATCTTAAAATTTAGTTACCTTTTCTTCTCTAAGATGGTGTTAGTTATATCCATTGTATTTTTCATTCTTTGAAGTTCCATTAGGATCTTTTTTTTACATTTTTTTGTCTCCTTCTTTATGCTCATGTTTTCCTTTACAGTATTGAGCATACTTTTAAGATTTGTATTTTAAGGTTCTTATCTGCTAATTCTACATCACTGCCATTTTATGGTCTGTTCTGTTGGTTTATTTTTCTCCTAATATGGGTCATATTTTTTCTTTCATGCCTGGTAATTTGTTATTGGCTGTTGGACACTTAACCTTGTTGAGTGCTGGATTTTGTCACTCCTTTGAAGGATGTGTGATTTTATTATAGTCCACAGTTAAGTTACCTGCACATTAGATTGTTTCCTTTGAGGCCTGCTTTAAGCTTTGTTCCAGACTTTTTCCTTGGGCTAAAATTTAGCTGTACTACTAAGTTGTGATCCTTTAGAGGACTTTACTCAATGCTCTGTGTGTTACAGAGCTACCACACTCTGGCTGATTATAAATGAATTATTCCTAGACCTGTGTAATCTCTGATAATTGTTTAGCATACTGCTTGTCTTTGGCACTTTATCTGGCTTTGGGGAATTTTGTTCATTGTGTGTATAGATAAGTACTTAGCCAGATGCTCCAAGGGAGACCTCTTTTCAGATCTCTGGAGCTTTTTCTCGTGCTTTTTGCCTCCCTCTTTAGTTCTCTGCTCCACAAATTCTAGCCACTTAGGTCTCCTTGACCCCAATCTCTGTCTCCTTAATATGACAAGACCTCTGGGCTGTGTTTCTTTGTGCTGCAGCTTGGAAACTGCCATCAAACAGTAAGTTAGGATAATGATAGGGCTCACCTCATTTGTTTCTCTTCTCTCAGAGTTTACACCCCTACTCTGCCTGTGGTCGATTATCTGAAAACCATTATATCTTGTCAAGTTTCCTAATTGTTCATGGCAAGACAGCAATTCCAGGAGTAGTTAATTGGTCATGAACAAAAGTAGGACTCCTCTAGCTCATCTTTTTTTTTTTTTTGAGGAAGATTAGCCCTGAGCTAACTGTTGCCAATCTTCCTCTTTTTGCTGAGGAAGACTGGCCCTGAGCTAACATCCGTGCCCATCTTCCTCTACTTTATATGTGGGATGCCTACCACAGCATGGCATGCCAAGTGATGCTGTGTCCGCACCCGGGATCCAAACCAGTGAACCCTGGGCCACCGAAGCGGAATGTGCACGCTTAACCACTGTCCCACCAGGCCGGCCCCTAGCTCATCTTTTTTAATGCCTGTATAATGCTCTGTGATACAGATGCACTATAATTATGACTCTAACGATGATTACGTAGGTTTTTTGTTTTTTGCAGCCACAAAAGCAAATCCAAGTATTCAAATATATATGCAGGTATACGTGTGTGTATGATGTCTTTGGGCACATGCTGCAGTGCAGGCATTGGCAAACTTTTTGTAAAGGGACAGATAGTAAATAGTTAGGTTTTGTGGGCCGCCTAGGGACTCTGTTGCATATTCTTCATTTTTTGACCACCTTTTAACATGTAAAAATTCTTAGCTTGGGGGCCATAGAAAAACAGGCTGATTGCTGCCCCTGCTTCAGTGTCACTGTAAGATAGAGCTCCAAGAGTAGACTTGGTCAAAGGGTATCTGTTTAAAATTAGGATAGATAGTGTCAAATTGCTCTCCAAAACACTGCCAATTAAATACTCTTAATAGTAGTATGTTGAGAATGTTAGCGTGCATTTTTAGAGATCTTTTCAAATACTAATTTTATTTTTTATTTCTCTTTCTGACATTTAGGATTATCTTTAACTCCATGTATAAATATTCCTGCCTCTCCATTTATGCAGAAGCTTGGCTTTGGTACTGGGGTAAATGTCTACCTTATGAAAAGGTGAGTATAAGTTTCAAATTAACATTTTTACATGGAACCATAGTTCACTGTACTTGGAGACAAAAAAGGAATATGAAAATTCAAATATTTAGATTTGGGGTATGTTCCTGATCCTACCTGACCACTATATACCAGTCCTAGAACATTTTATAACCAGAGCTCTGCCTGGTATACTTGTCTCCTACCTTCCTCCTGATGGATTATTAAAGGAGAAATGATTTACCTTATAATTCTCTCTTTGGCTTGTGTGGGAAGGGGAAGGGACAGAGGAAAGGGGTTCCTGTGTGGTGATAATGCAGGATTCTCAATAAAAAAAACATCAAAGAGGATGCCAGTGTTGGGGATGCCAGTCCTTCTCAAGATAGCCTCTTTTAGAGAAGTAAAGGTTTTTCTTTCTTATGTCATCATTGTTAAGCAAGAAGGTTAAATACATGATTTTAAAGTAGGAAAATTGTGTTGAAAGAAAAATGAAATAGTAGAATAAGTGCTAATAGCTAATAATATTATAGGTGTCAACAAACACATTTTTTAAAAAGTTGTTTATTTTACTCATTACTCTGTACCTAGTTTCATGTTTAGTAAATAGTGGTAAACAACTGAGTTAATATGTATTCCTCATTGTACTCTTGGAATCAGCCTGACTAGTCCAACCAGGCACATTGTTAGCTTCATCTAGTTTTATATTGTTTCCAAATAGAAATACCTTCTTTAATAAGAAGCTAATGAATTGAGAATAGCATAGCAATTGTATATAAGTAAGTATTCTTGAAGCATTTTTGCAGTTTAAACACCCCCTTTGTGTGTTTGTATGTTACTAGTTCTGTGAGCATTTGTTTTTTAGTATGTAAAAACTCTTGTCTAAGTTATCTTGAAAGAAAAAAATTCACACAGGTTCATGGCTAGTCTCATTATTTTTCACTTTTTTATCTTTTTGCTGAGGATGATTTGCCCTGAGCTAACATCTGTCACCAATCTTCCTCTTTTTGGTTAAGGAAGATTTGTCCTGAGTTAACATCTGTTGCCAGTCTTCCTCTATTTTGTACGTGGGCTGCCACCACAGCATGGCCACTGCCAATTGGTGTAACTCTGTGCCTGAGAACAAAACCTGGGCCACTGAAGCAGAGTGTGCCGAACTTAACCACTAGGCCATGGGGCTGGCCCTCCCTTTTTTAAAAAAATGTTTATAAATGTAAAGTGTCTTGTTAGCAAAGTTATACTGTGCTACATGACTTCATTAGAAAGCTTCATGTGGCTGATAGTGAAAAACAGCAGTCCCTGCCTGACCCTGCCACTCTGTAATGTGGCCCTGTCAGCCTGGGATTTGGTAACTGGGAGGTTTCCTCTGTTTCCCTGGTGAAGCGGGTCCTCCATTTTTCTGCATCATGTGCCTTACTGCTTCTTGGTTTACATCCCATTTTGGTTGAGGACGTCTGGTAGTTCCCCATGAGAAGATGCACAGAAGATACAGTTTTGAGTATTTGCATTTCTGAATATGTTTTCATTTTACCCTCATACTTGACTGACCCTTTTTGTTTTTCTGGGTTAGAATTCTCTTTCGGAAATAATTTTCCTCCCGAAGTTTGAGGACATTGTTCCATTGTCTGTTGGCTTGCAGTGTTGCTGTTGAGAATTCTGAAGCCTTTCTGCTTGCTAATTGTTTTTATGTAATCTGTTTTATGTTATCTGTCCCTCCCACTGTCCTGGAACCTTGTATGATCTTCTCTTTGTCTCCATTGTTCCGAAATGTCACAGTGACATGCATGGGTGTGGGCCTCTTGGAATCTGAAAATTTCTGTTATTAAATTTTTGAGAAATTATTTTTAAAATTACTTTGTTGATACTTTTCATTTCTGTTTTTCTGTTCTCTATCTGGAATGCCTATTTTTTAGACATTCAATTTACTGATCACTGATCTACTTTTAAAAAAAATTTTGCCTGGTTTTCTCTTTTCTGTTGGTCTTTTTGCTCTATTTTCTGGGAGATTTCCCCAACTTCATCTTCTGATAAGTCTATTGACTTTGTCATTTTTCTCTATCTTGTTTTTAATTATCTGAAAGTTTTCCTTTTTTTTTTTTTTTAAGATTTTATTTTTTCCTTTTTCTCCCCAAAGCCCCCCGGTACATAGTTGTGTATTGTTCGTTGTGGGTTCCTCTAGTTGTGGCATGTGGGACGCTGCCTCAGCGTGGTCTGACGAGCAGTGCCATGTCCGCGCCCAGGATTCGAACCGACGAAACACTGGGCCGCCTGCAGCGGAGCGCGCGAACTTAACCACTCGGCCACGGGGCCAGCCCCGAAAGTTTTCCTTTTTAAAATGACATCCTAAGTCTTTTGAGGGTGCTAGAAGCGTTCTGTACCTCGATCTGGATGTTGATAACACAGGTATATACACATGTGAAAACTCAGTGAGCATATGGTCATGAATTACTCTGTGACTGTATGGTTCACAGGTTCTCGACTATGCCAGTAGACTTCAGGCTGAAGACTCTCTACTTTAGGCCCTTCCAAAGCCAGTCTTCAGTCTTCAGAAGCTGGGGGATAAGGGATGGGCAAGGGCCTGGTGATACACAATCAGGGAGAGTATCTAGTAATTTACTTGCTTTTTAAATAATTTTCAAAAAGTTCATTGGGACTGTTAAGTCAGTTACTTTCATCTGCTTTCCAAGTTTTCAAAAAGATTGTTGCCATTGTCTCCTTCATGATTTCCATCCTTGTCGATGGGTATATGTCTTAAAATGCCCATGTGCTTTTATTTTAGTGGGGCTTGGGAGGGATCAAATTGTATCTGTATGTTCAAGCTATCATTTTAATCCAGGAGTCTGTATTTTTTAATGTTAAATGAAGTTTGCATTCCTAGATTAAACCCAACATAGTTGCAATTATTATTTTTTAATGGGGCTAGCCCCATGGCTGAGTGGTTAAGTTGGCGCACTCCGCTTCAGCAGCCCAGGGTTTTACCATTTCAGATCCTGGGTGTGGACATGGTGCCACTCATCAAGCCATGCTGAGGCAGTGTCCCACATAGCACAACCAGAAGGACCTACAACTAGAATATACAACTATGTACTGGGAGGCTTTGGGGAGAAGAAGAAGAAAAAATAAATAAATAAATAAACTGATGGATTCATTTTGCTATTTGTTTAAACTTTTTGTATCTATGATATAAGTGAAATCAGCTTGTGACTTTCCTTTTTCTGCTGTCCCTGTCTGATTTTTTTATTAAGGTTATATAGACTCATAGTCCCTTTTCTTTTGATTCCCTAGAGCAATCTGTATAAGATTGAATGATAGGTTACTTGAAAGTTTAGTAAACTCACATATAAAATTATCTAGGCTTTGTATTTCTTGTGGGATGGTTTTAAACTCCTGATTACATTCATCATTGTTCTTAGATTTTTCTAAGAATTTGTCCATTTTGTCTTAAATTATTGGCATAAAAGTTTTAGTATTTATTCACTTAGATTTTTTTAATCTGTTGAATCTGTAGTTTTGTGCCCATTTTTATTTGAAGTATTATTTTTGCCTCCTTTCATTTTTTTTCTTGTGCCATCTCATCAGAAATTTGCCTGTTTTCTTAGTCTTTTCAGTGAACCAACTTTTAGTTTGGCCAAGTATTTTATTCAGATTTTGTAAATATATTCTTGTCATTCTGTAGCTTAGGATACGTTATGGAAAAGGTGAAGATGGACTTGCTCACTGAATTCTAAACATTTGAGAGCTATGGGGTACCCCTTGAAACTTGAAAAATATATTTTTCATAATGAAATGACATGGAAGAGGTTATCCTCAAATATTATTGTTATCTAAAACTGGAGGTTTAAGATAGTTTAGATATGCTTGTGGATGATAGATGTATGTGAATTAAGAAGTTTAATGATCCTTTGAGTACATGTTTGCTTGGTTTTTTTTCTCCCAAAAATTGGCACCTGAGCTAACATCTGTTGCCAATCTTTTTTTCTTTCCTCTCTTTTTCCTCTGCTCCCCAAAGCCCCCGAGTACATAGTTGTATATCCTAGTTGCAGGTCCCTCTGGTTTTGATGTGTGGGATGCCGCCTCAGCATGGCCTGATGAGCGGTGCCATGTCCGTGCCCAGGATCAGAACCAGTGAAACCCTGGGCTGCCAAAACAGAGTACACGAACCCAGCCACTTGGCCACGGGGCCGGCCCTACATGTTTTTTCATTAAAAAAAAAAACATCCTGCAATCACAGAGCTATGCTCATGAGGTAGTACAAAGTTAAACAAATTCTTGGTTCAATCTATTGTTTTATGTTCTTATGGTTAAGCTAAACTTTTTCTCTTTAGCTTTTGAAGCTCTTTCACTAGCTTTGTGCCTCTGTGCTACATACACTTTGTCCTTCGTAATTCACCATACTCATAAATAAATGCCTACCTTACCAGGTAAACCTATCTCTTACTTTGTTTTACTTGTTTATTTAGGCTTCAAAACATTTACACTTTAAATATTGTTAAAATGGGTGAATCCTCCTAGAAAATAGACAATTTACATTTTTTTCAATTGTGTGTTTATTATTATCTCCTTAAACGCATGTCTTTGAGTATATGGTGAAAGGTGTGAGATGGATTGGTTAGTGTAGAGGCACAGTATTTGTTGGGAAGAACAGTCTGTTATTCTTTGCATGATTATATATGGGCCAAATGTTTTTTGTACATCTCTTCAAGTTTCTTAGACATTAGTGTTTATTACTTTAACATTCTATAACTCGCTTCTGGTACACATAGTTAAATGTTTGATAAGTAGATGGTAGTCTGAACATGCTTGAATGGAAAAATTAGAAAATAGTATAGTAATTTTGAAGTTTAAAATTTATAACATTCCATCTTTTTTCTTCTACTTCTCTCTCTTTAACCTCTCCCTTCAAGCAATAGATATCAGACCTTTTGTAATCAATAGATATATCAGCTATACGTGGTCCAATGAACAAGGATACATAATACAAGTGTGATAGTCTAAAATACTTTAAATGTTTTCTAAAAAACAACATATTAAGTCCTTTGCAAAATTTGGAAGTTCTTGTTAGTCATTTGAAATGTATTATGGTTATTAATCTTCCTATACATCTTGGTTTTTTTAAAGATCTCCAAGAGGTTTATCTTATTCTCCTTGGGCTGTGAAAAAAATTAATCCTAGATGTAATGATGATTATCAAAGTATGTATCTAAAGAGACTAACTGACGAAGCTAAGATTTTGAAAAGCCTTCATCATCCAAACATTGTAGGTAAGTTTAAATTTATTTTGTAGCAGTATCTGGTATTATTCTGTTTATCCAGAAAGAGTTTATATAACCTCTTAACTAGTCTCACTAATAAAAATGAGGAGGATGGTGTTGGAGTTTGGCAAGAATCAAATTAATGTGAACATTCTAAAATAAAAATTAGTATATTATGTTATTAGATGCTTAAGTATATATTTAAAACTTCATGGGAATAGATATACTCATTGTGGTGCTGGTACTATGAAGAATTCAGGAATATAAAATGATCTTATTTTAGATAATTTTCTTATTTTCATTTTTAATATAAATAGGACTGGTGAAACTATTATGTTTAAGAAGGCAAAGTATTTAAAAATATTTTAATTTGTTATACAGTCGGCAAACACTGAAGGCATTTTAAATTAGGTCTACTGAATTAGTTTTGTAAATAATAGCTGTTTCATTGTATATTTGTCAGTCTTAATCCAGATCCATTTTCAATCATGTTCCTGTAAAAAAACTTAAATACTGTTGTTCTTCCCTATTCCAGTAAGAAAATGTCATGTTTTCTTTAAGGTTATCGGGCTTTCACTGAAGCCAGTGATGGTAGTCTCTGTCTTGCTATGGAATATGGAGGTGAAAAGTCTCTAAATGACTTAATAGAAGAACGAAATAAAGACAGCCGAGATCCTTTTCCAGCAGCCATAATATTAAAAGTTGCTTTGAACATGGCAAGGGGGTTAAAGGTAACTATGCCATTATGTTTTAAATAACTTCTGTGGGACATGGAAAAACTAAATACTTTATACACCTAATTACAAGGTGAGATTTTTTTCCCCCCAAAAGAGGGAGCTGCCTTAAGTTAAAGTCTTTATAGAATCACTCCTATTTCAGAATGTACTATTTCCTTTTTTATGATCAGTGAAGTATTGTTTGAGGCCTTCACATAGCCTGAAATAACCCAAGTCAGGTAGTTTTGCTTATCAAGATCATGTGTTAGATTTAGTTGAGAGGATTAATAAATTTAACAGAGATTTAATAATTAATTCTGGAGGTATAGCCTAAGCCCCTGTTGATATAAATAAGCCTCCTAAAGATTGCTTTGTGGCATAAGTTTTGGAGTTAGCTTACCTGTAAATAGACATCGATTTCCAAAGAATCACTTAGATTTCTGGTATGGCAGACTGAGGTAACATGGGATGTTCCCTTCTCTAGCTTCAAGTAATTTGAAATGATGGACAGATAGAAGCCTATAGTTTAGGATGGGAGTTCAAGTTGTTCTTTTTGTTTGAAGGTTATCATATTTTTTTTATTAGTTGTATTTTTGCTCTGATGTGTTAAATTTTCCACTGTTTTAGTATCTGCACCAAGAAAAGAAACTGCTTCATGGAGACATAAAATCTTCAAATGTTGTAATTAAAGGTGATTTTGAAACAATTAAAATCTGTGATGTAGGAGTCTCTCTACCACTGGATGAAAATATGACTGGTAAGTAGTATTCTAATTTTTTAAATTTTTTCATACAGTTTGTAAATTGCTAAGTTTTGCATATTTAAATAGGTAGTAAGTTCACTTTCTTCAAAACTCAAAAACTATAACAATTGTGCAATAAAAAGTATCCTTCCTTTCCTGTCTCTTCCCCTCAGCATCCAGCCCCCTCCCTTGCCTCACACAATATAAGTTAGTGGTTTCTTACTAATTTTAACTGAAGAAACTAAGGGAACTATTTCTAACCTGGATTGAGATTTTTAGTGGTAAAAGGTGGGGAAATAGAAAATAAAATTTTAATAAGGTTTTTAACAAGGAATTCATTTAGCATCAACATAGTGACAAGATTTGGGCAACTGTTAGAAGGAGGAGCTGGAGTGGAGGTAGGAAAGAGGGTGCTGGTAGAGGCCAGTCTTCTGCTGCTTGCCCCTGGCCCACCCAGCTCATTCCTCTCTTTATTGTAAATACTGACCATTCTCTTCTTGGAGAGTTTAAGATATGTTCTTGGTTGAGAACTGAGAGCCAGCCTCAAAGAGAAATCGTCTGCTTTCAACATATTATTAATAAATAACATCTAAATTTGCCTTTTTATATGAATATAAGGTAAAGGGAAGGTTAATGAATGCTGTTTAGAACTTATTAGAGCTTAATTTCTAGCTAAAGTAAAGGTCTACACTTGAATTGAAGGAAAAAGCCAAGATAAATAGAGTGACTTTATAATGATGTCTGTGATCATTAATAAAGATAGAGCTCTCATGAAACCCTAGGCCAAATAACTGCTACAAAGTTGAAACTTTAGGAAATAAAAGGAGAAATTGTCAAACAGAATAAAAAATTTTTAGTGTAATTTTTTCAATCCTTAATAGATTGAATAGACAAAACTAAGATATAGAAAATCTGAGTAGTAAAGTTAATCTCTGTGCATTAGAATATTTATTAAAGTTGACCATATATTAGTTGGGTTACAAAAGAAAACCTCAGATTCTAAAAAGTGGAAATAGTCTAATGGTTGACATTCATTGTCCTCAGTGCTATAAATCTAGAAATTAGTGACATGTTACTAATTTAGTAACACAGTTGGAAACAAAAATCCCCAAATTTTTTAGAAATTTAAAATACTTGTAAATAATTCTTTGGCTGAAAGAAGAAATCAAATTCCACTTACAAAATACTTAGAAAATAATGAGAATGTAACATCAAATCAAAACCTATTTAATAATAGAACTACTCAAAGAAAAACATTTTCATTATTTAACCTTTATGAAATTAAGTTGAGTGTTCAAGTCAATCAAAAAAACGAAGCCTTAAAAAATGTAGAAAGCAGAAGTGAATGAATTAGAAAATCTATAAATTCTACAGAATCCCAATATGATCTACTTTGTTTTGAAACATGTCAAAGTGAATGTAAAGTTCATCCTTGAGGATACATGTTCAAACATAGCTAAGAAAATTCTATGAAAGAATGATGAGTAGGAATTTTCCTGACCAGACGTTAAGAAGTATTATAAAGCTTAATATAATTGAAGCAGCAATACTCATGCCAAAATAGGCTGAAAAATATAAGAGAGTCAAGAAATAGTTCCCAAATATATAGAATTTGTTATATGATAAAGGTGATATTTTTGTATTAGTGAAAAAAAGGTAGTTTTGTCAATAAACAATAATGTTTGGACATTTTAGAAAAAATAAAGCTGTTTTCTCTCCTCACTCTAATCTCTATAGATTGAAGATGGGAAAAAGAAAGTAGTAGAAACAACTGTAGGTAAATATTTCCTTAATGTTGAACTTAGGAAGGACAGCAAAGCTAGAAACTATTAAAAAAAAAAAAAAAAAGCTGTGACTAACTGAAAACTTTCTATATGCTAGTGTGAGCTGCAGTCTAGGTTAACATGTACTCTCATGCACTGAGTAGAAGTTGTAATTGGTTATTGTTCAGGTTAGGAGAAGTTTTGCTATGATAACATAGACTCTCAAAAACCTCAGCAGCGTGGGGCCGGCCCAGTGGCACAGTGGTTAAGTTTGCACGTTCCGCTTCTCGGCAGCCTAGGGTTCGCCGGTTTGGATCCCCGGTGCGGACATGGCACCGCTTGGTAAAAGCCGTGCTGTGGCAGGCATCCCACATATAAAGTAGAGGAAGATGGGCAAGTATGTTAGCTCAGGGCCAGTCTTCCTCAGGAGGATTGGCAGTAGTTAGCTCAGGGCTAATCTTCCTCAGAAAAAACAAAGAAAAAAACCTCAGCGGCATAAAACCACCACGGCTTATTATTCAAGCTACATGTCCATTAGGGCTATGTTGCACGTCATTCTCACTTTAGCATCTAAGCTGCTGGAACATCCACTGTATGAAATATGGCCCTTATTATAAGGAAGATAAAAAAAAGCTCTAGAGCTGCGCTGTCCACTACAGTAGCCACTAACTTCGTATGGCTATTTAAATTTATTAATAACTAAAAATTTTAAAAGTTCATTTCCTAAGCCACATTAGCCACATTTTAAGTGCTCAATAGCTACATGTGATTAGTGGCTGCCATGTTGGACAGTGCAGATAGAGAACATTTTTGTCATCACAAAAAGTTCTATTGGACAGTGCTGCTCTAGAAAGCCTTGCACTAACAGTTAAATGCTCCAGCTCGGAAATGACGCAAGTCACCTGTCACAGCCCACTGACCACAACTAGTCATGTGGCTCCACCCAACCACAACGGGTCAGCAAGTACAATCCTTCTGTGTGTCTAGAAGATGGAGAGCATGAACTGCTTGATGAACAGCACTAGTAACTGCCACGGTGGTATAGCCTTTTCAGAGGGCCATTTGGAAATACATATTTTTTTTAAAAGACTAAACCTTTAAAAATGTTTATTCCCTTCAATCCTATAATTCCATTCCCAAGAACACATTCCAAAGAAACAATTGGGCAGTACAGGCATTTTTTACAGTAACCTGGTGTATTTCTGCAAAACCTCTCATTCTGTGAAAGTCAAAAGATAGAACTAGGTTTATAGAAGAAATAGAATTGGGACAGAAAAATCAAAATCCATGCAGCTTTGAAAACAAAGCAATAACAAAAACAATAACAATCCTAATAAAAATATTAGCATGTTCAATGTTCATTGGCACCCAGCATCAGTCAACTTATGTAGTCATAAACCCTGGGTTTGTGCTTCCTCAAAGGTATATATGAGGGCGTTTGTTTTCAATAGATAGTTTTCATTAAATGTAAAATTTGATCTGGCTTTTTCGATTAAAAACAATATGCATAAGCATGGGGGAAATGTCTTGGTGGCCCCCTTACCTGCACTCTCAGCTTCACCAGGTAGTTTAATGTTACAGTCAGCATTGCAGTTCTTAAGGCTCCTAACAGCTGTGCACTGAGGGAAGGTGTTTCTCTGGGCTGAGGCTTTCTCTTTGTGAGGTTTACTCCTGATCACTTCAAAAATCACATAATTAATCTTTTTTACTAATTGTGTATGAGCTAATTTGTTTTACAAAGATACACATTGTAGCAGAACAGACCATGCAAAAATGTAAGAGAATGTCCATCAATAAGAAAGGGATGGTTTAGGGGCCGGCCTGTGGCCGAGTGGTTACATTTGCGCACTCCGCCTCTGTGCCCCAGGGTTGCACCAGTTCGGATCCTGGGCGTAGACCTAGCACCGCTCATCAAGCCATGCTGAGGCAGTGTCCCACATAGCACAGCCAGAATGACCTACAACTAGAATATACAACTATGTACTGGGGGGCTTTGGGGAGAAGAAGAAGAAAAAGAAGATTGGCTACAGATGTTAGCTCAGGTGCCAATCTTTTTTTAAAAAAAAGGGGGGGGATGGTTTAATGTACTGTGCCACCACACGATAAAATACCATATATTAAAATTATATCAGTTTATATTTGTACGCATGGAAATATATCCAAATATATTAAGTGAGATGAACAGATTGTAAAATAGCAGTTAAAATATTTATTTACACACACATTAAGAAAGTTTTGGGAAAAAATACACCTAAATCTTTAAAAATTATATTTAAGTTTTGTGTTTTAATAGGTAACATATTTACATGTTTCACAACTATAATATATGTAGGGTATTCTGTGAAAAGCCCAAATCTTAACAGTGGTTATCTCTAGATTTATTGATTGACTGATTTAGCAAATATTTTTAATACTAAATACAGTCAGGCACTGTGCCAGGCACTATGAGTATAGCGGAAAATGGGATGGACACAGTCCTTACCATTTTAGGGCTTATAATCTAGGATGGAAAGCAGCTCTTGCATAACTAATGCTAAAGTATAATGACCGTTATCATATAAGGAATTATGTAAACATAATAGTGCCACCTAACGCAGCCTAGATGTTGAGAAAGGCATCCCTAAATAAATAATGTTTAAGCTGATAATTGAAGGATGAGTAGAAGCTCCAAGTTTCATAATTTTTCAATTTGACATAGTGTCCTTGAGAACTGAATAAGGTAATGTCTGCTTAAACTCTTTGAACATCATAAAGGGCAATAAAATAAGTTTCTGTATTGACAAAAAGGAATAACTGAACCATTAAATTCATGAGCTCATCATTTTGTCAGAATCCATCTTCACAGAGAAGCAAACTTAAGCAGTAACATATGTGGGGAACCCATTTCCATTATGTGTAATGTAAACAGACATGTAGGAAATGCACTTGTGATTGTCTAGAGTCTCCAACTGGGACTGATATATTAGACCCAGGGTTCTAGAAAGCTGCTTTTTAGCCTGATGGATCCCTATAGGAATTTGATGTGCTTAGAATGGGGTATGAATCCTTCCTTATTGCCACAGAGTCAGTGCCCACATGGACCATGTCTGCAGACTCTTACCTAGTTGCACATTCCATTTTTAGTATAATATACTCTAACACTGCCTAGTGAATGTTCTGTTGGTGAGAGCTTCAGCTTATCCTAGTCATAGCAGAAGTAGTTTCTAAATCTGCAAAAGGAAATGCGTAAAATTACGGAAGATACATGATAGGGTATCTTTCTTGACCACAGTGGAATTAAGTTAGAAACCAATAACAATAAGATATCTGGGAAAGCCCCAAGTATTTGGAAATTTAGCAACACAAATTCAAATAACCTGTTTGTCAAAGAAAATGACAAGGGAAATTGGAAAATATTTTGAATTGAATAAAAAAGGAAAATATAACATATCAAAATGTATGAGATATAGTTTAAGCAGGTCTAGAAGGAAATTTGTAGCTGTGTACATGATTATACTAGAAAAAAGAAAAGATGTAAATCAATAACCTATGTTCTATCTTATGCTAAAAAAAGCAAAGAAGATCCAAAGGCAGGCTAAAGGAGGAAATAATACAGATGTGAGCAGAAATCAATGAAATGAAAACCAAACACTAGAAAATATTAATAAAGCCAAAAGCTGGTTCTTTGAAGGATAATAAAATTGACAAATCCTTAGCTGGATTGATCAAGAAAAAAGAGAACACAAATCACCAATATCAGAAATGTAAAAGAGGTTATTGCTACAGATTCTACACACATTTAAAGATTAACAGACCAGTACAAACGGGTCTATGCCAACAAATTTGATGACTGAGATGAAAAGAACAATTTCCTTGAGAATTACAATTTATTAAAATTGATATAGGAAGAAATAGGAAATCATGATAGCCCTGTATCTATTAAATAAACATTCCCCCAAAGAAAACCCAAGACCCAGGTGTTTTCACCATTGTCTTCTGTCAAACATCCAAGGAAGAAATAACAGCAGTTTTACACAGATTTTTTTCAGAAAATAGAGTAAGGACCACTGGCCACTTTGTTCTGAGTCCAGCATAACTCTAATATCAAAACCCGACAGGGGCCAGCTCTGTGGCCTAGTGATTAACTGCAGCATGCTCCGCTTTGGCGGCCCAGGTTTGTGGGTTCGTATCCCAGGCACAGACCTATACCACTCATCAGCAATGCTGTGACGGCGACCCACATATAAAGTGGAGGAAGATTGGCATAAATATTAGCTCAGGGCTAATCTTCCTCTGCAAAAAAACACCAAAACCTGCCAAATACATCGTGAAAGAAGAAAATCACAGACCAGTCTCCCTCACAAACATAGATGCAAAAATCCTTAAAAAATATTAGCAAATTGAATCTAACAGTGTATAAAAAGGATAGTACATCTGAGCAACTATTGTTCATCCTCAGAAAAGTTATTTTACTATTCAGAAGTCAATGAAATTCACCATATTAACAGATTTGAAAACATGGTCATCTCAAGAGATGCAGAAAAAGTATTTGACTAAATCCAACTTGCATTCATGATAAAAAAACTTACTAACTAGACATAGAGGGAGCTGAGCCTCAGAAAGACTATACAGAAAAACCTACAGGCAGCATCATACCTGGAGAAGAAGGTGAGCAGGCCTGCTCTCGCCAGAGTTACTTAACCCTACCATTAAAATAAGGCAAGAAAAAAGTAGAAGGCATCAAGATTGGAAAGGAAATGAAATTGTTCATATTTACAGTTGATAATGATTGTTTAGGTAGAAAATCTTAAGGAATCTACAAAACAACTACTAGAACTAATAAGTGAACTTAGCTATTGTATTTCTATATATTAGCAGTAAATAATTGGAAAATGAAACTTTTAATTCCATTTATAAGTACCAAAAAGCATAAAAAATTTAAGGTTAAATCTAACCCAAAAAGTCTAAGGTTTCTATACTGAACACTATAAAACATCACTGAGAGAATTAACTAAGACATAAGTAAATGGAGAGAGAGATCATGATTGTGGATTGACAGACTCAATACTGTTAAGATGCTAATTCTTCCCAAATTATCTGACCATTCAGTCCAATCCCAATCAGAATTATAGCTGGGTTTTTCCTTGAAATCACCAAGTTGACTAAAATTTAAATGGAAATGTGGGTTTACCTATGTCATTCCTGGGCAGGAGCTTTAAGAGCCAATATGTGATTCCACCTTTTCCTGTTTCCCTGATTTAGCAATCATAGAAGCAAAGACATGGTACTTCTCTCAGTCCAATGACAGCATAGTTTGAAAAATGAAGACACTCAGGCACAGAGATTAGGTGATCTGCTCAAGGTCACACAGTACACAAATGTCTTTGAACCCGGGCAAGGCAATCTGGCTCCAGGGTCTGTACTCTTGACATCCACAATCTATTTATATTCCTACCACTTTCTAAGAGAATTGCTGTTTCTTTACACCCTTGGCAACTGACCAGCTTTTTGAATATTTAACAATCTGATAGGGAAAAAGTAATTTTTGTTAATGAGGTTGAGTGTATTTTCATGTTTCTTGACTACATTTATTAACCTTTAACCTACTCGTTAAATCATTTGCCCATTTTCCTTTGGGTTGCTTACCTTTCTCAGTGATTTCTAGTGCTTGACCTTATGACCATTTTACTTGATTTTACTTGTTTCAGTGACTGACCCCGAGGCCTGTTACATTGGCACTGAGCCTTGGAAACCCAAGGAAGCTCTGGAGGAGAATGGTGTTATTACCGACAAGGCAGACATATTTGCCTTTGGCCTTACGCTGTGGGAAATGATGACTTTATCTATTCCACACATTAATCTTCCAGATGATGATGATGATGATGAAGGTATAACTACGTAATTTTAAACTCCCGATCTCCTTAGTTTGAACTAAAGATTAGCTTATAAAATTACATTTTATCTTTCTATTAAGTTAAAATTTAAAAGAGAAAGTTGTTTGATTTAGTGGCATGAGATATAGATTGTGTTAATACCAATGACTAATTTGGTGTACCATCTTGGTTTAATCTCATACAAATGAAATGTAGATTAACTGAGAATAGGGAGATAAATTAAGACAATCTAGAGGAGCAAAAATTACCTTAAAAACTGCCCTTTCCTGAGACAAAGATTGGAAAATTATCATAGTAAGGAGTAGGGGTTGATAACCTAGAAATCCATGACAGCAGCTAATCCACACCACGACAGCACAGTTGAAGAGACTGCCTGCAGTGTAATGAAAAGCATCCTGCAGGATGGATTCTTGTTTCAGGAGGAGCAGTCAGAGTTGCTAAGCTTTTCCATGACTTAAAAGTAATTTTGTTTAATTGTTTCAATCTCCAACTCCTTCATGAGCAGATAAAACTTTTGATGAAAGTGACTTTGATGATGAAGCATACTATGCAGCTTTGGGAACCAGGCCACCTGTTAACATGGAAGAACTGGATGAAACGTACCAGAAAGTAATTGAACTCTTCTCTGTATGCACCAATGAAGATCCTAAAGATCGTCCTTCTGCTGCACACATCGTTGAAGCTTTGGAAATGGATGTCCAGTGATCACCTCCTATTCACTTCCTGAGCTTTGAGTATGGCTCTTGTAAATAACTGTTCACTGTAATACATTTCTATAGTTACTATGATAGTCTGTAATTATTAGACTTTTTGGAAGTGGCCTATTTTAGGACCATAGCACCTTGTGACACTTGAACAACTATTTCTGTTATGAAGGTATTTCATGTATGCTTATGATGTAAGCATTTAAAGTTGTGGGTGTTCTCTGAAGTTTAAGGAACAAGCTACTTAGGTATTTGAACTTGTTCATACAGATTTAAAACACCAGCAATAAAATGCTATAAACACTATTGTCTAATGTAAATTTGGATGAGTAACCATTACTTTTATTAATGATCTTTCTCAAATATTCCCTATTTTAATGGATCTTTTGAAATTAGCACTTTGTGCAGTACAAAATAAGTCTACATTTGCTTATCTTTTAAAACATTAAACCTTTTGCTGGCCTTTCTTGGCTGATTTGCTTATTAAATATGGTCACTGGAAACTGAGAGAATTTGACTCGAGTAGTTCCTTGGGTATTTCCAAGCATTTTGACTTAATGCTTGTCTTGCTCTCTTTGATTTTTACTTTAATTTATTAAATGTATTTTCTGTACTGAAATCCCTTTTTTATTTACTAATCTATATCTTAAGGATTTTGCAGTTCTGGTTTAAAAATAATAAAACTCTAATAGGATGATATGGAATAAAGGGCACTTTATTACCAGAAGGTGTATTATTTTATACTCCATTGATATGAGTGTTGTCATTAAACTTACTGAGTGAATGAGAGTAGGTTACTTTCTCTCTCTCAGCCTTATTTTGTTAATCTGTAAAATGAGGGTGATTTGGATCAGTAGTTTCTTTCTGTGAGCCACAGCCCCCTGGGAATTTTCAGTTATTGTGCTTGTGAATGTAGGTGGTGTGCCCAGACTTGACTGGAGATCCTGGAGGATCTAAGAAAGATTAGGAACCACTGCACTCTGAGCTTTAAACAATTCTAGAATTCACTAGAGGGGTCTTTAAGTTGAGATTATACCAAGTGTACACAGATGATTAATGAGCATATCTTCTATCAAAATATTATTAAAATGACAAGAAAGTAAGTTGAAAGCTGATTTATGGAAAAATTTATGTACAATTTTGCATCCTGACATTGTTATTCTCACTTTGATGTATTTTGTGTCATTCTTACTCCGTCTGCCAAGCTGACAAAGCAGTTTCTCTCTTAGCCTATTCTTTTTAATACGTAAACAAATACTTTTCCTTGACAAATATGTTTCCAGTTCCTGTATTTGGACTATCTAAATGGGAACACAGGACTGACTGGGCCAGCAAATTGACAGTATTTGTCTAAGACAGACATGCAAAATGATCCCGGCATGCTTTTCCCTTGAGTCTGGATCGGGCCTTGAAGTCCTCAATGCAAAGTTGCAGACAATCTGCTACCAACTGCAAGAAAACTGTTGTTCTTGTTCTATAGCTTGCTCTTTAAGTCTCGGGTGTTAGCTGCTTTTTTGGCCATTTCCCTCATTCTCAGGAAAGAAGATTAACATATGACTGGGTTGAGGATACAGCAGGACTAATCTTTTTGCTGAATTAATTGCAACTTATAAATCAACACAGGCTTCTCCCAAGTATGTTTCTCACCTCCCAGAAAATCCCCCTTTACTGTCAGTGCAAGGCCTCCAGGAGCCTGTTTGCATCTCTACAAAATGGAGCTAATAAGCAGCTGCCTAGGAAATGTTGGGACTGTTCTTTCATGCCTCCTAGTAACTACTTAATCTTCTACAATTTGTTGATCAAAATAAAATTGAAAAGATTTTGAAATGATGAAGATACTATATATAAAAATTTGTGGGATGCAGCTAAAGTTGTGCTTATAGAGATTTATAATCTTAAATGCCATATTAGAAGACAAAGGGTGAAAAATTGGTGAGCTAAGAATTTAGGAAAAACAAAGTAAGACTCCCTTCCAATAGAAGGAGAGAAAAGAGCAGAAATTTAAGAACAAAACAAAACCTATCATAAAAAATAGAGAAGAAACCTATAATAGATAGGACCAACAATGCCAAAAGTTGGGTTTTGAAAATATGAATAAAATTGATAAGTCCTTAGCTAGATTCATCTAAAGAGTAAAAAAGATGTCTTATGAATGAAAAACAGAAACATCACTGCACATCCTCGATACCGAATCTCATTCATGAACATAGATGAAACGTTCCCCCCAAAAATAATAGTAAACCAAAGCCAGTAACATACAAAAAAGAAAAACATCAAGACCGAGTTAGGTTTATTTCAGGAAGGCTAGGTTGATTTAACATCCAAAGAACAATGTAATCACCACATTAACACAATGAAGAAAAATCAAAATTATCTTAAAAGATGGAAGAAAAATTTTTGATAAAATCCCATCTCTTCAAGATGTTTAAAAGTCTCATAGAAACCTAAGAATAGAGAGGAAATCCTCAGTATAAGAAAGGGTGTCCATATCTAACAAGGAAGCTATAGTAAACATCACAATTTATAGTTGCTAGGCATTGAAAGTTTGTCCCGTTAAATTCATATGTTGAAGCCTAATCCCCAACGTGAGGGTATCTGGAAGTGGGGCCTTTGGGAAGTGATTAGGTCATGAGGATGGAGCCCTCATGAATGGGATTAGTGCCCTCATGAGAGAGATTCTCTCTCCACCATGTGAAGATAGAGCAAGAAGGCTACAAGCCAGGAAGTGAGCCCTCACTAGGTACTGGATCTGCCAGCTCCTTGATCTTGGACTTCCCAACCTCCAGAACTGCGAGAAACTGTTTAAGCCGCAGTCTACAGTATTTTTGTTAGAGCAGCTCGAACTAAGTAAGACATTAGTGAAATATTGAAAGCTTTTCTTATGAAACATGGAATGAGACAAAAATGTCTACCATTACTTTTATTCAATACTGTACTGAAGGTTCTAGTAATATTGTAAGAACAAGAAATAAAAGCTATAAGATTCTGAAAGGAAGAAATAGAACTGTCATTAGTCAGAGGATATTGAATTGTAGACTGAAAATCCAAAAGTATCAACAGATAAATCATTAGAAAATGTTTAGAAAGGTTGCTGAATGCAAGGTCAATATGGAAAAGTCAGTTGTATTTTATATATGAGCGAACAAATTGAAACTTCAAAAATATACTATTTCCAATAGCTTCAAGAAAAAGCATCAAATACTTAAGTCTAAATAAATTATATAAGACCTCTACACTGAAAAACAAGTTACTGAGAAACTAAATGGAAAAATACACCATGTTCACAGACAGAAAGATAAAAAATATCTTTTACAATCAATCCTCCTAAACTGACCTAAAGATTTGATGCCATTTCAATAAAATCTCAACAGGTTTTTTAATTGGTGATGGCTTTTTGAGGAACTTAATAAACTTTCTAAAATGTATATGGAAATGCGAAGGATCAAAAATAGACAAAATACTCTTGTAGAAAAGAAGGTGGGAGAATTTACTATACCAAATGTCAAGAATATAATAACAGTGTGGTATTGGCATAAGGATAACCAATAAGATTAGTGGGAATAAACAGGCAGAAATAGACCCACACATTGGACACAATTTATGACAAAGGTAGTAAACCAATAATAGAAAACAAATACATAAAAGGGCAAGAGACTTGAATAGTCACAGCCTAAGATGCTCATCAACAATACTATAAATTGTGGTATATTCACATGATAGAATGTTACACAGCAACTAAAATGAGTTTCAGCTAGATGCAATAACATGGATGTATCTTGACAACAAAGATTCAATTTACATAAATTTCAAAAACAGACTAAAATGTTAGACATCAAAAGCTGTGTGATAATGATTGAAGAGGGCATGAAGACTCAGGAGCTGGTGATTTTTTTTTTTTTTTTTACCTGGGTAGTAGTTAGGAAGGTGTTTGTGATAATTCACCGAGTTGTACATTTTTAAAAATAAACTTTCAAAGAAGTTTTAGATTTACAGAAAAGTTGCAAAGACAAAACTTCCATACACCCTACACCTAGCTTCCCCTATTATCAACATCTTACATTAGTTTATCTGTGACAACTAACAAAGCAATGCACCAATATTGATACATTACTATTAACTCAAGTCCATACTTTATTCAGATTGTTTCTACCTAATGTCCTTCTTCTGTTCCAGAATCTCATCCAGGATACATTACAGTTAGATGTCATGTCTCCTTGGCTATAAGTTTTTCAGACTTTCCTTGTTTTTTGTTTTTTTTTAAAGACTTTGTTTTATTAGAGCAGTTTTAGGTTCACAGCAAAATTAAGAGGAAGGTATAGAGATTTCCCATAGACTTCTGCCTCCACATATGCACAGCCTCCCGTTATCAACATCCTCCACCAGAGTGGTACATGTGTTACTACTGATGAACCTACATTGACAAATTAGGGTTCACTGATGGTGGTGTCCATTGCTATGGGTTTGGACAAACGTAAAATGACAAATATCCACCATTAGAGTATCAAATTTTCACTCCCCTAAAAATCCTCCGTGCTCCACCTACTCATTCCTCCCTCCTCACAACCCCCAATCTTTTAACTGTCTCCATAGTTTTGCCTCTTCCAGATGTCATATAGTTGGAATCATACAGTATATAGCCTCAGATTGGCTTTTCACTTAGTAATATTCACTTAAGGTTCCTCCATGTTTTTTTTGTGGCTTGATAGTTCATTTGTTTTTAGTGCTGAATAATATTCGATTGTCTGGACGTCTCAGATCATTCATTCATCTACTGAAGGACATCTTGGTTGCTATATTCATAACCGCAAGTTTGGCAATTATGAATGAAGCTGTTAGAATTATCTGTGTGCAGGTTTTTGTGTGGATATATGTTTTCAATTACTGTTTCTCACAAAGAGCATGTACTATTTTTATAACCACAAAAAATAATTTAAAAAGAAAATCAGTATATTCAATCATATGAGAATAGACAGGGCATATTGAAAAGCATTTTAATTGATTCATCACAAAGGCAATGAGCAAACAAAATAATGTTAATAAAAATTTTTAAATAAAATATTTAATACAATTAAAAAAACAGCAGCGCAGAAAATAGCATTAAAATGTTTGCATAATTACACACATTTTAACACTTCCACATTCTTTTTCGAACCCAGGCTTTTAAATTTTGGAATCATGTTAACTTATAGGCAAATAAAAGAATGCAGATGAACAGAATCCACATAAGAGTCACAACCTGGAAAACTACTTCCCCAGAGCCTTATTGCCAGAAAGCAGTTAAATTATTTTTTTAGAATCAAAACAATCTGAATAATTCTTTGCTTTTCAAAGTACGTGTCCAAGAATTATACTAGAAAAATGTGTGCATATTTAGGCATATTTACATAATGTTATCATATTCTCTGGCCCATCACCCTAGATATATTTATTTGTTAATCTTGGTTCTGTTATTATACATTTTGTCAGCACTTTTGCCAGATGTCTCAGAACAAGTAAGCGTATTTTACACATGCAAAAAGTCTTAAAATGTAACCATATGAATCATCTAATCCAACTAGGTATCCATTTTATTAATGATGTCCATCACCAGTAATAAGTTCACTAAAGATAAGTAGCACAATTAACATTTTCATACACCAAAATTTAATGAAATGACAATAGTGCAATTACTAAGTTTAAATCTGATGACAGATGTGCTTTTGATTAATATGATTTTTTAAAAGATTAAAACATTAAGCTATAGAATTCTGTTCTACATAAAACGATATGGAAATTTTACTCATTGTTTACCATCTTTCCAACTGTTACAAATTAGAAATTCAAAACACTTCCTAAATATATTCAAACTGACTTGCTACAGCAAAGTACCTATAAAGTGAGAATTTTGTGTACAGAACTCAGTTATTGTATTTAAATATTGGGCATGGAAATTATTTGCCTGTCTTTCAATTTTTCCGTTTGCTTCTGATCAGGCATGTGATAATCCTAGTCCAAAAGTGTGCTTTATAAAAGACAAGTGGTCACACTTCTGTGGAAAACCATCTTGTTTTGTCAATGTTTTTACGTAGAGGCAAGTAATTTTCCAGTTATAGCTACGATGTTTCATAATTAAGGATTCAGAGTGCTAGTCAGTATGGATCATCCAAAGATTTTTTCCTTTCTTTGAATCCCCCGATAATTTTCAATAGATTTATCCCTGACTTTTCAGTTCATAAGGAAAAAAAATTGAGGTTTGTGTGTACATGTGTCTTTGTATTCTGATATTTGATAAACAGTTCATACTATATGATAAGGGGCTGTCTGCACTCGCCCACACAGTAACTATTCTATAGTTGAAATTAGCTTTTACTATTAAAATTGTACACAAGGAAATTAGGGGTGTTGCAGTACTTGGTTGCAAATAACTTGCCATCTGGTGTTGGGTCAGAAAATGCTATTTCATTAGTACTGAGAAAACAGCCAAACATGAAGCAATTCCTAAAAAAGAGAAGACAAGTTAACAATGGAACCAACCTAAAATTCTGATTAAACATTAGCACAATTTATTTTAAAGCAAACCAAAAATTTCAGTCTCTTTAAATAAACACTTTTGATTAAAATAGTTATTTTATTAAGTGACAAAATGACTTAATGCCTTAGATTTTAGAGATAGAAGACTAATGCTATCATTTCACAAATGAGAAAACTGAGATCCAGAAAAAATTCTACTGACAGGCAAAGGGAACTACCTAAGCCATCTAGCTGACTCTATGGTAACGAGTAACTAGTACAAGATAGTAGTGCTAATTAAAAGTCACATATAATTAAAACCAAGAAATAACCATCACCGATTTTAACCAATAACTATATTCTTCTCAACTACAATGCACGCTTAGAGCTGTAAGAATGCAGAAACTAATCTGCATTTTGACCACAACTCTCCTTGATCCAGCTCAACTAGGATTAAAAAGTAATAAAATGAAAAGGTTGAAAGAATTCAACAAAATTGAGGGACATTCCATTAAATAACTGGCCTGTACTCTTCAAATTCTTCAATGTCATAAAAGACAAAGGCTAAGGTGTTCCAGGTTACGGAAGATGAAGACTAAAGAGACACGATGACTAAAGCCAACATGTGATCCTAGACAGGAAAAAACATGCTACGAAGGACATTCGAGACAAATGACAAAACTGAAATATGGACTCGACATAAGATAAAATATATCAATATTAAATACCCTGAATTTGACAACTGAACTATGCTTGTATTAGAGAATATCCTTGTTCTTAAGAAATACACACTGAAATACGAAGGGGTAAAGGGGCATAATGTACACAACTTACTTTTAAATAATTTGGGAAGAAAGTACAAATTAAATTTGATGGATCTGGGCAAAGGTATACAGGGGGTTCTTTTTGCTATTCTTGGTAATCTTTTATAAGTTTGAAATTACTTCAAATTAAAAAATTAAAGAATTGGATTCAATGAGAAGATAAGATATAAGCTTCTGGTATACTTGCTATATAATTGAATACAAGTTTATTGCTAAATTTACCAGAATCTAAAGCAAAATATTTGTCTGATTAAATAGTTCTTATTGCTTCTATAAGTGGTATCAGGTATAGCAAGAACATAGATTTGTGGGTTGGAGTCCTAACTGTCCTTTTACTAGCTCATCAGTGTAAACTTGCACTAATAATTCCATCTAAGCCTGAGTTGCTTCTTAGGTAAGACAACTAGGAATAATATTGTACTCCTGTGAAGATTTAAACATATATTGCCTGTTTAGAAAAAGAGAGAACTCAGCCTAAGGTTCCTCATATACAGGATAGCTGTCAGTTATGTTGCCTGTATCTTCAACTCAAATTTGTGAGAAAAGACAACTATGTTCTCAACTGAATGTGTTTGATATTTCTCCTTTGAGGGCAACTTAATTTTAATTCATTATTACCTTAGTACTCGATATCCTAACCTATTACCTTAGTATTCAAAGTATGATCTACATAGCAGCAACATTCAGCATCACCTGAGAGTGTATTAGGAATGCACAATCTCAGGCCCCACCCTGACCCACTGAATCACACTCACATTTTACCAACATCCCCAGGTGCTTCATATATACTCTCAAGTTTGACAAGCACTAGACTACTGCCTGGTGGAACTAGGTTAGATACTGGTATTCCTCATACCAAATTTATGTATGTCTTAGTATAAAAGCTAGAAAATAGAAGTATTTCATAATTAACTATAAAATAAAAATCTTTGCAGACACCAATTTTTCTTATTGCTCCCCTTTATAAGGTATGTGTGGGTGACTAGGATTATGGCCCAGGACTGGCTCTCCACAGTGGTCTTTGGTTTTCTTTCTTAAAAAGTATATAGAACTCAAAAGGCTAAAATAGTGCTACTCAAAGTGTGGTCACTGCTTTATCATCATTATCTTAAGTACAGAAATTTAGAGAATAAGTATTGTGAAAGTCATCCACCCAACCTAGGTTAGGTAAATTAACAAACAAGAAGTAAGCTCATTTGTCAAATTACAAATTTTAAGTATCAATACACAGTGTTAGTTCAAAGTGTGCGCATAGGAGTTTAAAACAGTCGCCAACTTATTTTTTACTGAGATAGAACTCATATACTATAATATTCACCCTTTAAAAGTGTAGAATTCAGTGGTTTTTAGTATATTCACAAATTTGTGTCACCGTCACCAATATCTAATTCCAGAACATTTTCATCACCCCACAAAGAAACCCTGTACCCGTTAGTAGTCACTCTCCACTCACCCTTCCTTCAGTCACTGGGAACTACTTTCTATCTATGGATTTGCCTATTCTGGATATTTTCTATAAATGGAATCAGACAATATGGGGTCTTAGGTTACTGGTTTATTTCAATAAGCATGTTTTCAAGGTTCATCCATGTTGTAGCATGTGTCAATACTTCATTCCTTTTTGTGGCTGAATAATATCCCAATGTATATACTGTACGGATATACCACATCATATTTATCCATTAATCGTGAATTTGGTTGTTCACACTTTCTTTTTTTTATGAATAATGCTGTTACAAACTTTCTTGTAACAGTTTTTGTGTAGACAAATGCTTTCATTTCTTTTGAGTATATACCTAGGAGCAGAACTGCTGGGTCATACAGTAACAATTTAACTTTTTGAGACACTGCCAGACTGTATTCCACAGCAGCTGTACTAGTTTACATTCCCACAAGCAATGGACAAGGATTCCAATTTCTTCACAACCTAACTAACACTTGCTATTTTCCCTTTTTTTTGACTTAGGCATCCTAGAGGGCGTAAAGGGTGTATCATCGTGGTTTTGGTTTGTAATTTCCCTGCTATCGAATGATGTTGAACATATTTTCCTGTGCTTATCAGCAATTTTTATTTCTTCTTTGGAGAAATGTCTATTGAAATCATTTGCCCATTTTTAAATTTGGTCATTTGTCTTTTTATTATTATGTTCTAAGAGTTCTTTTACATATGCTAGATATACTAGACCCTTATTAGATAAATGATTGGCAAATATTGCTCCCATTCTGTGGGTTGTCTTGCTAATTCACTTTTACACTTGGTTACATTTATGAGTTACAGTATTTATTAACTACCTAGTTGCACACTGTCAACAAACATGTACAATTCCTGTAATTCTTTTTTTAAACCTGTTTGATAGATTATTTTTATTGAAATGTTAACTTTACATTTGTTGAATCTAATAAAAATCTGGGCTTGTATTTTCCATGTTTTTGCTTTGTTTTCCTATTTCATTTTCTAGCAATTCATCTTTATTTTATTTTATTAAAGTGTTCATCTATAATAAATTAAACTAGTCTTTCCCCACAGGAGCTTGAAAAGCACAGGGCTGGAATGTTTCAGACTTGGAATGCTGTGCCCTAAACGAGTACATTAGTATTTTTTTTCCAGCGCCAACACTTGCCTTAGCCTGACTTTGATAGCATTTATACAGAAGTGTCTTACCAACATCATTCCCTTTGGCTCATGAGCTGCGAAAGGCTCTGGGAAAGCTAACCCAGATCTAGCTCCATTTTATTGTATTTCTTACCTGAGAGTATCTACCAGTCGTCTTGCAATGCGCTTTCTTCTCTTCAGTCTGAAGACCCAGATTCTACTTATCCCACAGACTGCAGGTTCTGGTACATCTGAACATTGCCAAGCCCTATGACACTCTTTAGAGTTTGGGGATTCTGGACCAGTTGGTTCAGACAGGACACGGAAGGCCTGCAATAACATATAGAAGCATCTAGAGCTAACAATACAGAAGAGTTCACATTACTTTTTTAAAACCATTCCTTAAATAAAACTTAAGTATCTAAAATTAATCTTACAATACCTTCACCAAAAATGTTAAAATTCTTTGATAGTTCTTGAATTCTTGTCCATTTATAGTCACACAATGCTTGAAAAATACTAGTGGTGTTGAGATAGCCCCACACTCCAGTGCATTACATACCATTATGAAACATCCTTCTTTTATTGATTAAAAAAATTGTAAAATTCAGACTCTTACTTTTAATAAAGTATATAAACTTCTCCCATTCTCTCCACCCTAAAATGTGTCTATATGATGTCCTAAAACACTGATAACACTAAAGAAGATTTTTGCATATTAACTATGAAATTTGGTTGGTGTTTTTTTTTAAAACTTTTTATTTTGAAAAAATTATAGATTCACAGGAAGTAGAAAAATATTACAAAGAAAATCCATGTATCCTTCACTTGGTTTCTCCCAATGGTTACATCTTCCATAACTACAGTACAACATCAAAACCAAGAAATTAACATGGGGGGCTGGCCCCGTGGCCAAGTGGTTAAAAATGCACACTCCCCTTCTGTGGCCCAGGGTTTCACTGGTTCGGATCCTGGGCGCAGACCTAGCACTGCTTATCAAGCCACGCTGAGGTGGCGTCCCACATGGCAGAACTAAAAGGGCTTACAACTAGAATACACAACTAGGTACTGGGAGGCTTTGGGGAGAGGAAGAAGAAAAAAACTTTGGCAACAGATGGTATCTCAGGGCCAATCTTTAAAAAGAAAAAAGGAGAAATTAGCATGAGTACAATGTGTGTGTTTAGCTCCATGAAAATTCATAATACTTGTATATTTGTTCAACCATCACAATCAAAATACAGAGCTATTGCATCATCATAAAGATCTTCCTCTTGCTACCTCTTTATAATCACACCCACCTTTTCCCCTCTACTATCCCTAAGCCCTGGAAACCACAATCTGTTCTCTATCTCTATAACTGTTATTTTGAGGATGTCACATAAATGGAATCATACAGCCTGTGACCTTTTAAGATTGGCTTTTTTCACTCAACACAATGCCCTTGACATCTGTCCAAGTTGTTGTATATATCAAGTTTATTCCTTCTTATTGCTAAGTAATATTCCACTGTATATATGTACCAGTTTTTTTAATCATTGACCTACTGAACGACACTTTGTTTCCAGGTTTTGGCTATTATACATAAAGCTGCTATAAACATTCAGATATGGGTTTTTGTATAGACATAAGTATTCAGTCTCTGGGATAAATGCTCAGGAGTATGATTGCTGGGTGATATGGTAAACGTATGACTAGTTTCCTAAGAAACTGCCAAACTTCTCCCAGAGTGGCTATAACTTTTACATTCCCTCCAACAATGTATGAGAGATTTCGTTTCCCTGCATCCACGCTAGCATTTGGTATTGTCACTATTTTTTATTATAGCTGTTCTGATAGGTGTGCACTTAAGTTTTAACTATCATTAAGAAAACTTTGCTTTTGAAATGACAATGAGAATATGTATGAGTTAATTGGCTATATTTGCCTGTTATCACTACATAAAAAGGCCAAATTGATCACTTTTACTGTCAATAATACAAACTTGCTGCTTTTCTCTTCAACTTCTGATAAACACACAGGAGAGATTATATATGTGTATATATATGAGATGCAAAAGCAGGAAAAAGAAAAATAAGAGAAAAAAAGAGAGTGGAATGAAGGGGCAAAGGAAGGCACTTACAAAATGGTATTAGATAAATTTACGCTAGCATTATTTCAAGGTATATTGAGACAGATAAATATTTTTAAAAGGAAGGAGAGGTGAGTGTGGGATATTATAAAGTAAAAAGAACACATTGAACTACAATTTTCTATAGCTAAAGATTACCCTGTAAGCTCTTTGAAGGCAAAAACTACATCTCTCCATTCTAGAACAAGGATTGGCAATCTATTTTTCTAAGGGGCCAAACTGTAAATATTGCATGCTCTTTGAGCCACGTGGTCTCTGTTGCACCTACCCAACCCTGCTACTCTAGCACAGAAGCAGCCAAAGACAATATGGAAATAAATGAGAATAGCTGTGCTCCAATAAAACTTTATTAACAAAAACAGGTGGTGGGCCACACTTGGCCTACAGGCTGCAGTTTGCCAACTCTTCTTCTAGTTGTACTAGAAGTGCTAATACAGAAGTACTAATTATCCTCTGCTAATAAGTACTTATGGTAGATTCTAACTAAGGAACAAGTAATGACTATTTTGCCAAATATATTAACCTGCACTAAGCTACATGTTCAATAACTGAGCTCTATAGATTTGCTCATTTAAATCACTATACTTTATAGTCCAGGTATGGAAATGACTTCATGAATATAAGACTGAATGACTTATCCTGCATACATTAGGCAAAATATCAAATATAATAGAAATAATAATACACTTCAATTATCCATAGTCAAAGATACTTCAGTAGGGAAAAAAGTCATTAACAATAACATTTTCTTAAATGCATATTGAGATTCCTCCCAACTACTTGATTTTGCTCGCAAATTATGCCAATAATTTAAAACACATAGACCATACCTGTTTGATGGGCTCTGCAATTAAACACCCAACTACTCTCTTTTCGTCAGATATAAAGAGAAAAGTTTTGGTTTTATTTGGACAACTGGGAACAACTTGCTGGAAGCCTAATTCATTATCGACAAGTTCTTGGACATCTTCTACCTAATGATGTTAAAAACCAAAAGAGGTCAATTTGTTTTAAAAAGTACAACAGAAACTATACATATTTATATACACAAAATTTATGATACTATCATTTTAGCCTCCTTTATCTCTATTTCCTAAATTTAACATCTCCAAGATTATTTCACTACTGATGCATGTATCTGCCACTTTGAAAACAGTGTTTTAAGAATCTATGGAAATGAATATTTAGCAGGAAAAAACTCAGACTCTTGGGAGGGATAAAGAGTAGGAACTGGGAGATTTGTTTCAGCTTTATTCATTGTTCACTAGAGCTAAACACCTAGCCCAAGAAACGCAGGCAACACCAACATAAGAAGTACACTCTGGGGCCATTAATCCCTCAACATGAAAACATTTAGTTTATCTTTCACAAGTGGAAGCTGAAGGTGAAAGACAAGCCATAGAGCCTTTTCTGTTTTCTTTAATCTCCAACGGACAATTCTTGATTTGTCCTGTAATTACAAATTTAGTTTTATATGAACTACTATAAAAGTCATTCTTACACGTGTACAAAAGTGGATTATCTATCAGCAAAGGTGTTGTACTCTTCAACATAAGACTTCGCCAACTCTTCCTAGTGGGGGAGGGGGAGGGAGGAGGAGAAGAACAGGGATTAAAAAAGCTAACAATCCATACCTTTCTGATAGCATAACTCGGATCATGTGGCAGGACCAACACAATTTTCCCATCCCAAAACTCTGCTACTACACGTTCTTTTTTCCAGCCCTGCCAAAGGGGGGAAGAAAACCCCACAGTTTAATTTGAAGAGGGGAAAAAAAAATGTTAAGTAATTTGGTCTGGAGAGGACAAGAAAATGAACAATGAATGACATAAGAAAGATAGGACAAAATCCAACTACAAGAACATGGGTAGGGAAATAAAAGATGACTAAAAGTACCTGTCCTTAAGGGGCTGACAGTCTATTGGGAGACATGTACATAATCTATTATAAAACAAGCCAAGGTCAAATAAGAGCCCTTCATAAGAATATTAAGAACAAAAGATGAATTATTAGAAGTGGGAATGTGGGGGAGGGATAGGATAAGCAGTTTTAAGAACTCAGGCTAAAAATTTATGAAGGCATGAACTACAATAAAATAGGAAAAAAGGGAATGCATTTGAGTAACAGATACATTCATAAAGATAAGGCCAACAATAGGATGTATTTGGACTGGAAAAGTGCTTGATAAGGAGATGGGACCTCTTCTCTCAGAAAAGAAAAAGCCTGGAGAAGTCATGGCAAAGCTTTTTTCCAAGGCTATTTATAAAGAAGAAACTAAAGTGAGAGGAGTGGGGAACTCCTCAAGACTTTGAGTTTTGTATCTTAACTCTTCAGCTCTGATCAGAAAACTAGAGGTAAGGATGCAGGGTGCTCATTCAACCTAGAACAATACAGTCATGTGTCGCTTAATGACAGGGATATGTTCTGAGAAATGTTATTAGGCGATTTTGTCATTGTGCAAACATCATAGAGTATAGCACTTACACAGCTTAGATGGTACAGCCTACTACACACCTAGCCAATATGGTACAAATCTTATGGGACCACTGTCATATATGTGGTCCATCGTTGACCGAAATGTTGTCACGCAGTGCATGACTGCAGTTCCTTTATATTAGGATAGAAAGTTTGAAATGGCACTTTTATTAAAAGTTAACTTTTAAATACCATCAACTTCAAATATTAAGAACAAAATTGCAGATGACGAAATATTTATGGATATATAGATCTTTCAATATTTAAGCAAAAACAACGTTTCTTTTAAAGCAGATTTACTTTTAGAACAAATTGAAAGACTATTTTTTGACTTACTGTATATTTTATTCCCTCCAGAAATCTATGGTGATGCTGAAGATGTTGCATTTCATCTTCAGGGTTGGAAGCAGTATAGATCATGCCGCAAGACTTACACGTGGTGGCTCCAAAATGTTTCTGACCTGCATCCTATAATTGGAAAAAGGAAAAAAAAAAGGCCCATCTCAACACATCACAAATAGCTCTGAACATCTGAACTATTCATTCAAATTTTCATTGAATGAGTGAATGAAATTCACTCAGTCAAATTTCTCCTTATTTTCCTTTTATGCTGGCATAAGTGAAATACTAAATGAAAATTTGCTGACTATATCCTTTTTTTCTCCTCCCCAAAAAAATGGAAAGACAAGAGACCTAAAAGTGCCATAGATTAATCAAAGAAATGGAACTGTCTCTTTGAATGGTGTAAAAACTCAGCATTCTTCAGCTACACCCATAGTTTTGAGAAGGAATAAGATTAAACCACAAAATTTATAGCTAAGATGAAGAATGAAACTTCTTTATTAAGCTCTTAAATGAGATCTAAAAATGCTTTATTTCAAGGCTTTTTATTATTTATTGCAAAGCAGGGGAAAGATTTTGGGACCTTTATAATCAGTGTTTTTTGCTTAAGTGGTTAGGAATATTAAAAACTCTTTGCCCAAGTTTATTCAAAATAAATAATACATAATAAAAGTTCAGGAAAACAGATAAATTCATGAACATAGGGAAGTCAGGAACATTCAACGTCATGGCTTTTTAACACCCATTCTCTTTCATAAGGCATTGCTTAACGCTACTGAAAATACCAGGTTTGAATTATCTAATACAGTGGTTGGCAAACTTTCTCTGCAAAGGTCCAGAAAGTAAGTATTTTATTTTATACTTTGCAGGCCACACGTGGTTTGTCACATATTCTTCTCTTTTTCTTCCAACCCTTTAAAAACATAAAAGTTGTTTTTAGCTAACAGGGCAGATTTGGCCCCCAGTCATAGTTTGCCAAACCCAAGTCTAAGAGAACGTAGCTGTTCTCATTAAATCTTATCTTGATCAATAATAATTTCCTTATCTGGAGACAACTCATTCATCAGTATTCTACCAAATTACTAGCACTGCCCAACACTATCACTTTGAAAATCTACTTGACTAGCTTTAAATGGTGCCACTACAACAAAGCTGGTATTTACAAAACTCAGAATATCTATGATCCATGTCAACTATGCTAAGACAACATGTCTGATTTCTTGTTCTATATGTGAGAGCCATGTACAAGAAGAGCTTTCTTTTAAATTTACTCACAATGATGAGCTGGTCTTTTGTTTCTTTATTTGTATCTCTGGTATTAGTACTTTTCTGTGTATTGATCTGTTTCAAGACGTTAGTAGACATGACGGATCCCACAGAAGACTGTTCTTCAACTAGAGATCTTGAAATTGAAAGTTGATAAACACTACTTAATAATTTAAATTTTTGAGGAATTACAATGAAAACACATATGTATATAACATTTGCAGAGTACCTTGCAATTTCTAGTGCTTTCTACTGACAGTAACTTGATGAAGTAATAGGGTTGGGAACAATGAGAAACCTGAGATCCACTCAGAGAGGACCAATAATTTACTCAAGGTAAACTAACTAGTAAAGAATGGCAATAAGACTCAAATCCTTGTCTTTTAACTCCAAGTCCAACGGACTTTCATCTATAGCATCAGATGCACATGCGCAGGATCTCTTTGTAAGTGGACTGCACCCTTAAAAAATATCTTTGTTGCTTTATTAAATCTTAGGACAATATTTACCCAGGTAGGATAGCAAAATTCCTAGAACCACAGCAAACAAGTAGACTCTAATATCGAATCTCGCAGATCCACAGGAAGTCAGCCACCAGCATATTATGATCCAACTTTTCACTTGAGCAGTGAGTCCTCATGCCTAAAGCAGTACCCTACTATTCTCAAATTCTTAGGAAAAAAAATTCTTCTGCCTAGATAGATGCTGTTGAGGCAACCTTTTCCCATTAGGAAAGAACACTGGGATCAGCTGATAGAGGTTGCAAACTGGAGCCCCTCAGGCCAAAAACAGCTAGAACACATGGTTTGAGAGGTTCACATAGTGTTTAAATCTTTGGATCAGCTACCAATATTTTAAAATCTAAAGATTTCACTTAAAAATGTTTATTTCCAATAGTATAAGAGACATTATAAGATCACTAGGCCTCTATTTCTTCAAAGAATCTCTGAACTGGAGCTCAACAGCACATGCACTTTCAGATGGAGCATACTTTCTCCAGTTGGCTCCAGGCTCCGCCCAGCCTGCCTGGCTCTGTAGGCACTGAGTATGTAATCATTGCCTTATAATGAAAGGACCTTGGTTTTCAAAGGACCAAAGGAATAGAAATCTCTAGAGAATAGAGGCAAGGAAAAAAACTAAGCACACAAAGCAAGAGGTTAAAACAAAAAAAACTTGACAAGAAAACACTGGGAAAAAACTGCCCAATTCTTTAAGCTAAGCCACACTGTCTTGTTATCATTTGACCAGAAGAATGGCTTTCAAACTGACTTGACAAACCTATGGTAAGAAATATATTTTACATCATGATCAATACAGACACACATATTTAACCACATTAAATATACTTAGTACATGAGAGATGTATTATTCCATTGAAATAACGCTGGCTATGATGCCCTTAAACTGATTTGGCAAACTACTAATGGTACTTACCTGAAACATAAAAAACACTTGCCTAAGATCGCTGACCCTCTCCTCTTTATGCAACGTTTGCTAAGTAACTCAGCTCTTCCCATCCCTGTGTGCATGACCACAATCTCTTTACTTTTATCTCTGCAATTTTAACACTTTATTATACGTGTTTGTTTAAACGCCTGTCCTCCTCTAACCATAACTTCCTTGACAGCAGGATCCTGTGTTATTTATCTTCACATCTCTAAAACTCAGTATGGTTCAATATCACAGAGTATTCTATAAATGTTTGCCAAATGAATGAATAAATAAAAAATGAATGTGAGACCATGAATCCAGAGACTCTGTAATCTACCTAAAGTAAAAATAATAGATTAAACCACAAGAAATTGATGATCTCTAACCTTTTGGGTCCCACATAAAGAGCAATTTCAAATGATTCAACCAAGAGTATCCTGATATCTCCTTATGCTAGATCAAATTAGTTTACATACTTTTATCAGCTGATTGTGGAAGGTTTTAATCCTTGATAAACAGTCATGAAAGAAGACATAGATGAGAAAAGAGAAAGGTGAAAAAACTAGCAATGTGGCCTTTGAAGGGGAAAAGCTGCCCAATCAACCCAATCTCTGAGGCGATTTAAGGTGAGGCACCCCAAAAGTAGGAGAACTTAGTTAGGAAGTTCCTTGCTCAATACCTCTATTTATTTATTTACCATCAAACAGGGAGAGAAGAACCCAAGCTGTTCCGAGTATAAGAAACGTCTTTTTCAGAGCTTTTCTACCTATCATGCTCACACTCACCCATGGCTCCCCTGATCCCAGTCTTAGCTTCGGCCAGGATGGTAGCTTCAGCTGAGATTTATAAGAGCCTTCAGCTGCTGCAAGTTACTTACTCTTCTGGCCAGAGTTTCCTCATCTATAAAATGGGGTAATAATGGTACCTACATCATCTGGTTGTAAATGCTCATTAAACATTAACTATTATTAATATTATCACCCAGGGAAGGCAATATAGCCTAATGGGCTTTGATTCAGATATGGATTCTAGTCCTGGCTCTGCCACCTAACAGCTGTGCAACTATGGCTGAATTACTAACAGTTTCCTCAGCTGAAAATGGAATTAATAATAGTATCTACCTTCGAGGTTGTTATGTGGATTAAGTGAGATAATGGATATAAACTACTTATTAAGGCCAGGTACTGTATAAAAATGTTAGCAATTATTATTACTCAAGGCCATAAAGATCTTTTCCTTCTCTCAACTCTTAGGTTCTTATGAAGTTTCTATGAGAGGATCTGATTTCATCTCTTATTCTCAGTATCCCCTTAGTGAGGAAGAAAAAAATGTTCTCCAAATTAAATAATATAAGAAAGAAAAAAAGACCCAGAAGACTCAGAGTTAAATAAACTTTGAACATTAAAATAAGAGCAATCCCTACCTTTTTGTATTGACTGAAGACACACTGAAGATGGGATAGACAATCGACTCAGGAGAAACTGGTAGGGGGAAAAAATGACAATAATGTGTATTACAAAATAAACTCAAAAGATATAAAAGGTTAATAAGACCAAAATACTCCCATTACTTGATTTCAAGACTTAACAGTAACCAAGACAGTATGGTATTGGCAAAAGGATAGACAAATAGATCAATGGAAAAAAATAAAGAGCCCAGAAACAAAGCTATACAAATATGGTCAACTGATTTTTGACAAAGAGGTAAAAGTAATTCAATGGAGAAAGCACAGTCAACAAATGGTGCTGGAACAACTGGATATCCAAATGCAAAAAAATAACACACACATAAAATTAACTCAAAATGGATCACAGATCTAAACATAAAATGTAAATCATAAAACTTCTAGAAGAAAATATGAGAAACATCTGCATGACCTTTGGTTTGGTGACGTTTTTAAATACATCACCAAAAGCACAATACATGAAAGAAAAAATTAATTAAGTTGGACTTTATCAAATTTAAAACTTTTTGCTCTGCAAAAAAACAGTGTTAAGAAAATGGATAAGCCACAGACTGGGAGTAAATATTTGCAATCATATTTCTGATCAAGGACTTGTATTCAGAATATTAAAAAACTCTTAAAACTCAACAATAAGAAAACCAACAACCCAATTAAAGATGGGCAAAAGGGGGCCAGCCCAGTGGCACAGTGGTTAAGTCTGCACATTCTGCTTCTCAGCAGCGTGGGATTCCCCAGTTCGGATCCTAGGTGCAGACATGGCACCACTTGGCAAAAAGCCCTGCTGTGGTAGGCATCCCATGTATAAAATAGAGGAAGATGGGCATGGATGTTAGCTCAGAGCCAGTCTTCCTCAGCAAAAAGAGGAGGATTGGCAGTAGTTAGCTCAGGGCTAATCTTCCTCAAAATAAATAAATAAATAAATAAGAATCCAAATGAGAAACAAAAAAAGGGCAAAATGTCTGATTAGATACTTCACCAAAGACATACAGATGGCAAATAAATACATGAAACGATGCTCAGCATAGAGCTGGCCTCATGGCCGAAAGGTTAAAGTTCTGCATGCTCCACTTTGGCAGCCCGGGTTCAGAGGTTCAGATCCCAGGTATGGACCTACTCCACTCATCAGTCAGGCTGTGGAGGCATCCCACATACAAAGTAGAGGAAGATTAGCAATGGATGTTAGCTCAGGGTGAATCTTCTTCACCAAAAAAAAGGGAAAAAAGATGCTCATAATCATCTGTCATCAGGGAAATGCAAATTAAAAGCACAATGAGATATCATTACACACCTATGAGAATGGCTAATATAAAAAAACCTGACAATAACAAATGGTGGTGAGAATGCAGAATAACAGGAACTCCCATTCATTACAGGTGGCAATCCAAAATGGCAATTTCTGAGGGACAGTTTGGAAGTTTTTTAATCAAGTTAAACATAGATTTACCACGTAACCCAGTAATCATGCTTCTAGGTGTTCACCCAAGTGTGTTGAAATCTTATGTCCACATAAAAACATGTACACAAATGTTTATAGCAGTTTTATTCATAATTGCTAAATATGAGAAGCAACCAAGATGTCCTTCAATGGGGGAAACAATAAACAGACTATGCATGGAACATCCATAGTTCAGCAAAAAAGGGGAATGCACTATTGATACATGCAACATGGGTGAATCTTAAATGCACCTTACTAAATGAAAGTAGTCAGACCCAAAAGGCTACGTATTGCATGATTTCACTTGTGTGACACTTTTACCGGAAAAGGTAAAACCATAGGAGCAGAATGGGGTTGCCAGGGGGATTCGGAAGGGAGGAGTGGTTCACTACAAAGGATACACCTAAGGGAAATGTTCTGTAGGGTACTGAAGTCATTGATATGTGGTTCTATGCACTTGATAAAACACATAGAACTGTATATAACAGTTAAATTTAACGTATGTAAAAACAAGCAAACAAAAATCAATCACGATGTTGAGGGATCCCAAGATGGAATGCAGCCTGTGACAAATGACTCTTGACTCTAACTATGTTAGAACTATATGGCATAACTGCACTGAAGGAGGTAGAAGAAATGGAAGCTGACCTGGGTAACTCTGCAAAATGGTGTTTTGACTAGAAATTATAAGGCTATAGATAAAAGGCCTGTACTTAAATTTTATACTCTGGAAAATTTATTTCTCACAGGCATATGAATTAACAATGCTGAAACTGTTTTGCAGGTAGACTGGGATTGAACAATTAAGTAGGTGGGAATTGAATGGTGGGAACTAGGTTTCTCACTGTCTGAGGGAAGTTACAGAGAAAAACAGAGGAATGGATAATCCTGTGGTACTGGATGAGAGTCAGAGATATCAAATTTGAACTCATGTTTATTTAGTATATGTACAGATGGAGCAATACAGAAACAATTATAGATACGTGTGTATACATGGGTCAGTACACATACATGTATTTCCGAGCTCTGTCTGCTGAGAGGGCCTAGAAACAACAACACTCCAGTAGCAATGACCACACCAAGTCCAGATCATAGTTTCTAAATAATATTCTCCAATAGAAGGCACCAGGGTTCCTTGGAGAAATGGACTGGGGCAGGGAAAATACAAGATGAGCCTGGAGCATCTTGTAGTGCCAGAAAGTAAGGAAGTGCTCAAAAAATAAAAGAATGGGACATGTCAAAGACAACTGACATGACAAGATTTCCCAATGGTCACAGCTGGAACAATTTGAGCAACAAAATAAATAATGTAGTATTAGATTATGACCCAAAATATAAAATAAATAGTCCTGAGCCCATACTGCTAAGTATCCACGAGTCTATTTATTTATTTAAAGATTGAATAAATAAATGGGAGAGAAGAGACAACTCTTCCTTACAGGAGAATTCCAAATAATACATGTAAATATTTCCCCCTCCAGGAGATGGAACTTAATCCCCAACCCTCCCTGAGAGGGTGGGCCAGACTAAGTGGGTTGCATCCAAAGAATTGACTATGGAAAAGGAAAGAGTAACCTTACAGTGGAAAAACCTCGCAAATCTGATCTTAACCGAGTGATAAAATTTCACATCATCTGTAATGTCATGTGGACACTAGCACCTCCAAAACGATGTGATAGGGAGGACCCTTCACTTCAGTGCCATTCTTCCCAAAAACTCATAACCCCAGTCTAATGATGAGAAAAAGATCAGGCAAACCCAGATCATGGACATTCTACAAGATACCTGGCCAGTACTCCTCAAGAATGTCAAGGTCATGAAAACACGGAAATGAAGAAAAGATTGAGAAAATGTCACAGACCAGAGGAGACTAAGGAGACACGACAACTAAATGTAATGTGGTACTTTGATTCAATCCTAGAACAGAAAGAAGACATTAATGAAAAAGACTGGTGAACTCCAAATAAAGTCTAGAGCTTAGTTAATAATAATGTACTGACATCAGTTTCTTAGTTTTGACAAAGGTACCATGGTAATATAAGATGGTAACCGTGGGGGAAATAAAGTGAATGATACACAGGAACTCTCTGTACCATCTTTACAATTTTTCTGTAAATCTAAAATTATTGCAAAAGAAAAACCTTATTAAAAAACCAAAGTAAACTAGTAGCTGATTAAAGAAAAATATGATGAAAGCGGGCTATACAGTAAAAAGCAAACTTTTAACTTTGCATTGAAAAATAATTAGAGCTCATTTTCTAGAAACAAGGCCAAGACAGGTGAGATTCTAATCTGCTATGGATAAGTTACTTAACCTAAGTCTGTTTCCTCATCTATAAAATGGGCATACAAATCTATTTCCTAGGATTGTTGTGAGAATTAAACGATAAACTATACTTAAGTAATAAACTTTTGTCATTTGTATACCACCTTCATGAATTTTGCCATATCCTTGTACCATCTATATTATTTTTTAATCACTAAATATTTTTCTTTAAATGGACTTAGACAATGTACTGAAATTAACTTATTTTAAAAGAAAATTTTATAACTACTGTAAATAGAAAGGTATTATTTTTCTGTTACATGTTCTATTCCATCAGTGATAGCACAATCCATGGGAAACATAAACCTTACCAATACTTAGCACTGCCTGGTATAGTACCCAGTAAATACTAGTTATTAACAGTACTAGCTGTGTATCTCAGAATTATCATTACAAAAAATCATTCTCTCTCTATACATATATCATTAGATGCTCTAAAGGGCTATTGTTCCAGATTATGCTTTTAGTTTAATCTTTTTTTGTTTTCTTCCTATGAGCTATAGTCTCTCACTATAGTCAGCATGTCTACTCCTAGAATTTTAATTTATTTCCAAATTTATAGATACAACCAACAAGGAAAAGTTGCAAGAATCTGGTTGGTAAGTAGAATGTTAATTAACCTCTTTATATATTCATAGTTTAGTAACTATTGTTTAATTGAACAATGATACTATAACTTAGCAATAGGATTTCAAAATTAAGAGGAATGTAAAAATTAAGACCAACCCCTTTAGAGATCTCTTCCTTAGATCATACAGTTAATTAGTAGCAGGCCTGGACAAAATCCCAAGGTTCCTGATGGCCAATTCAGTGTCTTTTCTATGGCTTAGTCAGTTCTGCTTACAACTGGGCTTTGATCACAAATATATAATATAAATTGTTTTTACTCCTTTATATTACTTTGGGTAAAGGTAGATAGGGTAGGTATCATGAGAACACCCAGCTATACGGAGCTTAAGTAACCTGGCCACATTCCATAGCTCATACAAACACAGGCACAAATACTGAATATAAAAAAACCCAAAAATATTATTAAATATAATTTCACAAAGACACATGTAATGAAGCATTATTACAAGTAAATAAACTCATTATTTACAAGAGAAGTTTTCTCTTACTTACCTGCCTTGTTCTCACTCAGAGAATCTTCTGAAGGAAAACATTTATTTTCACCAGTTTTACATTCCCTTGAAGAAACTACTGCACCTGATGAATCCTGGAAAATAATGAATAGGTAAAATTAAAGGAAACTTATAATTCTTAATCATTTTTTATTTAGTGAATGAATTCCAATAGATCTGTTTCTAAAACAAAATATCTAGTTTATTATGAATTACATTTCATAACCTGATTTTAAATCCTAAATTTTCAATCTATTTAAAAAATTTTCCTCTATATTTACTAAATGTAGACAACCTTTTAAGACAGAACGTGCATATTTAAGTTTGTAATTTGTCATCCTGTCAAAAATGTATATTTCCTGATAAAGACAGCAGAATGAAGATTATAAAACATCCATTCTATAACAATGAATTGAACAACACAAAAATTTAGTAAAAATTTCACCAGCAGCCACTAAACTAGAAAGGGACAACCCTTTGTCATAAGCTTTAAAAACAGGCAGCCAAGGAAAAAGGAACATTCTAGAGTAGCTGGAGAGGCTTCAAACTCCCACTTTTGGCACTTTAGCAGGGAAGTGGGAAAAGCAAGGTAGAAAAAATTCTGACAAATTTCACTAACACTACTAATTTGGTGAGACTTAGAGAATATATAGCTTGGGGAAAAAGGAAAAAAACTTTTGATTAAAGTAGAACTCCTGAGCCAGCCCTGATGGCCTAGTGGTTAAAGTTTGGCATGCTTTGCTCTGGAGCCCCAGGTTTGGTTCCCAGGTATGGATCCACATCACTCATCTGTCAGTAGCCATGCTGTGGCAGTGGCTCACATGGAAGAACTAGAAGGACCTACAACTAGAATATACAACTATGTACTGCGGCTTTGGGGAGGGGAAAAAAAAGTAGAATTCCTATTCAAACCATAATATTTTACTAGAGGTAGGACAATCCATCAGTTTGCCATTTCTCAGGGCTCCATAATCTTAAGAAGAGAACAGAGCCCAGTTCCACAAATTTAAGATGCCCAAAAGCCCAGCTTCTCAGACTACTGAAAACTAGACAGAACTCAATACCCAGCCCCTTAAAATGAAGCTCAGAAAAGAAAATAAGGCAGAAAAGAGTGTTGCAGAGAATTCATCATGTCACTCTATCAAGGCTGTATCTTCACTACCAGATATATATGGAGAATACTAATCAGGACACAGATGGGTGGAGATGCTCCCCACTTTGTTTGCTGGATTAAGAACTAATTTTAGCTTGAGATGCACTCCAAATATTTTAATGATGGGGTTTATTTATACACAGTGAGGTGCACAGACATAAAGTATACAGTTTGATGAATTTTGATAAACCTATATACCCATGTAACCAAAACTATCAAGATATAGGGTTTTTTTTTTTTTTTGGCGAAAACAATATGAAGAATTAGTAGAATTAGACTGTCATGGCTTAGACAGCAAGAACATGTTCCATTTAACAATATACTTGGCAATACCTGATAAACAGGAAGCAGCATTTACAAGGGGACTGCAAACTTAAATGACCACAAGAGCATCAGGTAAGTAAAATTAATAGCAAAACTGGACTGATCTAAATACGTTTACATACACTGATTTAGTGGAGGGAAATGAAGGGCCCCTTACTGTTAAGGGGTAGCCTGATAGTCTGTTCTGAGAGATTAATGCCATGCAGGAATGAGTGCTTAGCTTTGCCAGATCTCAATTTTTCACAAAACACCATAAAACTGTTATCTTATATTTTTAAAAAATGCTAGCTCAAATTTTTTTAAACATAATGTAGGTGAAGCAAAACATCCATGGGCTGGATGTGGTCCACCTGCCACCAATTTAATAATCTTTGACACTGAGATTTGAAATTTAGGTGACTACAAGAGGTAAGAACTGGGGTTGAATTTGAGAGGAGCAATGAGAACAATAAGGAGAGGAGGTGAGTGAGGAGAGAAATGAGGATAGAGTTTGAATTGCTCAACAGATAAGCCTCAGAGTGTACTGGGCCCTGTGTGAAAATCTATCACTTCTCCAGCTGCAAGGGTTGTGACAAGAATAAATAAGTCACCACAGACATGGAAGGCCCGAACTGGGACACAGCCTTTCTTAAGGCCAGTTGCCTCAATTGCTAGATTGCTTTCTGCCTCTAGCTACAGGACAAAAACAATCTTTCTCTCATAAGATTACTGATAGGAGCTCAACAATAGAAGGTGCAGACCTGCATGGTCTATTATGGTAGCCACCAGCCACAGGTAGCTAATGAGAATTTGCAACATGGCTAGCCCCAGTTGAGATATGCTGCAACTGAGAATAAACACGGACTTCAAGGACTTAGCACAAAAAAATTGTAAAATATCTCATTCATAAATTTCTACATTGATTACATTGAAATGGTAACATTTAAAATATTTGGGTTAAGCTTTTTTTATCTTTTTTCCCCCTTACTTTCTTAATGTGGCCACTAGAAAATTTTGAATTACAAGTGGTTGGTGTTCTATTTGTATTAGCCAACACTAGTCTAGGCTAGCAGTGTTAAATATGAGCAATAGCATAGAATGTAACTATGAAAACATACTATATAAAATAAACAAAAACCCAACTATACATTAACAGTGATCACCTCCAAGTAGTAGGATTACAGAGGATATATTTTATTATATTTTCCGTATTCTCTAAATTTTCAAGAATAATCTAGTACTTAAATAATGAGCTGAAACAAACAAAAAACCCAATATGTTCATACTCTGGAAATCTACTACCTGAACTTTTTTTTTTTGAGGAAGATTAGCCCTGAGCTAATATCTGCCACCAAGCCTCCTCTTTTTGCTGAGGAAGACTGACCCTGAGCTAACATCTGTGCTCATCTTCCTCTATTTTATAAATGGGATCCCTGCAATAGCATAGCTTGACAAGCAGCGTGAAGGTGTGCACCTGGGATCCAGGCGAGTAAACCCTGGGCCGCTGAAGGAGAACGTGTGAACCCAGCCTCTGAGCCACTGGGCTGGCCCTACTTCTCCTTTTTAAAAACACTGACTACAAAATAAAAAGTTGTTAGGCTTCTGTAGACGTTAGTTTTGTCATGAGGGAATTTAATGAAATGTATACCTTAATGCCAAGAAAATGTTGGTAGGCTTCTTTAAGCCAAAAGGAGAAAAGTCTCATCTTTCCATCCTGCCACTAAATTCTTTGGAGCAATTAAAACTATACTATTTGGGGGGCCGGCCCTGTGGCTGAGTGGTTGGGTTCATGCGCTCCACTTCGGTGGCCCAGGGTTTCGCTGGTTTGAATCCTGGGTGTGGACATGGCACTGCTCATCAAGTCATGCCGAGGCGGCATCCCGCACGCCACAACTAGAAGGACCCACAACTAAAAATACACAACTATGTACCAGGGGACTTTGGGAGAAAAAGGAAAAATAACATCTTTAAAAAAAAACAAAAAACAAAAACTATACTATTTGGCTTCATAAAAGCAGTCCTGCAGACTGTGAAGAAAATTTTGTTCAACTACATTATATATATTTTATGTATACTGAAGTACTGTTATATAGCCAACTTAGCCTTTAAAGTGATATGTCTAGTTTTCTTTACCTTTATTAACTTCTCTTCATTTTTACTTCTTGCACCCAGCAGCTCAATGTTCAGTTCCTTTTCTAGTAACAAGTCCTTTGGCTCTTGGCTCATCTCAAAACTTTTTCTTTTACTGACAGTCTCTTCATCAGAATCTTCAATCACTTCTGATTTATTCTTTTGGGTAAATCCCAGTAATGGCTTATTTTCTAGAGACAATTTTCTAAAAGAGGATGTTTTTCTACTAACAAAAAATGCAGCTCCACCCTGGAGTGTAACTTGTGGTTTGACTTTTTGGCTTAGAACGCGAGGACCATTCAGATTTTCAGCTGAATAACAATTATTCTCTTTCTCCACGATTCGTTTATAGGTCACCCGATTTTGCTTCGAATTTTTAGAATTCTTTGATACAGGCTTGATGCACTTATAACTTGGTTGACACTTAGCAGTTAAACTCTTCTGTGGTTTTCTGTTCATCTTCTTGGAGCAGACTGGTTTTCCTTGCATTTTTTCTGTCACACTGGGAAAAGACTTATCTTCATTTTTCATAATGGGTCTACTCTCTTTTATCAGCTTTCTTTCCAATGGATTGAGGTACCACTTATCTTTGTTATAAAATGATACAGTAGACACAGCAGATTTAAATGGTGAACCCTGATTTGCTGATGGCAATCTATTTTTTTTAGTTGTTTTGAGTGGACTTGAAATGAAATGGCCTTGTTGAGAGCAATGCATCTTTTCTTCATTTTTATCACTGCTTTGGCAAATGTGCTTTTTATTAGGTGATGGAAGTATATTTTCAGTAAAGTCCAAAATTGATTTCTTTGACGGAATATCTGATAATAGGCTATGAAAAGAAACAAAGTCTATTGATAAGTATCATTATTTTGCTTCAATTTTTATGTCAATCTACTGCTAAGTAATAAACTCTACTGTAGGTCATATTAAAAACAATATATACTTTCCACCAAAGATCCATCCATACATATTATCTATTAGTTTAACAATAGGATTCTCAAATTCCTTCATCTTTACCAAACGAAGCATGCAAATATTTTTCAGAAGTTAAGATCCCAATGTTTGTGAAAACAAACACTGTTTACAAAGAAGCCTTGATATGCATGTATATGTGTGTGTGTTCTAAACTTATTTCTATGTCTTGGCCATATACTAATTATAGCACATATACTCCATTGGCTACAAGTCCACTAAAATGATTAATTCTGACCCCAAGGGCCTGTTGTGTGTAGAGTACTTTATATCTCTGGTATGACATTAGGAAGTACTGAGTACAGATTCCTAGCCTACAGACGAGCATCTACTGTATGCAAAACACTATGTTAAATATTACGTAAGACAGCAGGAAGGAGCAAGGGAATAAAAGATGTTATACATACATTTCCAAGCCATAGAAAACAGCTCTTTCTGATTCCCTCCAAAGGTGCTAAACAACTAATTATGAAAGCTTACAGTATTTCCAGAGCATAATTAGAAAATAAAGTACTGCTATAGCTACAAGTAGTAGGCAAGAGAAAGAATGGAAATTTTAAGAGACTGAAGAGTGAAGATAAGAAAGAAGGTGGATCTTTCTTTTTTAAGAGTTTACCAAAAGGATGAGACTCACTTGTCACGGTTCAAAGAATGCTGCCTCCTCTTCCTCGGAGTAAAAGGAGACATCCTCTTAGCTGAGCTCCTAAAAGCAACGGCACAATTATAAACGAGATTCATCCAAAGCGTATAAAAACCACTGTATCAAAACTATACTTTAAAAGTCTGAAAAAGTCCTCAGAGGGGTGACGGTTCATAAAGATCCAAGAAAAGGGTTTTTTAAAAAGCAAATCAGTAGTAAAGATCTAAAACAAGAAGGAGAAAAAAAAAAAAAAAACACTGCATCACAGTAGCAATTAAGAACAGAAAATAAAAGCAGGAACAGCACAGGAGGTTTCCAGCTGGACAATAATTCTACCACGGAGGAAAGATCTTTTACCCCATTTCAGGGGACACGGTCCCCTCTACTGAGCCGGGTTAACTCACACCGAGTGTAAACGCTGCATCTTCCAGCAGCGTCGCACCCCCGGCCCGCGGCCAGCCCTCCCGCCGTCACACGCCCTTGCCCGGAGCGTGCAGGCCGCCCTCGCTCCCTTAGCGCTCCGTCTACACGTCTCGTCGCCGCCTTCACCGCTTCCCCAGCAGCCGGACGGCCAGCCGAGGCGGCGAGCGTTTGCAGCCCCGGCTCGGCGCGCCGCCTCCCTCCCGACCCGCGCGCCGCGCGACTCCCACGGCTGCGGAGAGGCCCGAGCGCGCGCGGGCCGCGAGCAGGTGCCAGGGCGCTCAGGAAAGCCCCCTTCCCCTTTCTTCGGGTCAGGTAGATTAAAAAAAAGCGACATAAGCCTGCTTCAGCGTTAATCAGAAAGACCCGGCTTCTGGAAACGGAGGTCGCGCCGCGGCTTCCGGGAAGCCCCTTCTGGGACTGGACGAGCACAGGGAGGAGAGAAAGGCGCCCTGCCCCGAGCCCTGTCAGGGCCAAATCCCAGACCGCTCCGGCCTCAGAAAGTGGGGAAGCCTGCGAGCCGGGGGCCGTGTCGAGAACGGCCGGCGGCTTCGCGCTCCAGCGGCCAGCGCGCCCAGGCCGGGGCAAAAGCCCCTTCTCCCTGACATCAAGCCCCGCGCGCCCCAGAGCCCCGCGCTCTCCTCCGCGTTCCCCCGCACGCCTCGGCTCCGCGGTATTACCTGCGCCTCAGCAGCCGCGACCTCTCCTCAGCCGAGCCAGCGCTCCTCCACTGTATTCAAATTATTGCGCGCCAGGCAAGGCGGAAGCCGCGGCGTTCCGATTCGCGGCTTCTCAGCGCTTCCAGGGGCTGGCTCGGTGATTGGTCGCGCCCTAGTCCTTGCCCCCGCCCACCCGGGAGGCGGTCTCCAAGATTCTCCCGCCCTTGGGATGTGGAACGCTCTCTTCTCAGGGAAACCACGCCTTCCACAATCCCCTGCGGCAGCGCGGGGCTCCATTCCTGAGGCCTTGTTTACGTGCATTCTGGGAATTGTAGTTTTCAGCCCAATAAAGGCGTCCTCGTGAACTCGAGGTATTCTGGGGGGCCCTGAGTGTAAGAAGTTTTTGTAAAGTAGCCTCTTCAAGATTCTCGAGGCAATTGTTTTTCCCATTTGAAACTTTATAGTTAACCTTTTTCTATTAGTAATATTTTAGGTTTCTAGCTCATATTTTGTTTTTCAAGTTAAAAAATTAAATGATAGCACTAACATCTATGTGCCAAGCATTCTTACACGCTTTGAGTGTTTTATTTCACTTACTCCTCACCACAATCTATGAGGTGTGTATTATCACTATTTTACAAACAATAAAACTGAGGGCCTAGAACAATGACTATTTACAGGCCTTGTCTAGGTTCTTGCTTCGGGAAACCGGAAGATTCCTAAAGCATTCATGATTGTTAGCTGTGGTTATTATCTTTGTGTCACCAGCTCCTGGTACAGTCTCTGGCACGTTTTTAGTTCTAAATAAATTTAGTTAAGTGATGCACTTAACTTCGTAGAATGAAGTCGGTCAGAATGAAGTAATCATTCATTCAAAGCTCAGCGCTGTGGGAGCTTTACGTGGGTAAGATTATTCTCACTTTACGGCAGTAAAGTCTCTGACCGTTCATACATAGGTTTGGAATTTGCCCAATCTCATAGCTAATAGATGGCAATCTTAGATTTAAAGACAGAACAGTCCAAGTCCAAACCCCAAGAGGCATATTGCCTCTGGGGAATACCACTAACAATTCACTTTAGTTGAGCGCTAGGTTCTAAACCCTATACGCCTATCAATTTATTTAACCTCAGCAAAAGAACCTATGAATTTTCTGCTTTGTTCATCTTTATTTTGCAGATGAAGTGAAGCACACAATGTGTCCGATATGCATCTTACAGAGGTGGAGCTAGAATGAGAATAGTGGAGGAATTTGGGTTCATTCAAAATTTAATGAGCTCCTACGAAGCGTCAAGTACCGTGATTGGTGCCGCGAACATCTAAAAGGCGCATGGTTTCTGCTCTTACGGAGTCCCTAGGGGGTGAGGGGAGGCAGATAAACCAATAGATAAGCCTCAAGACATGACCGCCCACCGGGAGGAGGTTCTGAAAATAAAGCTGACCAATGGCATTTTTCTTTTAAGACGAAGGCGTTTCCCCGCTATGTTTTCCAACCGCCGATTGTCCTGGCGCCACCCTCCTTACCTCAAACCCCAAGTCATTGAAGCTCCCTAGCCCGCCAACACCCTCCCCTTCGCCAGGATTAAAGATGGCGCTGACGGGTCGGCTTTTTGACGTGCCCCGACGTCCGCCGGAAGTGCGCGGAAGGCTTCCGGGGGACCCGTGGCCTCGGCGCGTATGGTATCCTGGGCTGCGCGAGTTGAGCGCTGTTGCTGCGCGCTGGAGTCCTTGCGCCGCCGCCGCCGCCGCCGCCGCCGCCGGGATCATGGTGTTCTACTTCACCAGCAGCAGTGGTGAGTGGGCGCGCCGACCTCCTGGGTCCTTCCTCAACACCGGGGCTCTAAGCTGGGACCCCCCCAGGCCGTCGCCTCGTCGGCAAGGGGTGCCTCTTCCCTCGCCCTCTCGGCCCCCCTGCCGTCCCGAGTGCCCCTTCGTCAGGGCCTGGGGGCCGTAAAGGGCCCATTCCCCCTGCTGACTCTGCGTTCGGGAGTTCTCTTCCCTCAATCGCAAAGACCTCCGGTCGCTACCTGGAGTTGGGTAGAGTTTGTGGGCTTCTTCACAGCCCCCTCCCTCCCCACCCCTGTCTGCGGGCTTTACTCTGACTGCACCCTGGTCATTACCCACTTTGAGGAAGAAACGAGACACCTGCCAGCTGCTCTGCCTCGCAGGAAGTGCGCCTTACTCTTCTAGGAATGGGTCGTAGGGCCTGGATGCGACAGAAAGCAGTAAAAAGACCCTGGAATGGCCATGCTGCCACTCCTTGGACATGGTTGATGTCCAGATCTTGAAAAGTGACATTGATGATGTTTCTGATTTGTCTTTGGCAGGCGAGGGAAGGGGGCTGTTAGTTCCCAGGTAATGCTGTGTCTTCGTTTCTCTGCTTAAGTGGTTCCCTGTGCTTAGAATCAGCCCCCAGTTACCTCCTACTTTGGTACGACAGCTCTGGCCTGTTTTCCGAATACCTTTTCCGACCCAGCTCCCAGCCAGAGATTGCTTAGATACACCTCTTTGGGACCCCCCCGCCCCCCTTAATGTCCCATGTTTACCTTTGGCATTGCACTTACGGTACTGAATGCTGTCTTCTTGAGTTAGAGTGTAAGCCCCTTGAGGCAGGGACAGGGGCTCTTTATCTTGTTTCCCTAGCGTAGTGCCTGGCTCATAATAGTTACTTAATAAGTGTTTGTTGAATAAATGAATGATTTTGTTTAACTTACTCATGGCACACACTATTCTATTGGTGCTCTCTCTGCTTTCTTGTTAAAGGTGAGATTTAAGTGAAACCAGCTCCGTGTTGTTTGTGTGAGTTTGAGTAGGGTGGTACTTTCCCTTTAGAAGTGAGAAAATTGAGGCCCAGGGAAGTTGTAACTCATAGAATGCTCTCTTCCTACTCCACCACACCGTCACGTCTCATTATTTTTCTCAGTGGTTTAGACTTCCACAGAGTGCCATAAGCTAATTCTCTGCTTCTGTAGATTTCGTTTGTCTTATCCATATTATTAAAATTACTAGAAACAAAATTCGAACTAGCCTGAGAAATCGTTATAGGCCCCTAAGAGCATCTTCGTCATTGTTCTGCTCCCTCTGTCGCAACTGGAGCATTTCTTTGTAGCTTCTCCACTCGTGAGAGTCTCCAACAACATAGATATCCATACAAGCCCAACAATAAAATAAAAAATACAGGCAGAGTATACAAGTACTAAATGTATTTTTTGCTAGCTGCTTTATCCTACTTAAAGCTGTTCTAAATTCTTTGACCGCTATTCATGCATGCACAGGTGCCCTTAACAGACACAGAAGGCATCAGCAGATTTGTGGGTCCTATTTTTCTTGTTGGCTTCCATTATAACATCAGAACTGCTTCCTGTTGGAAAAATACTTGGCCCCTAAGTCTAGTAAAACTGCACTTGTGCAGCAAGTCTTTTAAAATTGCAAAGTTAATGGAAAAATTATAACTTTTCCAGTGAAATAATATTAACCTTTATATATCGCAACACAAAAAGCAGTTTGAACATGAAGTCTTCAGGAAATGACTTCATATAGATAGCCAAGTTTTTCAACCAGCTGATGATTTACTACATAAAAACTTTTTTTTAAGAAATGGGAAGAAAATCCCTATAGAAGGTTTGTCTTTCCTTTTGTTTTAAGATTGGTATCTCTGACTAAAATCTGTTCAGTTTTCGTTTTCTTCATGCTGTCTCATAATGGAATAATGAAATATTAGCCTTACTATATTTCCAGTGTCAAATTTAAAACAATCTGATTTGTGGACTCACAAAATACCTACACTTGTCTCATAAGTCCACTTGTACTTTTAGTACCTTTTAGTAGCATCTATCTCAAGATAGGTTGTTTTGTAAATATGAAATTATCACAGTGCCTCTAAAATTGGGTTGCTGCTACACCTGAATCAAGCTATCTTCAAGATGTCTACTTCCCATACTAATCTACCATATTATTTGGGTGAGAAAAACAAAAGTACTAGAATAATTCAGTTTTATTTTCCTTTATTTCTTTAACATGGACAGGAGGTTAATTCAGGCTTCTTGCTCAGCAATCATGCTCCTTTTTATTTTTAATTTTTTATTTTGACATAATTTCAGTCTTTCAGAAAAGGTACAAGAATTAGTAAAAGATTTCCTTTATATCCTTCTCTCAGATTCACCAATTCTATCATTTTGCTACATTTGCCTTACCTTTTCCCCCTTTTTCTTTCTTTCTCCTTCTCTCTCCACACACAGACACACACAGACACACACAGACACACACACACACACACGGATGTTTTTTTCTGAACCATTTGTTAGTAAGTTGCACTTTACCCCTAAATACTTTAGTATTTTTTTCCCTAAAATCAAGGATATTCTCTTATTGAAAGACATTCTTCATTATCAAAATTAGGAAATTAACATTGCAACAATGCTCTTATCTAATCAGCAGGTTTTATTCTGATTTCATCAGTGCCCTCATAATGTATTTATAGTCTGTCTATAGCAAAGGAGAATTGCAAATCATTGTTGCATTTAGCTGTCCTTACTCTTAGCCTCTAATCTGGAGCACTTTAATGACACTGTTAATTGAAGAATTATTTTGTAGAATGTCCCTCAGTTTGTTTCTAGCAGTTGTGTTCTTAACCACTTCATTTATAGGTAAACCATCCAAACACTCCTCTGTCATTCTCCTGTCTGTAATTTAGATACGTTGGCCTGCACAGAGACAAGTTTATTTTAATCATTTTCAGATTACTTTTGTTCTGATTACAAAAGCCATCTCTACATTTTGTAATCAGACTACCCAAAGTAAATATTGTTAACAGTTATACGTATATCCTCCCATGCACATGAAGAAAATGCGTATATTAAAAATATATGTGTCAACATTTGTATATGTATACACGATTACATATTCATTTTTTACAAATTGAATCTTACTGTGTATAATATACAGCATGCAATACTGTTGTGCTATTTAATTTCTTCACCTACCCTTTGAATGGGTACATGGTATTTTGTTTTGGATGTTCTATGATGTATTTAACCAGTCTTAATTAATGAGTGGTTAGATTGTAAAAAGAACATCATTGCTTGATGGAGTATTAAATTAGTAGGATATACTCCTAGTGGTGACGTTATAGGATCAAAAGGGTGTACACATATGATATTGCCAGGTTGTGCAGGGGGAATCTGAAACACTTTTTCATTTCAGTACTTCTGGCAATTGTTACATGCTATGCTAAGGCCTTATCATGCTAATATAGTGCTCAATTATAGACAGGTATTTCTGTCAACTAGTCAATACAAACATTCCTTTCAAGTTATTTCTGTCAACCACTTCCACTAATTATGGACTATAGTCATTGTAACTGCTAACTAAAGGAATTGGGAGTTTTCCCTCCCCGAGGGAGGCAACTATGGTTGATAATTTAAGGATGTTCTCATTACTGAAAGTATAAGCAGTCCTGAATTTAAGAATTTCTGTATGAACGAGTGCTGCTCGCTGGCCTTCAGAGCGCCACTCACATGTGGTGGTTCTGTGCTCTGGAGTGACAGCCTACAGACTGCCCAGCCCAACCTCGCACCTAACTATCAGGTTTGTAGACTGTTAATTCAGGAGTTTAGATCCAAATGGAGTCAAACAAGTTTTGGTAGGCTGGCTTGGAAACCCAGTACCCAGTTATAATTTCAGTAAGAAACTTAACTTTTTCTTTGACTCCAAATGGAGGATGCCCACATTAAAACACACAACCTCAGTAAAGCAAATGTCATTCCTAAGGTAAGCCATACCCAGAATATTCCTTTTGATTTAGGATAGTGATTCCTAACACTGACTTCACATGGGAATCACTTGGAGAGATTTTAAAAACACCAATGCCTACCCCTTGGAGATTTGAATTTGGTTAGTCTGAGGCGAGCTGGCGCATAGGTGATTCTAGGGTGTAATCGGATTCAGATTCACTGATTGAGAAGTTTTAGAGCCATGTTTCCCCCAATTGGGATAGAGAGCCCGTTAAAATGTGCAGCGCACCTGGAATATAACTAGTATTGGCTAAATAAAATTATGAAAAACAAAGCTTGGCTAAGTATAGGAACCTATGTTTAGATGGTGGAGGGGAAGGTTGGTTGGTTGGTTAACTCCTTAGAAGAAGGCAGAAGTATAGAACTGAATTGGAATTGCATCGAACTATATCCCTGAGAAAGTAGGAAAGTAGCCATTTATAAGGGTCAGTAAGCTTTTTCTGTTTGGGCCAGACAGTAAATATTTTAGACTTTGTGAGCCACATATGGTCTCTGTAGCTTATTCCTCTTTGTTTTGCTCTTTTCCAACCCTTTAAAAATGTAAAAATCATTCTTAGCTCCAGGGCTGTCCAAAAACAGGTGAGGGGCCAGCTTTGGCTTCCAGGCCTTGTTTTGCCACCCCCTGAGCCCAAGCATCTGTCACTTGTTTTTCCCATTAAACAGTTGGGTTGGTGATGAAGTTACCTAACTGTCTCTTATTTTTGTTTTGTCTAGTTAACTCATCTGCTTACACTATTTACATGGGCAAGGATAAATATGAAAGTAAGTTCTCAAAAGCATTTGATTTTGAAATTGCCAGCAGGTAAGTAAGTGTTAATTGACCTTTCCACCCATGGTTTGTTGGATATGAATTTTCAACTATTACTAACTAACCCATTATAAGAAACTCCAAAGGATTAACTTTCCTAGAATTTAGTTATACCAAATAATATTTGAGCTAATGGGACCACCTGTTACTGATTAGAAACTTACTTAGAAAGAGTTTTGTGGTATCATTTGATCTAGGGTGATATGAATCAGAGGTTAGCCTGTGCTAATTTAGATCAAATAAAAATAATCTGTGACTTGGACTTTGAAAAGATCACTTTCTGTACATTTTTACTGCATTTAAGATTAGCAGAAACATATCTATTGTTATTTTGAGGCTGAAGATGGCTCTTTTTTGAGTCATGAAATGTTAACAGTTTTTCTGAAGATTGTTGACCACTCTCAGAATGAAATACATTGTTCCCACTGCACTCATTCATATAATAATGTACGCATTCACATGACTAAAACAAAAATTTACCAAAAATATCCATACTATTTGCTATGCCCTCTGTTTTCTATTTCATTTTCAAAAAGCTAGTCTCAACCTGCTAAATTAATTTTTTTGACCCACTAATGAATTTAAACTAAAGTTTAGAAGAAAAACACTGCTGTAGGGCATAGCTTTTTTGACTGTATGAGTGAGGAGGGAGACGAAAGTGAAGTTTAGTTTCTCTGTCTTGATCAAGAGAGCAGTGAGTTGACAGCACTGGCCCTCGGGGTGTGGGTAGGGAGAAGAGAACTACAAGAAGCTCAGAGGAAATGACAGAATGACTCTTCTTCAAGCTTGGGACACACAGCTGCTCTTCTCAGGGAGGGAGTGTAATGTTTTGTAAAAGACGGGTATGAAGTCAAGCCAATCTGGATTAAAATCCCAGCTCTTTAATAAACTAGCTATAGTTACTTAAGCTCTTTGAACCTCGGATTTCTTAGATGTAAGAAGAGGATCGTGGGACCGTGTCTACCCTGCAGGGTTGTGAGGGTTAAATGAAAGAGCCTGGGTGAAGGGCCTGGCCAGAATGGGCTTCCGTAACTAGTAGGCACCATCACTAGAGCCTCTTTAGCTCTCCTGAGCTGCCACCTCTCTCCCCTGGGTGCCCTCCAGGCTGGATGACTGCCTCAGTTGTAGTCTGAGAGCTGTCAGTTTACTACAGTTACCTTTCTTTCACCCCCAAGTATTGCTTTCTTTTTCTTTTCTAAAATCATGAGTGTTCTAAGTGTGGTTTGAAACTGACAACACTTTAAACTTGATCCTTTATATGCCTTTAAAAAAGGCAAGTATAACATTCTTCAGTTTGAGACATTTGACTTTAATGAAATAAATAAGGCCAGAAATTAAAAGATATCAAAGAGCAGTGATAAGTTATATATAACTATACATAGTGATATATATATAATGGTTATATAAATATGCATAGTTATAAATCAGATCCATATAAACAGTTTAGAACTTTGGTTGCCATAAAGCAGAATCAGTATAAGCAAGACTATCACATCCTAGCTAAGAGAGAAAAACAAAAACAACAGAATAAAATAACTCTCTTTGAACAGTTTTTTCTTATAATGAATTTATGACAGTGATTCTGGGTTTGACTTAATGGAGAAGCAGTCTGCAATGTATTAATTTGAGTTTTATATTTCTCCTAATAACCCATAAGTTGTCATGGGTAATTTGTATTTTTCTCGTAGCATCCTCCTGATGAATGTAGCTGAGAGGGGATGCTCTCTCCCTATATTACATTGAACAATAAGGCACAGTTACAAGAGTCATGGTTATCTACGGTAGCTGTGGATCCAAACCTGACCAAATCTGCTTTTTTTCCTACCACATCAAAGGTGCAAACCCAAGTCTTAGGTTGCTGAGAAGCACCCAAAGCAGAACAGCTACCTGTGGTTGTGCAGGTTTTGCACCCTGCAGCTCTGGGGAAGGGGCTTTGTGTGTCTGACAATGAAGGGCTGCCTTGATTCTGGTTCACAGTGATGGATTAGCAGTCATGCTGACCTAAGGCAGCTGTGCCAGTGACATTCCCACCATGTCTTTTTTTCCCTTCAATTTTAGTTTACTGTTTTCTGGGGCTTCTCTGTGTGGGGCCATATGCCAGCCTCTGAGTCCAGAGAGGAAGATTTAGTCTGTGCCTTCCCAGTGTTCAGGCGGATGCCCACACAAAAACAAGTATGGGTAAATTTTGCTGTGAACCTAAAACTGCTCTAAAAAATGGAATCTATGAAAAAAAGTATGGGTGAAATGAATTAGTATCAAATGCTGTAGCAGTAGAGGGGGCAGAGAGTAAATGTAGTTAGGGAGAGCTGAGGAGGCTTTATGGAGGACTGGGTTAGGATGGGCTAGGTTGAGGAATCCTGTAAATGTCCATTGCAGCAATTTATAGCAACAGATCTAAATCTAGATATAGAATTTATGTCTACAGATACAAATTTAGATTCTGTCTAGAGCCCGCTGGAGAGGTGTTTTGTTGTCATTAAAATGTATGTAGAAAAAAATCTATGCATAGAACACTTTTTCTGTAGAGCTGTTGGAGTCTCCCCAGGAGCCCTTGGAGTCCTTGGAGGCGGCAGCTGTCTTAGTCTGCTGTGTCAGAAAGGTATTGCGTTTTTAAAGGACCCTGTTCTCTAGCGCTCCTAGCACATCACACTTAGTTCTGATAGCCTTGATGACTGCAGACTAAGGACTGGATGGGACATAAATGAATTTTAAATTGAATGATTTACTTTCACCAGAAAGCTTTCAGGTGTGTTCTTTTTATTAGCCAGCAGCTGTCACTAGGGAGCCAGACATTGCCTGACTGAGGGAAAGAGGTTTTTATGCTTCCCTTTACTTTTTCTTGTTACCAGTTTAGCTATTTGCTCAGCTTCACACTTAAGCTAGTAGAAAGCCCTTCAGAAAACTCATGGTTCTGCAGTTGCTAGGAGTACCTTCATTCAAGTTTATCATCCTTTTGCTTTTCTGGAAATAAATACCCCATTCAAGTTAGATAGATTATACTTTCTTGAGTACATTTTCAGTTGATATGCATCATTTTGTTTGTTATAATTTTTAACTTTTTGTCTAATACTTTATATAATGCTTCTGTATTAAACACAATTAGTTGTTAATTATTCATGTGGCTATTAGAAATATATATTGATATAACCTTTCTGTAGTGATATATATTGTTAGCCTTAAAAATGTGCATACATTGTGAACTAATACTTCACCTTTTAAATACACACCTGAAGGAAATAATCAGGAATATGGACATATTTATTTAAAAAGTATTTATTGAAGCATTTATATTAGAAACAGCCCAATTGTCAACAATAGAAAAATTTACTCATATGGTAGAATTAAGTAGTCGTTTCCAAAGAGCTTTTTAAAATTTTATTTTTATCTAGTCAATACATAGTGTAAAAATTCAAATAGTAACAGAATGCTTATAATAAAAACCATCAGTTCCCCACGCCATCCTTTCCAATACCCATTTTCCACCTCCCAGAGAAGTTACTTTTAACTTTTAGCTATTTCTTCTATTTTATTTTTATTTTCATATGTGACAGAGTTTTAGGTGATTTTTATTTTCTTTATTATACTTCTGGTGGTGTTTTCCCTAATTTTCTCCAATTTTATAATTGAGGGTGGTTTTTCTTTTTAAAGAAGTAAAATACAACCCCTTGGTTTTAAAGTTTTAGCAAAACCTTTTTTTTCAAAGATTGGCATCTGAGCTAACAACTGTGGCCAATCTTCTTTTTTTTTAAATTACTTTTCTCTCCCCAAATCCCCTCAGTACATAGTTGTATATTTTAGTTGTGGGTCTTTCGGGTTGTGCTGTGTGGGATGCCGCCTCAACATGGCCTGATGAGTGGTGCCACATCCACAGCCAGGATCTGAACCGCCGAAGCAGAGCGCACGAATTTAACTGCTCGGCCATGTGGCCGGCCCCCAACCATTTTAACCTATAAGTATTATTACAGTGAAATCAGTTTTCTAAGATATCATCTAAGTTCTCGGCTGCTCTGATTTGTCAGTGTTTTCTTATCTTCAAATTGAAATATCTTTGAACTTTAAATTATAAGTGTTATAAAAATTATAACGATTATAATTGTCCAGTTGTAAAAACTATTTTTACAATAGCTTTTTCTGTATTTTCAAGCATCAAAGCCTCTGAATTACTCTTTTCTCCTTTAATGGAGAAAACAAGTTATGGAGAGGACTGGTATTTCTCCCACTTCCCGGCTTACTATAAACTCTGGCCTCGCTTCATTTGGCAGTCTTTTTCACCTGTTCTTTGTTGTCTTGTATCTCACTGTAGATGAAGACCTAATAAAGTATGGCTGGCCTGAGGATATTTGGTAAGTACCAATTTTGGTTCTGCTTTCTGTGGGTCAGCATTTACTTTCTTAGACTTGGCCAACCACCGGACTTCTATGATTAAAACTAGAACTTGTGCTTTGTATTTTATGAACTTTCAGTGGTAAATAGCTGGCTGCAGCTCCCTTCATTTATAATTACTGTAAAAACTGGGACCGATGTCTAAGGGTAAACTCAGGCCTGACCGTGAAGGCCTCCGGAACGTAGGCTTTCTTATCCCTCCGGTGTGTCTCCTCACAGTCAGTTCCTGTGACCACTGCACTTACACGTTCACACCACTCTCCTTGAGTGGATGGATGAGGGCTTCACAGAAGCGGTGAAGAAAATAGACACAGGCTTCCGTGTAAGCGGAATAAATAGAGCATCCGACCAGAGCCAGCTTAAAGACATCACAGACCGGGTTCCCTTTGTCTTCTCAACTCTCTTGAGTTTAGCCCTGTCTTGATCCAACCCTACCCCCTCTTTCTAAAATAATCTATGGAAATTTAAAAAGTAATAATAGATATTTTCTTAGCTTCCTTCTGAGATTATTTTGCTGCTCACAAAACCCAGTCCAAAAAGCAATAATACAAATGAACAAAAACCCCCTTCGTTTTAGTTGAATTCTTTTCTTTTACTGTCTTAGAATGGACTTTTCTGCCCCTCAGACCCAGGACCTTTTAGAACTGCATGGACTCGGGTACTTTGATTTTTTTTCTTGTAACACTGGCAGACTCACTGTGCTGTCTTTTCTATCTTCAGCTTCGCCCACTGACCCTTGTGATAACTCTCTCCTGGAGCCTGATTCCACCTATAGAATGGGCTATGGTCTCCACAACTCACATCCCCTCCCAAAGGCTGTCCCTGAAGATAAGCACAGTGATCCTGTTGCTTTAATGATAGTAATAATGAATGTTTATTGAACACTTAACTATATGCCAAATTCTGTTAAGTGTTTACCTCCATTAATACATTTAATTTCACAACAACCCTGTGAAATAGTCACTGGCATGTGTCCATTTTTCAGATAAGGAAATCTAGGCAAGGAGGAACAGGAAGGATGTGCTGTGATTATTGCTGGCCCCCAGCCAGCTCTGGTTCTGCGTCGCCGCTTCTCTCTTCCCCTAGGCTGCTGCTCTTTGGGCTGCAGGTCACTCCTTTCTTCCCTCAGACTGTGGCTGCAGCTCTCTCTGGACCTCTTTTCTCCCAAGTGTGGGCCCAGACCCTTTGCTTCATTCCCTATGGTGACAGAGTTTAGGCTGCCACTTTTTAGAAGAGTTGATTGATTTTCAGGCAAGGTATACAGCGTTGGACATTTAGTAGGAAAAATCTTACACAGAGACGTAAGCTACCCCCAGATGTGGCCATTCTCAGAACCCCCAGGCCTGTCTGCAGGCACCTGCTCAAGGGCGCCTCCTCTGTCGCTCCAACCTACCCCATTATGAAGGGGCTGATTCATGACCCTGGGGCACATGCTGTCCTGTCTGGCTGCCCTCTCTAAAATCCACATTCCAGGAACCAAGAGGCACTAGAAACCGGAGGAATTTTATAGTCTTTTTTATCTGCCCCCTGTCTCAGCACAGTGGCCTGTCTTCTGAACTCAGATAGTCATCAAGGTAGACCCTGCTTGGTACCTACTTACCTCAGGTGGGCAGCTTACACTGAGGGCTCCTGGATTGGGTGCTGCCTACCTTCCCATGGCTCCAGACTGTAAGCCCCCTGAGGACAGTGATCTGCCTCTTTTGTTTACTAGTATATCCCCAGTGCCCAGCATAGGACCTGGCACAGAGTAGATGTTCAGTAAATATTCGTTACCTTCCTAATTGACTAGCTTGCTGTCTAGAAATGGTCTCCACTGGACATTTCTTCACAATAACTGCGTTCTGCTTATCTCCATTTTGAGCACCTGTAACTCCCAGCTGGATTACTTCAGTTGTCCTTAAAGCCCACAGATCTCCAGACTCGATCAAGGGACATAAGATTGACTGCACTGGGGGCTGGCCCCCTGGCCGAGCAGTTAACTTCGCACACTCCCCTTCGGTGGCCTGGGGTTTCGCCAGTTTGGATCCTAGGTGCAGACGTTGCACCGCTCGTCAGGCCATGCTGAGGTGGCATCCCACATGCCACAACCAGAGGCATTCACAACTAGAATATACAACTGTGTACCAGGGGGCTTTGGAGAGAGGAAGAAGAAGAGGAAAAAAAGAAGATTGGCAACAGATGTGCACTCAGCTGCCAGTCTCAGGAAAAAAAAATGGCACTGGTATATAGTTACCTGCTCTAAGTTTTTCACATGTCAGCTTTGAGGCATAAATACCTGCATAGGAAAGGTGATGTATTCAAATGCACCATGAAAGTCAGTGTACCACAGCTTTTTACCTGACATCTAAAAAAAACTGAATAAGTGGGAAAGAAATGTGCAGTTTACAACCTACACCCCATGTGTTGTGACTTGGGTTTTCATTTCATTAAGTTTGACTATCTCCTGGAACGCTTCTTACCAAATGGGTGACTACAGGTACCTAGACACCCATTTTGACACTACAATAATCTTGAGATTAATGACTGTTGTCGGAAGTGATTGACTTTTTCTTTCAGAAGCTATTGGAGGTCTGATGTGAACCAGGCTGGCCCTAAATTTCAAGACCTGTTCTGGTTCGTTAACTATCAATCCTGGAAGCATTCCTGAGTGTGCTAAGAATGATTCAGTGGATCTACATTCCAGGGCAAATTTTCAACCTGGTTCACTCTGACACAGACTTTGGACCTTTAGCTCTGTGAATGTCAGCATCTGAGTTTATACCAGAAAACCTCCTGAGGCTCCTTTAAGCAAAGAATTTTTCTAAGATTAAATGAGAACAGAACTAAATTCATCTTTAAACAAAGGAAAATAGAAATAGTGTGCAGTTACTGTCTCTGAACTCCCTAGTGAGTACTCTTTCAATGGACTCTGCTTTACGGAGTTAAACGACCCAGCAGCTGGGGCCTTGCGTCTCTGCATCCTCAGGTCATCAGTGCTCATTTATTGAAGTCTCTAGTCTCGGCCTTCAGTAAAGGGTAATGGTGGTTAAGCAGGGAAAGTAAGATAATGAGGACAAGAGGGCACTGGGAAACTAGTGGGCATAGTTGAAACTTTGAGGAAGCATTTTTGGAGGTTTGGAAAGGTTTTTTTAAGGAAACTTGCTCAAGATAGTTTACAGAGCTGGCTCTTGTCTGTCTGTCTTACATTTCGACCAAAGCCCCATGCTTACATGCATTCCCCCTGCCCTTTGTAGAGGTCTGCCTGCTACCTCTGGGCCTGAAGGTGGTGCATATCAGCCATGATATTCCCATGTGTGTTTCGGTACTTTGACTACTTTATGTATGAATCCATTAGACATATTGAATTATTGGTGTATTTCTTTTGACATTGTAGGCCTTTAGGAAAAACCAGAATACAATCGAGCTACTGTGGGTATTGTGTAAGAGAGTTGTTGTAAATAGAGAACTGGCTTAACAAAAGTTGGAGTGGGAGAAGTTACTTCTCAGTTGAGCTTGCTTACTAATGGGGTATTTTCCTAAGATCCTGAAAGAGGGTAATGAGATATGTAATTCCTAGATTTGCAAAAAACATATTTTCTGAGTGGAAAATGCCAAGCTGAAGATGGTAGTAGGAATCTCTTACATGAGAATGCAAATGAGGAAAGAATCAGTGGGAGAAAAGTAAATCAAACTAAGATGTTATGTTCATTTCTGGCTATCAGTAATGGTTAAGAGTAAAACCTAGAGTCATCATAGACTGCGAAACATATTTTTCTTTATCCAAAGTGTCTAGCAAGATGCTTAACCTCTTTAAGGAGGGCATTAGAAACAGCATAATCTTAACCTTTATCTAGAATCACACTGTCTACATCTTGTGCTAGGTGTGAATGTGTGAACATTTTCACTTCTAAAGAATATATTAATGCTGAGAAAATATCTAGAGAAATATATAATGGGATGTAATGGTGCCTCCTTAGGGTTTTGCTAAACATTCTTCTGTCTGGAAAGGTAAGAACTAAGGAGAAGATGACTAAAGTTAACAGAATCACAAAGTGACAATCATGGGGTACCGTTTGCTGCTAGGATTCTAGGAGCATCTCTGGGTGTTGGAAAGAGAGAAAGGCAACTTTTGGGGAATTGTAAATATGAAAAACTCAGTATCGCAAAATCTTGGACAAGGTGAAAAAGGAAGTAAGTTTAAAGAAATTTAATACAATTGGTAGATGATAGGTAAGTTTAGGACATTGGAGTGGGAGGGCATTCGGAGTGTTTTTAGGATAATGTCATAATGGGCAATCACCATGCTCTCCCAGGAGACATATATTAGTGCCATTGTCGGATATAAGGCTGGGTGAATTGTTGGTCTGACCCATTTTGTGATGTGGTCTGTTTACCGTCTTTAGTCCTCACCTGGCTCTTCTGGCTCTGTGCTTGACATTCTCTTTTGGATTGTTTTGCCATCACTTGAAACTTAGGATGTCCCAAATAAAACCCCTTGTCTTTTTCTCCAAACTGGTGCCCTCTCCAACTGTGAGACATTTCTGTCAGCGGTCCTGCTAGTCTCCCAAGCCTGCAACACTGCAGTCTCTCGATGACGTCTTTCATTCCCTTCTCACCTGAAATTCCTTTCTCTGTATTTTTTCTGAGTCCTGTGCTTCAAAGTCTCAGTTGGTCCGTGAAACCTTTTGTCACTGATGGCTCTTTTTTGCTTGAAAAATCACCCTTCCTGGGGCATTTAACATTTATCGTCTTTAGTACTCATCTTGGCACTTAGTCTCACACAGCTGCAGAACTTTCCGTGTTTGTCTTACCTCTCCCAGTTAATAGTGAACCCTTTGGAGGTGGTGACTGTTTTATACTCCCCATGGTGCTTAGCATGTGGTAGGGGCTGAGTTAATACTTTTTGGATTGGAATGCTTTACATGCAGTTGCCCTGAGGAGATGGTTGTCTTGTACCTCTTGCTAAAAGTGATTTTCATTTTTTGTAGGTTTCATGTGGACAAACTCTCTTCTGCTCATGTATACCTTCGATTACATAAGGTAACTGGATTTAAACGTGGATTTGGGACTTTTTCTTTAGTGATGAGCATCATATCTTGTCCTCTCTCCTTTGTTGTGCAAGTAATTGCTTAAAGTAATAAATATGTACAAAAGTCTAAAAATTAGCAAATGAAGGGATGTCTTCCCCTTGACACACAAAATCACTAAGGGAAATTGAGACTTCAAAGGGGACGTCATACATGTTTGCAGGCTAGAAGCGCTGCGTTGTCCTGCCAGTTCCGGTATGTCGTCTGTCACCTCTGCTTTCTCTCCCTTTCATTTCAGTTGCCCCTACTGGATTCTGTCTGCTGCGCTGGAGATCATGTTGTGGTTCCTTTTTCTCAGCCTGCTGTGATTCTCCTCCCTCAGCAAGTGCAGATGTTCCCAGTTATCAGGGGCTTCTTTGGGAGGGTTAAAACAGCAGTATAGTAGTAAAGGAAATGATTTAATGTTCTCTCATAACATAAAACCACTATTTTTCCAATCTGTCTTTACATCCATATGTTATATTTTATATGGTTAAATCTTAGAGTCTCTATACTTGTTATGTCTGTTGCTTTTTTTAAAATGTTTTATTTCAGAATAGTTTTAGATTTACAGAAGAGTTGCAAAGAGAGTGCAGAGTTCTCATATACCTCCCACTCAGTTTCCTTTATTGTTAATATCTTACATTACCATGGTAGATTTGTCAGGATTAAGAAACCAGCATTGGTCCATTACTGTTAATTGAACTCCAGACTCTATTTTGATTTCACTGGTTTTTCCATTAATGTCCTCTTTCTATTCCAGGATCCAGTCCAGGGTCCCACAATGCATTTACTTATCATGTCTCTCTAGTCTCTGGTCTGTGACAGTTTCTTACTCTTTCCCTGTTTTCATGACCTTGACAGTTTGAGAAGTACTGGTCAGGTATTTTATAGAATGTCATTCAATTTGGGTTTATCTGTTTTGCTCATGACTAGGTTGGAGTTGTGGGTTTGGGGGGAAGAATAGTACAAAGGTGAAGTACCCTTCTCGTATTATCACGTCAGGGGTACGCGTATTAACAGGATTTATCACTGATGATGATAACCTTATTTTCTGGGCCAGGGTAATGTCTGCCTGGTTTCTCTACTGTAGGGTTGCTTTCTCCCCCATTCCATACTCTGTTATTTGAAAGGAAGCCACTGAGTCAGCCCATATTTGGTAGGGAGGGATGGAATTAAGCTATACTTCCTGGAGTGGGGAATGTCTGCATATATTATTTGGAATTCTTCTATAAGGAAGATTTGTATCTTCTCCTCCATTTACTTATTAGGTTATTTATTTCATTGGTATAGATTCATATATTGATTTTATACTTTGGGTTATAATCTAGCACTGTGTTTGCTTTTTTTTCCCCAAGGAAGGTTAGACCTGAGCTAACATCTGCCAGTCCTCCTCTTTTTTCTGAGGAAGACTGGCCCTGAGCCAACATCTGTGCCCATCTTCCTCTACTTTATATGTGGGACGCCTACCACAGCATGGCTTGCAAAGAGGTCCCATATCTGCACCTGGGATCCGAACCGGCAAACCCCAGGCCGCCAAAGCGGAACGTGCGCACTTAACCGCTGCGCCACCGGGCCAGCCCAGTACTATGTTATTTTGTTGCTCAAATTGTTCCAGCTTTGACTGGAGCTCTTGTCTACTTATCTCCTGTGTTCCTTTAACGTCCTCTTGTCCTTTTGTTTTTTGAGCACTTCTTTGCTTTCTAGCACTAGAAGATGCTCCAGGTTCATCTTGTATTTTCCCTGCCCTGGACCCAGAATCAGCCATTTCTCCAGGGAACCGTGGTTCCTTTTGTTGGGAAATGTATTTAGAAATCAAGATCTGAACTCTGGGTGTGGTAATTGCTTCTAGCCCTCTCACCTGACAGAGCTAGGAAATACATGTGTACATACTAACCCATGTGTGCACGCACATGAATAATTGTTTCCGTCTCTCTCCCTCTGTGTCTACATTAGCTAAACACGAGCTCACACTGATGTCTCCGACTAATCCATTACTACAGGGGCCATTCTGGCCTTTCCTCCTTGCTTATGAGTAACTTCCTTCTCAGACAGTGAGAAGCCTGGCTCCCACCGTCCACCATCCATTTGGTTATTTATTTGACTCCAAAATATGTGTAAGTGGTTTCAGATTTGTTAACCTCTATCCCCCTGAGAAACAACTTTATCAAGTGAAGTACAGTGTTTATATCTTTTTGCCGTACAGTTTCGAGTCCAAATGCTGTTTTCCAAAGTTACTTGTAGGCTTCTTTTTTCCCCCCACACCCTTTGGTGCTGTTATGTCATACTCTTATAAGACAGTTAGATTCTTTTATCTTGGTCTGCATTCCATCCTGGCATCCCCTGGTTGATTGTATCACTTTTTTTTTTTTTTAAGATTTTATTTTTGCTTTTTCTCCCAAATGCCCCCGGTACATACTTGTGTATTGTTAGTTGTGGGTCCATCTAGTTGTGGCATGTGCGATGCCACCTCAACGTGGCCCGATGAACGGTGCCATGTCGGTACCCAGGATTCGAACCAGTGAAACCCCGGGCTGCTGAAGCAGAGAGCACAAACCCAACCACTCGTCCACATGGTCGACCCCCTGTATCACTTTTTAAAGTTATAGTTTATACACTTTTTTATGTTGCTGTATTATTTTCGTATTTATTATTTTGGCTGGCTGCTTTGAGTTGAAAATATGCCACAATTAATATGAAACCTTTCTTGTCAGAATTTAGATTGCTTACAGTTTTTGTCATTATGAATCCCCAACAAGAAATATGTTTTTATGAACTACTTTCTCTTTTTCTTTTGAATTGTTCTTAGAGTAATTCTCAGAAATGGGATTACTGGATCAGAAAATACAAACAGTTTGGTATCTCCTTTTATGCCAGATTGCCCTCTGAAAGTATTGTGCTAGTTTAAAATGCTATCTGATATATATAGATTTTCCAAACACTGGGATTTTATAACTTAAAAAAAACCGTAACAGCCTTTTGACATTTCAGTAAATACGAGATGCTACTTCACTATAGTTATAATATTTACATCTTAATTTACTAACAAGGTTAAACATCATGCTTCGTCTTTACTTATACTATTTATTCTTTTGAAAACTATTGTAAAGGAAAGGAGGAAGATTGTGAACTCTGCTGGAACAAAATTCTGAATTCTCCTAGGCAACTTTTGCCATTTTGGAACTATTTTAGGTTTAGAAAAAATGGAGTATGGTGTTACCAAATTTCCTTTTGGTTCAGATTAAACTTTTTACTTTGGATTCTGCTGTGTCAGAAAATGGAAATAGTGGTGGTAGTCCCAAGTTCCCATTACCACCAGTTACTACTTATTCGAATAGAAGTTTAATTTCCTTTTCTTCTGGAAGCATATAGTGTGCTCAATAAAAAAAATGAACCAACTTTTACCTGGTTGACCTCCTGCAGTAAACAGCACAGCCCTCTGTACTTAGTAGGTATCAAGTAAGTGCTGGAGATGCAGCAAGACTAAGTGGTTCAGAGCCCAGACTCTGGACACAGACTGCTGGGTTTGCATCCTGGCTCTGCTGCTTACTAGCTGTGTGACTTGAGCAAGTGACTTAACTGTGCCCAGTCCCTCATCTGTGAAAGGGAGCTGATACTACCTATCTTATAGGGTCATTGTGAGGATTAACTGAGCTAGCATAACAGAAGCACTTAGAGTAATGCCTGGCACATGCTATGCACTATATGTGTTAATCCCTTTTTGTTGAATTCAGTTGAATTCAACCCAAACTTTAGAGATCATAGATATTCAGCAGTTTTTTCCTAGGCTTTTTTGATTTTTGAAAACCCATTGAAAAATCTCACTTATCTAGAGTTTTCTTATCTCATTAACATAGATGACACAAAGCCTGCAGTCAAAATCTGACCTTTCCAAGAGTACCTTAGACTCTCCACTCAGAGTCCCTTGACTCTGACCTCATGCATAATGCTAAGCCGAAAGGGTTTTTTTTGTTCTGCTCATATTGTATGAGAAGTAGCAAAACAGGAGGAGGAGATTACTTCAGGGATAGTGACAGCCACAGCTAAGAAGGGATACTGGGACACAGCCTGATGTCAAGGACCAGGAAACTGTGTTTCCACAAGAATTCCATAAGTGCCATATTCTGGGACCAGCCATTAGAGCATAGCTTTAGCCCTGGGTTCATCTCCCAGTTCTGTCACTTACTAGATATGGGGGACCTCGGTCCAGCTATTTAACCTCACGAGGCTTCCTTTTCTTTGTTGGTAAAGTGAGGATAGTACTCTTCCATTTCATATGGGTGTTTACATACTACCTGGTACATGGTAGGTACTCAAAAAGTGACAGCTGTTGTTTTGTTTTATAATTAGTTCTTTTGATTTATTTAGTATAGGGTCACTCAGCTTCTGTGTATTTTAGAAGCCCCTGAAGGCATCTCTATTACTATATTATAGCCTACTGTAATGGCTGATATTCATAATGATGACATTGTGTTATCAAGATGTTAAATTCGGAAACCCCTATATAAGTGGTCAGGGAATTGCATGGGATGAGATACATTGTGAAAGTAGTGACAAACATAAAGCACTTATTTTTTGGTCAAAATTTGTGTGTGTGAGAGACTCCCATTTAAAACATTTAAAATAAAAAATTTAGAAACATTATAGAATAAACTTAGCTTATCTCAAATGTTTAGGTAGGTAGAACATTTTATTCCCAGACAGAAGTGCTTCTCTAATTCCATACCTAGTAGGAGCCAGTGCTGAGTTGATTTCCACTCGCCCCTGCCTCTGAAATATTTTTGTTCTTTTGGAATTGATACTGAGCAGTGTGCTCCCTCTGCCTGCCGAGGTCTGAGCCAATTAATCACAACGAGTTATAGATGAAGAAAGGAGTTTTAATTAGATTAGACTAGCCAGCAAATCAGAAGATGGGTGACTAATGTCTCAAAAACCCATCTTCAAGGATTGCAGAATCTTGAGGCAGTTGTATAGGGAAAACGGGCAGTAAGGAGGAGGTTTTCTTCAGGCGTGACAGACTCCAGGGTCTTTTATTGTTGCATTCTTCTGTCTGCTGTGATGGATACCTTGTAGGTGTGTTTCCCGTCTGTGGTCAGCCTGTTCCTGGAGAGAAACTCTTAGAACAAAGTTTTAAATTATCAAGCTGTCGGGGAGTACGTACGTAAGTGCGAGGGCATAAGTTAGGAGAGCATGTGAATTTTTTAGAGTACGTGCAGAGCAGCGAGTAGTCACACAGAGAAGGGGCTGGGGCCATTTAGCGTAACAAGATGGCCTCACTTTTGCTTACTTACAGAATGGCTTTGCTTATTCAGCTTTGACTTTGATACGGTATCTGTAGAGAAAATGATTCAATATTATTTCTTCCTTATGATGGATGGTTATATCTAGCACACCAAGAGCTTGCCTCCTGATTAAGCCTAAGGATAGATGACCTACCAGATGTTTGAGACCTAAAGCTATAAGATGTCTCTTTGAGAGGAAGGTCGTGGCGACCTCAGCTAAGAAGACTTCCAGTTGTCAAAAATAGGCCCCATTTCCCCACAGGGTTTCTAGAAGAATGAGGAGAAACAGGGAAAAATTACTCAGACATAATTACAGTTAATATTTTGGTGGTTTTCCTTCATACCGTTGTTGGTTTTTTTAACTTATTAAGTATCACTGTTTTCCATATTACCTCCTTTTCTTAGTTTAAGTAAACATTCTCATAATGGACTTCATTTTTCAGTTTTGAAATACAATTGAAGAGGCCCTGCTTTTAATAAAATTGTGCTTAGTAAGGTAGCAAAGCCCTATTAGTGCTCCAGTATCAATCAGTACAAGGTAGTGGACCATTTGATTTATTTTTTTGTTTCAGGGGGAGACGATAGAAGACATTCCAAAGGAAGTACTGATGGACTGTGCCCATCTTGTGAAGGCCAATAGCATTCAAGGTCAGTTTTTCTAGAGGTGTTCTCAGAATTAGCACTGATTTCTCTGTGTCTGAAATGGATTACATTTTACAGAACATGTTAATTGACTTTGGCTTGAGTCAAAGGGATAATGTGTAATATGCCTTTCACCTGTTTTGTTCTTTAAGATGGCAGTTGTGCTACCTGTAAAAGAACTAAAAACTAATTTCTCCACCACTCTAATGTTCATGACCCTGTATCACCTCTTTTTACCCGATTTTCCTTACCTTGAATAGAAGGTTGTCTAGACCTGCCTACCCTGAAGGTTATTTGTAGAAAGAGTGTTTTGGAAATTAGATATGTTAATAGCTAAGCAAGCGATGTGTCTCATGGCTGTTTTTTCAGTGTTGTTCAATATCTTTATTTCCATCATTTGTCATTAGATTTTAGAACTGAAGTCTCTAAATCACTCTTTCCTACAAGTCGTAAAGGTATCAAGTCAGTTGATCTTGTTTTCTCCCTGAGAATCTTATTTAATTGGCCTGGGATGATCCGTGAGTATCAGTATTTTTATGTTGCTCTCCGGCTGATTCTAATGCACAGAGCGGGTTGAGAAAATCAGCCTAAGTGTTTTAGGTAGAGCCTGTCCTACTGGGCTTGGTGCTTGTTTATTTCTGCTGTGCAAGTATAATCTATCAATAGTCAATATAGGTAAAGAAAGACAAATATTGAGGTGAAGGTGGGAGTTAAAAAGGGGAGTCAGGAGGTGGTGTTCTGTTAAGAATGATTAAGCTAGTAGATTGGATTTTAAATGTAGGATATAGACCTAGATAGGGGAGAGGTAAGTTTGGTTCGATATGAAGTTGAAGGATGATCCAGAGGATTGGAGAGAAACATGATTTGGGTAGAAGATAAGCATGCAGCAGACACGTGGCCGAAAGCAGGTACCAGAGGTTGGTGATTCTAGGACAAGAGCTGGGCAGTGTACCCCATTCCCCGTCACTTAGACTGCGTTTCATGAATCTGACTTGGGCAGCTGTAATGAGTCAGCTACCTAGCCAAAGAAAGTGGAGGTCTTGTCTTCACAGAGCCACTGGTTTTCAATTCCATAAATCATTGAATTGTGGTTAGTTTTAGTCCATTCCATGTTTATGAGTAGAACAGAGTTTCTAAGATTTCTAGTTAAGATCTTCAGTTATTGAAATAAAAATAATAAAAATTAAAACAATCATTATCCTCTTTACTTGTATGTTGCAAGCTCTTTCATAAGTTCTTGTCCACTTTCCATGCGCCTTGCCAGCAGATGTGACTTTATTAAAAGAGCTTTGAACTCTTTTAGTCTTGGCCTAGCCTCTTTCTTCTTAATCTCTTTATAGTTTACTAGTTCTAGAGAAAACAGAAAAGAGGAGGGAAGAGTCATGACACTGAATTACTTTTCCCTCCTCTTCAGCCTTCCACAGGGATAGCCCACTTAGCAGAATAAGGAGGTAAACCCAAGAGTCTCTCTCTTCAGAGTTGGGAGTCGATAGCAGAGAATGCTGAGTGATGACGATTATGTTTGCTGTGAGATTTGCGTCACTGTGGAGTTAAAATATTCTCCTACCTGCTTGACCACCGTCAGTGCTCAGAACCAAGGGAGTTGTGGTTAAACGTGTTTATCTTCATAGAACCTGGTCAGCCTGTTCTGTCTTCATTTTATAGTCTCTTGCCAGATAAAACTTTCTAAAAGCTTGGGCACTTTCTGTGGTACGCCCCACCTTGTCTGTACAGTTAAGTCCAAGCTTGTTAAGCTGGCATTTGAGCATCTCTGATCTGGCTACAGACTTCTTCTCTCTTTTCATATTTCACACATCTGCAAAGCAGATATTTGCTGTTTTCCTACATTGTGCCTTTGCTTATCTTCTTTCTGCTCTCACTTTTGCCCTCCTCCTCAGTCATTACGTGTCCAGATCCAAGCTAAGGTTCAAGGTCCACATAGCAGTTGTAGTAGTAGTAGTAATAGCTGACACTAAATGTTAATTACATGCCTGGCACTGTGCTAAAATATTTAGATTATTTCATTTATCAACCCTACTGAGTTAGATATTATTTTCATTTTGGAGATGAGGAAGCTGAGCTTAAAGAGAATTAGGGAACTTGCCCAAAGTCTCAGAGGTCTGAAGTGTGATAGAGGCTGCATTTGAAGTCAGACAGTTTGATTCTGAAGTCTTCTGTCTTAACCACTTAAGCTGTGTTAACCTCTCCCTTAGAGCCTTTCCCTTCTCCAGCTTTGCGTGACCCCTGCCCTCTCTGAACTGTCTTAGCACTTTCCCTGTACCTTTCTAATATCATTTTACAAGTTCTACTTTTAATTGAAGTTATTTATGTACTTATCTGCCCTCCTTTAGTCCTGGAAGGCAAAATCCATTGTCTGATCCATGTTTGTATCTCCACAGTATATGGAGATTTTTTAAAACTTAGTTTTGAAAAAAATTTCAAGGGGCTGGCCCCGCAGCCAAGTGGTTAAGTTTGCACCCTCCACTTCGACAGCCCAGGGTTTCGCCGGTTCAGATCCTGGGTGCAGACCTAGCACTGCTCATCAAGCCATGCTGAGGTGGCTTCCCACGTAGCAGAACTGGAAGGACCTATACCTAGAATATACAGCTGTGTACTGTGGGGCTTTGGGGAGAAGAAAAAGAAAAAAATTTTCAAACCTACAAAAAACTTGCAAGAAAATACTGCTCTCATATGTCCTTCACTTAGATTTAACAATTTTTCCATATTTATTTGCTTTCTCTCTTTAACGTACTCATGATAATTTTATTAGCTGAACCATTTGGAAGAAAATCCTAGACATCACGACCCTTCAGCATGTCCTAAGAAAAAGGACATTGTCTTAAGTAACTGCATTACATTGATCAAATTCAGGAAATTTAATGTGGATAGAATACTATTATTTGGTATACACTTCATATATAAGTTTGGCCAATTGTTCCACTACTGTTCCCTTATAACATATTTTTCTGATACAGGATCATGTGTTATATTTACTTGTCATATCTCTGTAGTCTCCTTTAATCTGGAGATACTTCTTTGTATTTGAAGACATTGATACTTTTAGAATGGAGACCAGTTGTAGAACATCCCACAATTTGGGTTGGTGTGATGCTTCCTCTTGAGTAAGACCACGTTATGTGTTTTCCGGCCGGAATACTACATAAGTGAAGTCTTGCGCATTACAGTCCAGAGGCACATGGTGCCATTTTGCCCCATTTTTGACGGTTAATTTTGATCACTTAGGTAAGGTGGTGTTCACCAGACTTCTCCAATGTACGTGGTGATTTAATGAACCTCGAAGTATATTGCTATCTAATTTGGAAGGGCCTTAAAGAGTGTTGGATCAATGATGAAACTGTGGTTCTTAGAGCTTCCTGGGAGACTGTGAGGGGTAGAGGTAAAATGAGGGGATAGGAGGAGGAAAGCACCGGGTATCTGGAACCCCATTCATCCAGAGCATCTCTACTTTGATTACTTTGATATATCTTCTTTGGTAAAAGAGGTTCCACTTGCTAAAAGAAACAAAAAACAAAAATGCTGCTAAACTAGTCCAATTTCCTCATAAGATTCCGAGAGCCATGGGAACGTTTCCACAGTGACACGGCTGGTTTGTGGTAGTGCCAGGATAGAGTGCAGGTCTCCTGAATCCCAGGCCAGGGCTTTTTGCTCTGTCTTGCTTCTTAACCTTTTTTGGATCAAGGACTCCTTCGAGAATCTGAAGAAACCTGTTTCGTCCTTTTCTTTTTAAAAAGCACATGTAGTAAATTTTGCATTCAGTCTTAGGGAGTCTCAGAAGTCCCTGAAGCTAACCTGTGGACCCCTGCTTTCCATCGTAATGCTTTTGCTTGAGTTACGTTTGTCAGCTTTACCATTTGCCTTTTGTGGGTGGTTTTTTAAAAACGTGTTTTGTGGTCTGAAACACTTGATGGCTTGTTCGTTCTAAGCCTTTTCCTTTGTTGAATTATGGTAATTTGCCAGTGGGTAAGGGTACGCCTTGCTCAGTGTCATCCTGCCTGCATGTTGAAGACAGTCTCTCTTGGCAGGCTGCAAGATGAACAACGTTAATGTGGTATATACACCGTGGTCTAACCTGAAGAAAACAGCTGACATGGATGTGGGACAGATAGGCTTTCACAGGCAAAAGGATGTAAGTGTTCTGCACCGCTGGAGGCGGCGGAGTCCTGGTGCTGAGTGGAGTATCCGACTTTTCTGTCTAACACCTTTGTTGTTGAGGGCTCAGCATGACGTATGTTTTCTAAAGGGAATTAAGCTGGGTTGCTAAGTCCCTGGAAAGCCTCTGCCCTCTTCTGGGGGAAAAAAAAATGTATAATAAAGTTCAATATTTTTTTCCCCTATCTCCCTCAAAGGTGAAAATTGTGACAGTGGAGAAGAAAGTGAATGAGATCCTGAACCGATTAGAAAAGACCAAAATGGAGCGGTTCCCAGACCTAGCGGCAGAGAAAGAATGCAGAGACCGTGAAGAGAGGAATGAGAAAAAAGCCCAAATTCAGGAAATGAAAAGGAGAGAAAAGGAAGAGATGAAGAAGAAGAGGGAAATGGATGAACTTAGGTATGTGGGAGCTATGGTTTTGGTATTGACCTCGAAGATTCTTCACTGATTTTAATCAGGGATTAATCCGTAAGAATGATTTACTGCGGCCGGTCCCGTGGCTGAATGGTTAAGTTCATGCACTCCACTTCGCTGGCCCAGGGTTTCACTGGTTCAGATCCTGGGCACGGACATGGCCATGCTGAGGCAGCGTCGCACATGCCACAGCTAGAAGGACCCACAACTAAAATATACAACTATGTACTGTGGGGGATGGGAAGAGAGAAAGCAGAAAGGAAAAAAAAAGATTGACAGCAGTTGTTAGCTCAGGTGCCAATCTTTGGGGAAAAAAGAATGATTTACTGGTGGAAGGAAGGACATATAACAAGCTCAGGGCTTTAAACAACTTAGAAAAAGGCATTTATACTAATGTGTTGGTCAAATGGATTGCCATTTTATAGGGGCAGGGTATGAAAGTATATGAAATAAATAGCTAATTTTATTCTTAGATAAACCATCGTAGGTGATCTTTAGAGTTTGGTTTGTAAACATCTTCAGGGGGGAAAAAAGCTATAAAGTGTTTAACATTCACTAGCTGTAGTATTTGAATGAGATTGTCTTAGCTCTAAAGGCCAGTGCTAGTAACTCTTAAAAGCTGTTTTTCAAACCTCTTTTCTACATTTTGAAAGTTTAAAGTAATGTAGTGAGACCTGTTCCAAAACACTGCATTTTTAAACAGTAAAGAGTAGTTAAAATACAATTTGGATCCTGAAATTCTAGTGTATAAGTTCATGAGAATACTGACTATATTAGTTTTCTATTGTTACTGTAACGAGTTACCACAAATTTAGTGGCTTAAAACAACATAGATTTATTATCTTACAGTTCTGTACGTTAGAAGTCTGACGTGGTTCTCCCTGGGCTAAAATCAAGGTGTTGGTAGGGCTCTCTGTTTTCCTGGAGCTCTAAGGGAGAAGCAGTTTCCTTTGCAGCTCCTAAAGGCCACTCACATTCCTTGGCTTGTGACACCTTCCTCCATCTTCAAAGCCAGGAGTACAGCATCCCTCTGACCCTTCTTCCATAGTCACAGCCTTCTCTGCTTTTTAAGACCAGTGTGATGGCATGGACCCACCCACCTGGAGATAATCCATGCTAATCTCCCCATCTAAGAGCCTTAACTTAATCACATCTGCAAAGTCACTTTTGCTGTGTGAGGTAACATATTCGCAGATTCTGGAGATTAGCTTGTGGACATTTTGGGTAGGATCATTATTCTGCCTACCAAGTTGAATCTGTAACGGATGCATAGTACTATCCCTTACGAGGCCTCTAGTTTTTCCTTGTGAAAGAAGAAGTTAATCCTGTGACTTCTACTCACAGAAGTTCTAGATTTTTTCTACAGGTACCCATTATTTGTGATAAGTATACCAAAAAGAAAAAAAAGCCATTGATGTGTCATTGCCTTTGGGAATGGTATAGTATCAAAACAAGCTGTCTGGTCCTATCCTGACCTGTTTTTCTGGGAATACCCTGGCGTACTAGAGAGATTGCTGGGTCGGAATGTTGGTGTTGTGATCCAGTACTAATACTGTTCCTGCTGGGAATGCTGCTAAAACAGAATGAGTAGCTTCATTGAAAATATAATACACGAATGGAGAACTCCAGAAAGCATTATCCTGAGCTATAATTTGCAAACAAGAGACAGACTAACGCATAGATTTAAACATTTGATTTGACCTAGAATTGTGAGTTTGCTTTGTGTTACAAGTGAAAGAAAAACGTTCGACTCCATCATTGTGGTAAAATGTGTAAAATTTTGAGTGATGCAAGATTTAGAGTTGTTTATTCTTTTTTGTTTTTAGTGTGGAGTGGGGAAAAAATTGGAAACATGCCTTTTTGTACTCTGTACAAATCTAACAATTTTGTATAGAAACATAATGTTAGATGTTATGAATATAATGTATTATAATTTATATAATTTTATAATTTATACTGTATTTAATTTACTTATAAAATTTAGTGAGAAAGAATAGCTGACATTTTTGGACATTTGTCATCTGCCAAGCACTGTACTGTGATTTACTGCATTAACTCATTTAATCCTAACAATAGCCATATGAGGCTGATATTTTTCTTCCCTGCATTTTGTAGAAGAAGAAACTGAGATTGAGAAGTTGTTAAGTAACTTGCCCAAAGTCACGTAGCTAGTCTCAGTCTGATTCTCAAGCCCACACACAGTGTTACCCCACTCTCTGCCCTCTCTTCCGTTTATTCAGTGCTAAAGTAGTATTTATTTCATATAAACCAAGCAAGTAATATATAGATGTCATAATTTACCTTAAAATCCAGTACACTTTTGTTTCAAATTAAGCTGTATATTCCTAAAATTTAGGGGATTTTGTATGTTTGGTTTTACTAGTTTAAAAAGTTCCAAGCATTTAAACAAAAGAAACTATCCACTGAAACACAGTTTTCTTAGCTTCTGGACTTTCTTCATTTGTCAACTATATATAAAATATTCTTGTAAACTGTGGAGGAAAAAATTCTCATTGTTATTGAAGAAAATTTTTGCTTCCAAAGTTTATCTAATCAGTCGGTTTTCTAAGCAGTCACTAGTCACTTGAATTTTTTCCATTTGTTTTTTGGACGAATTTTTATCATATATCACTCTGGTACATGCACATAGAAAGGAAAATGTAAGTGGAATAAATTAAAAATCACTTTTCTAGCCCATGTTTTTCTAACAATTATATCCCTACTGCTTTATTTTTAATAAATTATTGTGGGCCTCAGAAAACTAAAAACAATTGAGATGTTTATTTCTGTGAAACATATGCCACCAAAACGCCTTTCTTTCCCATGCCGCGGAAGGTGGAAGAATGTGAAGCAGGGCTGTAGTGTGAGGAACCCGTGCGATGACTTGTCAGGCGTTTGCTCAGCGTATCCAGAACTGCTGTTTGCATGCTGTCTTCTGCAGCTTTTGTGAAATTGCAACAAGAAGTTTTAAGCTTCTGACCTGTTTCATAATCTGTTTTTGTTTGTAGTGCTAGCATCACTTTAATTTCTCTCTTTGACTCTTCACCCCAAAAGATCGAATGCTGTGCCCATGAAATCTCATTCTAAAATCTTTCACTTGGCTTACTGACAGTGAAAATACCGTTAAGTTTCACCAAGAGTTGATTCTTTTATTTGGACCATCTGGTAAGGAATGTCCACTTTAGTTGCTGTGATTGCTTAAAAAATTGACTTTTGAATCTTCAGGGGATTCTACAGGTAAACCAAAAAGGTAAATTCTTATCCTGACAGTATCCCCAGTGTTTCCGAATGATTTCAGTGAAGAAATACTTAACCAGCCCCATATCCTGAAGAGCGACTTTCCAACTTCTTTCGAATTCTAAAACCATTGTTGAGACTCTAGACTCATTTCTGTGCTCAGCTTTTTGAACAAGAATGGCAATAAGCTTTTCATTTGTAATTTCTACTAGGAGCAAAAAATACATGGAATTGCTATTGTGTAGACCAGGTTCTTTGAGCTCTAGTCGGGCATATCCATCAGCCCTCTGCTCAGAAGTGAACAGAGCAGAGCCCACAACAACAAAGGCACTGACTTCCTTCTCTGATGAAAGAGCAGTAGGCCCTGGAGATGGAACTCCGTCTTGTTCTTGCTAATGAGTGCTTTAGTCCTTCTCCTCAGTCTGCAGAACTATAATGCGATATAATATGAACAGGTCTACATAAAGATCATCCTTTTAGGTAGTTTTTAGAAATATTTGAGTAGCTGAGAGGGTACCAAAATGTGAAGCCTAGATAGTAGCAGTATATTAACACCTTCATTTTGTTCATTTAAACAATAATGAAAATTTTCCCTCCCTTTGACTTCACATATTCTCACTTATCTACCTTGCTTGTTAGCTCTTTAGACAGTTTTTGTAGCTCGCACTTGTCCCGTCAGCTTGGGATCTAATGGGGTTCTAGGTTAGAGAATCTTTGTGTAAGGAGGAAGCCTTACATGTTGATTCCTTTCCATACTTGATATGCTGTAAGCCATACATAGAGTAAGAAAAAATAGGGGAAGAGACTCAGCATAGGTTTTAAAAGTAGTTGGAGTCTTAGAAGTGACTTGCCTGGAAAGTTAGAGATACAGAACAGCTTCTCCTCAGTCTCTGTTGGGTTTTAGAGAGCAAGCATTTGGAGAAGTCCTTTGGGCAAGTACCTGTGAGTTTCCCAGTAGACACTATCACTTGTTGACATCCACTAGGGAAGAGTACCTGTGGCTCCCTTCAGTGTGTCCTAGCAATGTTGTTTTATCTCAGTAGTTGAATTCATGATGACATCCAAATGAAAAGCTCTGTTTTAACCTTGTCTTCACTTACTTGGCTTTTGTGGTATCGTAACATGCATTAACATCAAAATCAGGTTCATCATGTGGATCTTGAAACAGGAAGAAATAAGCAATAGTCAGGGAAAAGTAGTTAATAGAGGATGAGTGAGTAACAGATCAGAAAAGACAAAGGGTAGGGACTACAGCTACCTGAGGGAGGGCTATTTAAAAGTTGGGAGTCTGGGAGATGAATTGGAACCCAAGGCTCGGGTGAGTGAGGTCAGAGAAATACAAGATCCAGGTAAAAATGGCAAGTCATAGGTAAAGGTAGCATCACTTTGAACATTGATGTGAACTTGGATTTGGGGACAAAGATTACTTGAGCAGGGAGGTTAATCTGTGAGAGGTTATAGTTGATAAGTGGCAAAGCAGAAATTCAAACTCATGTCTAATTCTGAAGTCCCTACTTCTGCTGTACCAAGCTGCCTGTAAGGCAGGAATGAACAGTTGGCAAGGCCAGAGTCAAGGTCATACATAAGCAAATACTATTCATTTTAATGATAACCTCCTTCAAAGGTACACTTATGTGCATCCTTGTATCCCCTTATATATGTGGCCTAGTGCTTTGCATATGCAGTGAGTGATTAGTCAATGTATTATGGATGAATAAGTAACTGAGATTAGCTTCCCTGATACAGTCATCCTTGAGCTAAGATCAAAACCATGTTTGCTGGTTTAAAAGAAGTGGAAAGAGTGCTGTAAGCAGAGAGAACTGTGTGTGCAAAGACCCTGTATGGGAGGGAGCAAGGCAAAACACAGGACTGAAAGTAGGCCCAAATGTCTGGGGCAGAGCTGAGGGAGCGCATGGATCAAGCTGCTAGTCCTTGCAGGGCCTCATAGGCTGTGTTTGTCTTCATCCTAAGAGTTTTGTGAGGTCATCAAAGAGTCTTAAGCAAGGGGTAGTATGATAAGGTTTATGTTTTGGGAAGGGAACCAGGTGGGTGTGGCCAGGCCAGGTAGGAAGCTATTGCAGTTGTCTCTGACAGACGGTGCTAACTTGGACTATGGGGGTGACGTCGAGGTGGAGAGAAATGGACCAATGAGAAGTAATTTCATAGATCAAATTACAGGATTTGAAGATAGATTGTATTGAGGGGAGGGGCAGGGAAAAAGAATGACTCCTGGGATTCTGGTTTGTGAAATGGAATGGGTAGCGATGCGATTCTTTGAGCTAGGGAATGCTGGTAAAGAACCAAACTGTTTTTGGTAGAGGAAAGATCACGAGCTGAATATGGACATATGGATCTGAAAATACCTTTGAGGCATCCCCAAAAATGTCAGATACGCTTAATGGGATTAAGGCAAATAGGATTAATGGGATGGAGCTCAGGAAACGTGGCCCAAAGAAGGGTCAGTGTGTGTGTTGCCTTCAGATAAGTGGGAATTCAGACCCAGTGGTTTTTGAACCTGAGTTGTAGATGCCCACGAGTGGGCATCTGAATATATCTTAATCTTCACAGGTGGTTTCAAAATGCAGCCAGAATTGAGGTTCTCTGCTCTAACCACTTTATCAACATGTCTTTCTGCTCGTGCAGCTTATTGATCTTATCTGTTTATTTCTTATAGATACCACTTAATCTTACAAGCTTCAACTGATGTCTCTGTAAATGTCTCCCAATGTGTTGTGTGTAACTGTGACAATTCTCCTTCCCTCTAGTCCTCAGTTTTCAGTGTCTACAGTTCATATTTACTTGGATGACCCACCACTATTTCAAATGCAACATGTCCCAGACCAAGCACATCGTCTGTGCAACGTTTTCCCATTTCTCTCAGTTGTAGCATTATTTACTTCAGGTCACCCAGGATAGAAACCTTGATGTCATCCTCTCAGACTCCTCTCCCCAGATTCCTCTCAGACTTATCCCTTCTCGCCAGCACAGCTGGTAACGTGGATTCATGCCCTCAGGTTGGGATATGGCAGTAGACTGGAGCGTGATGGCAAGAGTGTGAATTCAGAGGCAGACGTAGGTTCAAGCCTGACTTCTTCTCTTGTTAGCTGTGAGACCGTGGACAGCTTCCTTCGCTTCCCGGACTCTGCCTCCTGTGGATACAGTGGGCACAGTACTATCCCTTGCCTTATAAGATGGTTGTGGGGATTAGCAGTAATTTGTGAAGCACACAACACAGGTCCTAGCAAATAAAGGATACTTGGTACATGGTAAATACTATTATTATTAACTCATCTTGCCTTGATTTTTCTTCTTCCTCTCTTCTGTCTGCTACAGAGTACTCTTTTTAAAACAGTGGTATTATATGCTCTCATTTTCCTTTGTCTCTACGTGTATTTTTTTTTATTGTGGTCATAATAGTTTATAACATTGTGAAATTTCAGTTGTACACTATTGTTTGTCAGACATCATTATAAATGTGCCCCTTTGCCCCTTTTGCCCACTCTCCCCCACTTCCCCTGGTAACCACTAAACTGTTCTCTTTGTCCATAAGCTTGTTTATCTTACACAAATGAGAGAAATCATACAGTGTTTGTCTTTGTCTGTCTGGCTGATTTCGGTTAACATAACACCCACAAGGTCCATCCATGTGGTTGCAGATGGGATGATTTTGTCTTCTTTTATGGCTGAGTAGTATTCCATTGTATATATATACCACATCTTCATTATCCAATCATCAGTCCAAGGGCACTTGAGTTGCTTCCATGTCGTGGCTGTTGTGAATAATGCTGCACTGAGCATAGGGGTGCATAAGTCACTTTGTGTTGTTGATTTCAAGTTCTTTGATTTCTATGTGTATTTTTAATAGAATTTTTGTGTAGCTATTGCTGAATAGGTCTTATTTCCCCTCCTGGTAAGCTCTTTAGGGGCTAGACTTTGTCTTATTTATCATTTTCTACTTTCTTCCCATCCCATCCTCCACCCAGGCTTAGCCCAGAGTCTTATACATTGTGGATATTTAATAAATACTTGTCAAATCTCATATATCTCATCTCCATCTCATATTGTGGCTTCTTGCCAATCACATTGTGTTAACTCACCCAATTAGGGCTACATAATTGGCCCCCACACATCTAACCTGATTTCCCACTGCTTTGCTTTCGAAAGACTGGACTTGAGTTGGTTTGACTGAGTTGGTTTGAAATGTCACTATAAATGCCATCTCTTTGCCTTTGCTCATGCCATTCTCTGGATCTTCCCTCCTCGCTCCTCCTAACTTGTTAGGCTCAGTTTGGGTTCCACCTGCTCTGAGAAGAGTGCCCCAGCCCTGCCCACACTGGTGTGTTTCCTCTTGAATTCCTGTAGCACCTACAGTCTAGGCAGTAGCAGCATCGTCTGCTCTGGGATAAAGATGAATTTCCTCATCTGAATAATGCACCTACCTCACAGTTATTGTGGAGGTGACATGAGTATGAGCAAGGGCTTTGTAAACTATAAAGTACTGTGTACATCTCATTTACTGTTCATAGATATTTATCCTTTTTATGCTGCCACCTCCAACAGGAGGGCAGGAATTATATTTTCTTCAGGAGACCCTCAGCAGTGCTGGATAGATGGTAAATGCTGATGAAATACTTGCCAACTGGATAACCTTATTTTACATGTGTTTGCTTCTTCTAGGAGCTATTCATCGCTAATGAAAGTTGAGAATATGTCTTCAAATCAGGTATGTTCAATTTATTTGCTCTAATGTTGTGCCTTGAAATAATTCACTAAGAGTTTTTGATAATTGAGTTGCTGGCCAATGTTGATTCGCGTGTTGTAGGTGGCTTGCCGTGATTTGGCTGCTATGTGTGCTGAGGTGGATGCTGTTAGGCATTGCCTCTCCTGCGCTGTGGACTTCCTCATGTGTGTGTTTTTAAGTAGGTTACCTCGTGGAGAGAGATTGTTGTCCCTTGTCCATTGTGAAGTGCAGATCTGTTGGTACTTACAGGACTTTCCCATTCCTCACTTCCCTCTTTTCTAGTTGCAGGAATGTAAAATGTTCTATATTAATGTAACTGTGGATTCTGTATTATAATTGAGTGAGAAAAAATTATCACCTGCAATTAAAAAATAAAACTAAAGTGCAATCCTGAGGTCTCATTTGTAGTCTAAGTGACAACATTGGTTGTTTCCATGTTCCTCAGTGGTGATTCATCTTATAGTACTGAAAGGATCTTCTTAACATCAGCACCTAATTATTTTATTGGAACTATGTCAGGGACTTATTGTCTGTGAGTACTATCTTTCACAAAATTTATTTTGAAGTGTCTGGAGACAGTACAATTGACTATTATTAAACAGTTAAACAGTCTGCAGATAATTGAAACTGGGTGGATATATTTGCTATATTGCATGTTTTATAGTATGATTTACAAATACATGCTTTAGATCTCTGGTGTCCAGTGCACTAGGCATTGATTGTAGGTGGCCATTCAAATTTAAATTAATTAAATTAAAAAATTCAGTTCCTGGGACATACTAGCCACATGTGGCTAGTGGCTACCATATTAGTCAGTGCAGAAATAGAGCATTTCCATCATCACGGAAAATACTATTCAATATCACTGGTTTAGAAGGAAATAATTAAAGAATTTAAGGTCCCTTAAAGGTCGTCTAGTTAAACCCCACATTTAGTACATGAATTGGAATTGTTAGTAGGATTTTACACCTTGTTCATATCTATATATCCTTCTAAAAATGAATAAGAACAATACTCTTATTCCTGTCTCTGTGAAGAACTAAATTTATGAGGCTCCTTTGTGAGTCAGAGATATATCTTTATAATTTACTCCTGGAAAATTCCAGAACAGCATCATGTAATTAAATAGAGCCATGAATTTGAACTTGAGACTTACACTATCATTTACTGATTGGATAAGCCTAATAAGGTTCTTTAACCTCTCTGAGGGAGTATGCATTATTAGTAAAAGGGAGACATATTACTTCATGGGGCTGTTCTGAAATTTAAACAAGGTCATGTATGTGAAAGTTCTTTCTTGATTGAGTCACTTTATGAATATAGATGGTCATTATTGTTTCTTATTCATACAGTTCTTAGTTGCTGTTGTCCCACAAAGTATCAGTATTAAAAGATGAGATGTATTTAATCCCTTCTGGAAATTGTTCTTAGATTTCTTGAAACTCTGTAAACAGTTTAACGGTTAAACAGAAGTGTTTAACATCTAACATTTGTTGTGGTTGTTGTTGCTTATTGAAGTTTTCTGTTATTTAGAGGCTACTTGCCAGCAGCAATCTGGCATCTATATTATGTTATGACTTAGGCATTTTCATTCCCATCATTGTGGATTTTTAAAGTTTGGATGTTCCGGAATTAAGAAATAAGGACACACACACATACACACATATATGTGAATATACGTAAATAAAAACACCATCTAATTAGCGACAGATGTTACAAGTTCCAGGGTTAGGAAATCAGATTTGTAGACCAAAGGATTACTAATCCTTTTGCTTTTCCTCTCCCTCTGGTGCTTGCTACCCCTGTTCCTGAGCTCCAGGTTTGAATCAGGTTCAAGTTTCCAAGGAAGCTGCCCTGGGTGTTTTTGTTCTCTCTCTTGTGGTGGAAGGACTCTTACAGCTTTTCCCCATCCTTCAAAGGAATAGCTTTAATTCTTCTTGTTAAGGGGATGCAAACCTTTTATGATCTAACAGTGGATTTTCAGTTAAAGGCTGGTGTTTATGTAAGATAGGACTTGATTTTTAATGTAGCTTAAACAAGTTCTTCAGGAAAAATATTAGTCTTCTGTTCTGAAGTTGGTTTAATTTTGAGTTTTTGCTCTTCTATTTAGAATAATTCTCTTCAATCTAGAATTTCTTTCTAATGTTTCTAAATTTGGTTTCAGGCATTATACACAATTACTTTTAACGTTTTATTTGTTTATCACTTTGTAAGTGGATGACAGGAAACCTATTTTGCTATATTGAAAAACGTTGACTCTTCATAAAGGAAATCAAAATATAAAAATTGTGCAAATAAAGTCTTGGATCTCAGATATATATTTAAAAGTTACTGTAATCCCAAAATACAGATCCCCAGACACATGGGAACTCTTTGCACATCTAACTCACAGCCTTTATAAGGAGTAATGCATTTTATTGTCACCAACTGAAATTATCTTAGTGAGTTTTCATCCTCGGTGTCTGGGATCTTAAGCTGACCTTCAGAGATACATGGTGACTCTTTCATCATCTCCAGTGCGATTCTTTCATTTTAGTACTCTAAGGAGGTCACAGTTCTGGTGCTTGCACAGAATACAAACATTGGTTTGCTCTTTGTACAATTATCTAAGGCATTTTTACTGTGGCCTCAGTTTGTGGGGCTAATTGAAGAAAAGCACAGAGACGACCACTGACTGAAACTGGAGATAAAACCAGACTTCACAGATAGGGGTTTTCTACCTGTATCTCATATTTCCCCACCCATCTTTAATAATAGCTATTAAGAAGGAGAAAAATGTATATACCTCTAAGCCCAAGTCGTTTCTCAAACCACTCAGGTATCAAGCAATGGGAAGGAAATAGAAGCTGAAACAAGTGACATGTTCAAGTTGTTACATTTTCAAGCAGATGTGCCGGAATTTACACTATTAGTGAATGTTGGCATTCAGAGCAGTTTTCTTAGAGTGTGCAGTAGCTCAAAAAGGAGTCTGGGGCTCTACTTTGCTACTTGGTCTTCAGGACTTGTTTATAAGCCACACAATAAAATCAGTCCCTTTATACTATTTACCATCATGTAAGTTTTTTATCAAGAACTTGGCAAGGCAGCTAACTTAGTAATTAGCCTACGGCTTCCTAATGACTTTTCCTAGTTAGGAAAAAAAAACCTCAAAGCCATCTTGTGAAGTCACAAATATATGACAACCTTGAGGCTCAAAATAATAGAATTTAGGCCGAAAATATTTTTATGTATTGGTAGCATTGTTGGCATTAAGGATATTGAGGCAGTATATTTGTTTGGTTTTATATTATGGTATATTTGTTGCAGGAGTAATCGCATTTTATTGTAGTCACACTGGTTACATCCTATACTAGATCAGCTGGGCCTTACTTCATAATTTGAAAATCACTGGTCGTTTGTAGCTGTGTACTCCAGGCCAAGTCATGACACCTTGGAGATTATAGCTGCTAGTCCAGCTGTTCTAAACAACTAGCAATTTAAGATAGAGAAGTGATGAGCGAATTTAATTTTTACTTTTTACTTTCTGAACTCTACAATTAGACATAAGGAGGCTTGTTACTTAAGACTAATTGTAAATTTTTAAAATTGAGTTAATTATTTTGACGGCTTTTATGGTTTCACTTTTTTTGTTTCCTACAGGACGGCAATGATTCAGATGAATTCATGTGAATGGAGAAAAGGACCTTTTTAAAGATATAAATTTAGGGACAGTTGCAGATGTTTTGATTTCATCCATGTTCTGAGTTATAAAAAACAACCAACCAAAATTCTACCTTCACAAAAATATTACCAACTTTGGAGTTTTAAAGAAAATTGTTCCCCTTTTTGCTGACAGAAAAGGATCAGATACATATAATATAGTTGGACTTGAAGACAGCATATAACTGAGGAAAGTGAAAATATTTTTGCCGGAACATGTCCTTGTACCTCATGAAACTTGCCTGCCCTCGTTCGTGGGATAGACTTTAGAACAATCCACCTCTGAAAAGTATTTCTGTTGCTGTGGTCTGTCCCTGAAAACAAATGTCTTGAAAAGCTTTTCATATTCTTAAAATAGCCTCACTTTTGTTAAGAAGAATGTATTGGTGAGCAATATTTGCGAATGTTCCCCTCATCCCCAATTTCCTGATGAGAAAAAAAGCATATGTTTTGAAGATATAGTGATATTTTCAGAAGATGGCTGGCTTCAGTATTCACGTTCCTTTGTGTTGTCTGAGTCTGTTAGCAGAATTGTCCTCAGCTCTCAGCTTGTCCTAGCTTCTACATTCTACATCCTGAGTGAGTGAGGGCCTCCACCTAGGCACCATCATACTTAAAGGAATAGTCGGTGTTAGTCAAGTGTGGGCCTTGGGGCAGTTTTTGCTTGAGCACCAAGTAACCGAAGCTGCATATAGTACAACTTCCAGGCTCTGGAGTCATTTCTCAGCACTGAGGGGAGAAATAGGAAGGGATGTTCTGTGAATCATTTTGAAGATGTAGTTACCCAATTTTTGTCTTGGAATACGGCATAAAGCAAAAGTTCATGTTGCAATTATGATTTTAGAAGAATTAAGCATTTCACTAGCCAGCCAAGTAATTTGTTTATCTTGAAATAATATTTATTTTGAGTTGTGACCCCAGAGTTCCGATTTCTCAATTGTAGACTCAGTAACTTACTATGTAACAGTGCTACTCATTCAAACCACCTGCTCTCCAGTGTGATTCTGAATAGAAGATATATTTTTATTGCAGCATGTAAGGCAACCCCTGTAGAAAGAGACAAAACAGAAAAATGAAAGGGAAAGAGAACAAAGCGTGCAGGTCAGGAGGCATACAAATTCACATTTTAACCACACCCAGAGCCATACACGCAGCATTCTTCTTCTTAAGTCTATTCCAACCCAACAAAAATTATCTCTTCTTCGAGGATTCTATCTGTAATAGCACTTTGGGACTGTGGGTAAAACCAAAAGACTTCAGTCTTTCTATTTATCCCAACTTGGTGTATGGGGTTGAACTGGAAAATTCCCTGAGGCAGAACTCGGCCAAATTTTGAGATGGAGTATAGGAGATGACTCCAGAAATTAGTAATTTTGCGTGTGTGTATTCCGATGATATTCAGCCTGGAGTTTTGTGATTTAAAAATATAATAAAGAGTCATTTTTTATTTGGAAGGACATTGATATATGAATTCTTGGGACTTGCTTGTTATCCCCATCCCCAAGCTGGCTTTGAGGGTGATCTGGTCATAGAAAACCTCGTCTATCATAGGCTCAATCTGGCAGGCTCTACAGGAGTCTCACCTTCCTTCAGTGATACGTGCGTCTCTCCCCGAGATGCCCACTCGGTCAAGGTGAGTGACCTTTTACAGACACACTCTGGATTGAGTATAAGTTAGTACTGTGCTTCAGTATGGCCCTCTTCCCTGGTAACCATAGACACTTTAACATTCTGCTGCAAACATCTAAAATGGGGAGGTTTTGCCTCTAGTATCACCCGTGTCACCTCAACTTTCTACTGCTTCTGAAGGACTCTTCTGTACCCCACATTACAACATGTATGGATAGAGCTTTTGAAGAATACATCTGTTTTTGCTGTAGTGTGAGAGTTCCTGGGGTCCAATTTTAAAGATTTCATAGCTCAGTTTACGCTGGTTTACAATGTCAAGACCTCTCTTCTGAGTTCTCTGAGGTGAATTCCTACCCAGCTCTTAAAGCTTTTCAGCTGCTCTGTGCTGGTTTTCCCCTGCCTCTGCCTGTGTGTGGGGTACTTTTTTTCCTCCGCTCCTGTGGTCCTAGAGAAAACAAGGACCTTTTCTTTTGAGGACATTGTTTTTCAGCTGCTCTGTGCTGGTTTTCCCCTGCCTCTGCCTATGTGTTGGGTAGTTTTTTTCTCCGCTCCTGTGGTCCCAGAGAAAGCAAGGACCTTTTCTTTTGAGGACATTGTTTCAGTGCCAACAGATCAAACTGTTGGCACTAAAGTTGTCTCATTTCTTGCTATTGGCATGTTTCCCAAACTTCCTATAGGAAAATTCCAAATTGTTGTTATTTTTATGAGCTATGCCCTTGATCAAATGGGTTCATCCTGAGGATTTCTCTTTCCAGCTCTGCCTCCAGTTTCCCTGTTCTGTTTGATCTGCATGCAGGTGAGGTTCGTATTATCATTTAATTTACTTCACAAACTCTGCTTTGTTATATTCCTGTAGCTTTAGAATTCATTTCTTATCCACCTTTGTTGATCGAGGGTCATGAACTCTGGGCGAGGGAGGTTTGTCATGGTGTTTGTGCTGGAACAAATGTTGGGAAGTTTACCAAAGTATGGAAAGTTTTGACGTTAGCAGAATAGGCGGTAAGCTTTAGTTGAACCTCTTCAATATCTTTTGTTTGTTTTGTTGTATTGTTTTTAACTCTTTCTTGAAGCACAGATTTTGGTGAGCCTTTTAACTGTTCAGTGCCAATGGTTTCCCTCACTCAGGAAGGAAGGAAGGTGTGAGCCACACATACAGCAAGATTAGAGAGGGAGAGTTCAGCTCTAGCCTCCAATTTAAGACCAAAGCTCTTCCTCCCACCTTTGCACCTGTCTGAGAGGGGAAACTCTTATTTTCCAGGCTGGAACAGGTTATGGGAAAAACTGAGCAGGATGGAGAAGTGGAACACTTTTCTAGTTTTTCCTGAGCTGTGATCCTGAAGCCTGCTTTTTGTCTGTTGAAGTACGGCATTGTGAATAACAAATCCTATGCTCAAAATGATCATAGTAGAGTAAGTAGGTCACCTTTTGATTTTACAGTAGGCTGTAAAACAATCAAACTGTATCAAAAGTGTAAAATCAGAAATTTAAATTCCAAGCCAACTGTCAGTCTCGACCCATCTAACTCCAGCGAGTCTGTGGCAGCTCAGAATGAGGACAGCACTGCTGGTGCCCAAGCAGGCTCACAGTCAGGTTTCACTTTGGGGGAGCTCTTCTCTGCCAGGCACACAAAGGCCCAACACGGGGCAAGAAACTTTCATGCGTATTATATCATTTCACAAATGAGGTGATGCCGACTGCATATTCATCATGTCCAGGATGAATGATAGGTAAAATGTAATAAAAACTTATAGTTTGAGTAGAACCAAGTGTGTGGGATTTCACTTTTCTCCTCAAAGACTCGGTCTCACTGGTCTTGGTACTCTCTCTGAGTACTTATTTTAGGCAAGTAGGAAGGAGGTTCTTGGCTACCTGAGATGATGCCCTTCTAACCGTCAGTTTTGCTCCTTAGCAGGAGTGGAAGAGCAAATTAGAGTAAAGGGAAGATTGCCCGAGAATTGCAGGAAGGGAACTGCAGAACCTGGAGCTCAAGGGCCATGATCTTGAAACAATAGCATTTGAAGTTTGCAACTTGGTTCCCCACCTCCCAACATTCCTGGGGGTCTGCCTGAGATTTTGACCCGGATGAAGCTGCAAATGTGAAGACATGGTGCAGTGGTATCATTGATGAATGTAGTGGCTCTGGGCCAGCGTTCTGTTTATAGAGCCACCCCTTCTGTGGTAGCACTTATTCTAATATTACTCAGTTTGTTTGTGGAGAGGAATTGAGGTAGAGGGAGCCACAGAAACATTCGAGTGTCTCTTGCAGCTGTAAAAGCATATTTGATTTCTTAAATGTTTATTAGAGGACATTTGGGTTGTATTTCTCACTAGTCAGGGCAATACCTTCATCCTTTTGGCTTTAACTGCCTTAGCTACTAGAATTCTGGGGTTTAAGTTTTTGAGCAAATTAACCTATATGGGGAATGTAGGTTGAGACCAGAATTTTCATACTGAAAAATGTAGAGATCCATATATATACTTGGACTCAGGAGTACACTGAAAATACAGATACCTATCTGATACTATATGTTAACCATATGCATCATTTGAACATACATACGTCTGTTTTTCTGTCTCACATTGATTGTTTCGTTTTGTCTTCCTGATTTCATGGTTGTATTGGTTGTCGGAGGAACTCCGAGCTTTCCACTTCAGTGATTGTGGTTATAGTTCTGCACCGTAGCCAGATGAAATAAGAAACAGGTCCCTGCTATTGGCATGCACCAATGGGCACCGCCTTGTCATTTTCTCCCTTTGTTGACTGCCAAGGAGTGAAGGCCAGGGGAAATGAATGCCCACCCCAGAAATCCCATGCAGCTTTTGCTAGTTCCCAGACCTGGTGAGTGGGTGTCAGTATTTAAGCTGAAAAAAAAGAAGGAATTCTCTAAAGTCAGTATTGGTTTTCATTCCCACATCAACCCCATCCTGTAACCAACCGCTGCAGTAAAATATAAGACTAATGGCCTGACATTTCACATCCTGCTTCCATGAGGCCTTAGCTGCCTGCGCTCTTGTGGTGTTTTGGTTTCTGCCTCAGCAGTTTACCTTGCAAAGAGAAGGCTAACATTTGCTTATGATTTCTGGGATATGCTTATGGGAACAGGATCTTTTCAGATTTTAAAGGCTGGTCTCTTGGTCTTGAACCCTTTTAGCTCTTCAGTCAAGTCCAAGGTCAACAGGTCAAAATTAAAAACTGAAAAAGGTAAAGAGAAAAATGTTATTAGAGGCAGTGCCCTTTTATCCAGCTCAGCTTTATCTGTCAGAATTATCTTCAATTGTGAAGCCCGTAGCTTCATTAAATTGCTTCTCTTCAAAACTCTGGAATTTTTATTTTATGGTTAATGCACTCAGCGTGAATGAGGCTTACATCAAGTGCTTTAAAACTAGAACTGCTCTGAGTCTTTGGAAAGGGATGGAAGATCTCAATAGACAAAGCGTAAATTTGGTCACATGGAAAGTTTTACTGGTGCCTCTGGTTAGAAAACGTTTCCTTTTTCAACAGAAGAGAGAAGGCCATCCACGTTCCTGCCTCCAGCCCCCAAAGTGAAGCCCATCCCTGCTTGGTTCCTCTTCTGCCATGCTGGAAAGCAGTTACCAGTTGGGGCTTTTGTGACGAGTAAAACCTTGGTGAACAAAACAATGCCTTGATTACCTAGACTTTTTTTCTTTCTATCAAGACACCTGCTCATGTATCAGGGATTAGAGAGGGCACAGGAAACACACAAACCTTCCCTCGCTTGAGTGTTCCAACTCTTCCCTGCAAGTGGCTTAGCTCCATTGGAGCAGTGCCCCCTCCCCCACTCTCCTGGGTTCCAAGTTGGGGAGAATGTTTAAAATGTCTTCATTTATAAAAATAGGTACACGTGATTCAGAATTCAAAAGAGATAGAAGGGCATAGGCACAGATTTTCAGAGCAGTGGAACTATTCTGTATGATACGTAATGGTGGATACATGTCATTATGCATTTGTCCAAACCCATAGAGTGTGCAACGCTAAGAGTGAACCCTAATGTAAACTGAACTCTGCTGAGATGACGTGTCAGGGTAGGTTCACCAGCTGTGACTAATGTACCACTCTGTTGGGGGAGGCTGTGTGTATGTGTGGGGGTAGGGAGTAAATGGGAAATCTCTGTACCTTCTGCTCAGTTTTGCTACAAACCTAAAACTGCTTTAAAAAATAAAGTCTACTTAAAAGAAAAAAAAGGGTATAGGGTGATATGTGTTCCCAGTTCCCCTTGTGAAGTGAGTTGACAACAGTGACTCCATTTTGTACCCTGGACTCCATCTTGTTAAAAAAACATGAAATTGTGCTGACCTTGCTCACTTGCCAAAACAGTTATTTGCTGAGAAAGAACTTTCTGAAGGACTGTGCAAAAATTTACTTTTTCCGGTAGCAACAAAGTGTCCTTGAGTAAGCCAATGAACTGTGACATAAATTTACCCTCCAATCATAAATCTTGGTAAACAACTGAGGTAATTGTTTTGGGCCCTCCTTTTTGCTAATAAAAACTCCTGACTTTTCCTTCTCAGGGGGATGCTTTTCTGGCTGCTGCTGCAACCTGTGTTCCCTGAATTGCATTTCCAAGACCCCAAATAGACGCTCTCCTTTTGTTCTGCAGTTGCCTCTTTTTTCTAAGTTGACACCCTTCTTGGAGGCAACCAGTATCACCAGTTTTTTGTTAAAGGCAGAAGTTCTAGATCTGGACTCAAATGGGCTCCCGGATTCTGCCTGTTTCTTGGCCTGGATGTAGCAGGGGCTCAGCTAAAGAGGGGAGGCAAGGGGCTTCCCTGTGTCTTTGCCTCCCTGGGGCATTTAATCCAAGAGAAAAT